ACACCTTTGTTCTGATTACATAAGTAACATGTTCATTGTAGAAAAATTAAGAAGAGAATTAAAATCCAGATATAATATCTGTTCACATAGAAGTACAGTCCTCAGTGTCTTCTGTGCACTTAAAAAAAAGGAAAAATAGGGCCTCCCCTGGTGGCTCAGCGGTTGAGCGCTGGGCTGCGAAGCTGCCCGCAGCCTCTGCAGCGCCAGTTCGATCCCCTGCCACAGGGGAGGGTCCCACGTGGCACATAGACCTCTCCTGCCGTGCCCGCTGCTCCCCTCAGCAGTGTGCTTCGGTCCTTCGGCCTGTTCTGCTCCCGGCTCTGGCTCTGGTGAATTCTCTCACCCTCCTGTGCTTCTGACTGTACCCAAGTGCTTGTATAAATAAATAAATAAATAAATCTTAAAAAAAAAAAGAAAAAATACATTTCATCATATTTTTCAACCTGTTTTGTTTATTAAACTGTTTTATTAAACTGTTTATTAAGCTGATATGCCAGCTCTTATGCTATGTTGGCTTTGTTTTTAATTTAATGAAAAAGTAGATGATTGGGGCCTCCCTGGTGGTGCAAGGGGTTAAATTCTCAGTGCTATCAAGCTATTGCCAGCCACTGCAGCACAAGTTCAATCTCCGGCTAGGGAGGTGACCCACATGGCGCAGCAGACCTCAACGGTCTCACTGGCTGCTCCCCTCAGCAGTGTATTTCAGTCAGTCCACCTGTTCTGCTCCCTCCTCTGTCTCTGGTGAATCCTCTCACCTGCCCTCCACCCTGCACTTCTGGCTTACATGCCAGTTCTTGTATGCATAAGTAAATAAATCTTTTTTTAAAAAAAAAGAAACCCTAATTGAATGAATTAATGATGCTGATCAGCTCAAACAAGATATTCAGAGGATGAAGGTGGTAGTTATGACATCCTGGCTTCTGCCTGCAGCCTGCTCAGAATAATGCCTTGGTACATTCTCCTAGGATTAGTGTCTTGGTGGACAAATATTTCTTGGTCCAGGAATTGGAAATGCTTTCAGCTGGGAGAAATCACAGTAAAGAGCATGCAGGATGCCGCAGATAAGCTTTCCTCTAAGCCAGCCCTGCCCTTGGCTAGGCAGCCTCCCTCAGTCTCATTTCAATGCCTCCCCCATCAGCAGCTGCCCAGAGTGTTGAATATTGAGGTGCCCCTTTCCACTCCCTGTTTCAAGGGAATAGAGCATCAGAGGGAGCCTTAGCGGCATCCGCATGAGTGTAAACATCACCAGCTGCCAGAGGGAATGACGTCAAATCCAGGCCTGATTGACCATGGCCTTGGGAAAGCTCCCTGCACAGAGAGGCTTGATGCCCTGGGGGTGGGGGTCACAGAGAGGAGATGCACAAGCTGGGAACTGCCAGCTCAGCACCCTGAGGACATAGCTGATGGTTTTGTCTATTCTCAAGGATGTCAGGACTTGAAATCTTTTTCTTTCCAAACCGACTGAAATCAGGAATTAAACAGTTGTTCTTTTTTTGTTTGTTTGTTTTGTTTTGCTAATCCGTATTCAGAGCCTCGGATCACTGTGACCTCTGGGTGATCTTTGGGAGCTGAGATTGTTTTACCTAAAGTAAAGTCTTTATGGCTTTGAGGTTAAAAGAACAGACTCCTGGCACTTGCCTGAAACCGTGTGAGTGGGGGCAACTTCTAGCACATCTCAGAATCTCAGTTCCCTCATTTGAAAAATAGGAAGAATAGCATCTAGCTCACAGGCACATGGTTGGGATACATGTATATTCGGTGAGTCCCTATCATGTGTTGAGTCCTGGGGTCACACCAGTGAAGAAAACACAGTCTCTGCTTCCCTAGTGTTCACCAAAGGAAAGCAGACAATAAACCAATGAATATTTAATATAGCAGATGGTGGCAACTTAAGAAGGATAGAGTGTCAGGATGGGGGTGTTATTTCACTTAAAGGTGGCCTTTCTGATAAGGTAACTTCTGAGCTGAACTCTGAATGAAATAAAGAAGCAGTTCATGAGACTCTCTGGGGGAAAACCTCTTATAGAGAGAGAAATGAACGTAAGCAAAAGACCCAAGGCAGGAGAATGCCTGGCATATTCAAGAAAGGCAAGAAGGCCAATGTAGCTGGAGTGAAGTAGGCAAGAGGACAAGAGGAATGAGATCAGAGAGCTGGCTGGGAGTAGGGTGTCTAGGGCCTGGTAGGCCACTGGTAGACTGACGTTTACTCCGAGCAAGATGGGAGCCATTGGAGGATTTGAGCAAAGAGGGAGGTGATCTGACTTAGGTTTTAAAGGATCCCTTCCTCTGGCTGCCATGGAGAAAATAGACAAAAGGGGCCTCCTGGATGGCCTAGGGGTCTCAGTGCTATCACCACTATGGCCTGAGTGCGATCTCCGGCCAGGGAGCTGACTCATATAGCGCAGCAGACCTCTCCTGTCTTGCCTGCTGCTCCCCACTGCAGTGTATTTCAGTAGATCCGCCTGTTCTGCTCTCTACTCTATCTCTAATGAATCCTCTCAACCCCCCACACCTTTGGCCCACACCCCAGTTCTTTTATGCAAAAAAAGAAAATAGACTATAGGGAACAGGAATAGGAAGACCAGTTAGGTTGTTGCAATTGTCCAAAGAACAACTTCGATTAAATTGGTAGTAGTAGGTGGGTAAGAAGTGAAGTGGTCAGATTCTGGATATGTCTAAAGGAAGGGGTAGCAGGATTTATTAATGGATTGGATTTAAATTATGTATATGTTATGTCCATGCATGTGTGTGTGTGTGAGAGGCACACATTTGGTAAATGCCCATTCTCTAATCAGTCAAAGATGACCTGAAGAGTTTGACCTGAGAAATGGGCATTTACCGAAGTGGGGCAAACAATTTCTACAAAGCGGTTAGCATGACTATGGGCATGAAATATGTACTCAGTAATCATTACTTAGTTGTATCACCTGCAAGGGTTATGAAAGCCCTATGAAAAAATAAAATTTTAATTCACTTTTAGCATATCCCAGGCATTGGAAAATTTGGTTGTGGTCTTATATCCACCAATAGAATATAAACTGCATGAGGTAGATCTTAAAACTCTTGTGTACAGTTGCACATGTTGGGCACCTTGATTAGTATTTTTTTTTAAAGTCTTCATTTATTTATTTTTGCATAGAAGAACTGGGGTGTAGGCAGTAAGGCGATTCATCGGAGACAGAGTGGAGTGCAGAGCAGGCAGATTTAGTGAAATACACTGCTAAGGGAAACAGTGGGTGAGGCAGGGGAGGTGTGCAGCACCATGTGTGTGTATTACTTCCCTGGCAGAGAAGCCCCTTGGTTAGTATTTCATTAAATGAATCCTCACTACTACAGATGGTGGTTGAATGTCTTTCCAAGATTGAGCTGTTAGTAAATTAATAGATATATTTGAGAGGAATGGGTGAATAAATGCATATAATATTCCCATTTTAGAGAAGAGGAAACTACTGGTGGCACAGATTTGAACCTTGAGCTTGGAGCCTTTCCACGTTCCCACTTTTGGGCCTCATATGCTTGTCTGTGTTTCAGGATGCCTACGGATTTAATGACTGATTACAACCATAACATATAAAAGCCCAGGCTAGTCAGAAAAAAAGATCTAGATGAGATTGTGAAGCTCTAGTAATAGGATCCTAAATTTTTAATCTTTGTGAAACTGCACGGTCTTAAAGTATTTATTTTATCTAACTTGCCCAGGGTCCCTCAGGCTGTAAGGAAAGGAAGTGAGATGTGAACCAGTTTTTCCACACTAGAGTCCCTGTTTATTCCCTTACTTGGAGATTGTTAACCTGGGGCACAAGGACACTTAGTGGGTTTCCTATTGTGCATTATATTACTTCTTCTCCCAACATTGTCTCCTAAACCATATGTGCCTAGGAGCAGGTGCATGGTGGGGGGCAGGGAGTGAGGGGAACAGTAAGAAGAGTTCATAACTTTCATTATATTCTTTTTTTAAAGATTTATTTATTTATGCAAGAACTGGGGTACAGTCAGGGGCAGGGGAAGGTGAGAGAATTCACCAGAGACAGAGAGGAGAGAAGAACAGGCAGATGGACCAAAGACACTGCTGAGGGGTGCAGCGGGCCTAACAGGAGAGGTCTGCCGCACCATGTGGGTTTCTCCCTGGCCAACCGGGAATCGAACCCGCACTACAGAGGCTGCGGATAGCTTCGCAATATAGCGCTCAACCCGCTGAGCCACCAGGGAGGCCCACCTTCATTATATTCTTAAAGAGGCCTGTGGTCAAAAAGCTTCATTTTTATGCGGTTTTTTTTTTTTTTTTAATTTTTAAAACTGTTTTAGAAGACAAAGGAAGGAAGCAGTGAGAGCTGAAAAAGAATTATGGAGACTATACAACAGATGTCTATTTTTATTCCCAGAATTTCAAGGTAGAGAAAACTAGGGTGACTAAAGAAGCCAAAAGGTGAGCCTACTGAGTTGGGATCAGAATCCAGATCTTGGGGCACCAATTTCAGAACTCTTTCTGGTTCCCGTTGCTATTCATTCAGTCAGTCTTCGTTCATTCATTCATCAAATTTATGTTGAGAGTAAAATTCCAGGCTCTGGGAATGCTGCAGTGACAAATTCTTGGCACCACGTTTACATATCTAGTAGGGAAGACAGACAAAATAATAACGACGACGAAGACCATGTTAATGTGTTTTGGAAAACGTCACAGGCTGGGGAGGAAGGAATTGCATTTTTAGATGGGGTGGTCTGTGCTCGGATGGAATCTCTCATTTCAGCCCACGGACTCCAACGAAAGGAGAGCTCCCGAGGGCCAGAGCGCCCTCCACAAACCTATTTTTGGCGCTAAGCCCCACAAGGTGGGGACGGTAGGACACCCGGAGCCAGTCCTCAAGCTCAGGGGCCAGGAGGCTTTCGACTGGGATTCAGTCGGTCTCGAGGATAGTGCGCAGGCGCCTGGCGTTAGGCGCTGCCCAATGGGAACCTCCTTCGAAGTTTAGGTCCCGCCCCAACCCTCACTTCTGCTTCCGCTTCCGGCGCCGCTGCGGGCCAGGTTAAAGATGGCGGCGGTGGCAGGGTCCGGCATTTCTAGGCTGCTGGGTCGGTCCTGGCCACGGCTGGGCCGGCCTATGTCGAGCGGCGCCCACGGCGAAGAGGGCTCAGGTACTGGGGCCGGGTGCGGCGGGGCGGGCCTCATTCCCGCTGCAGCGAGGCCGGGCGCGACTGTGACCTTGGCCTGAGGCCTTGGGGAACGGGATGCGACCGCTGCGGGCGCCGCTCCAGCCTGAACGGTCGTTCTCTTTCCGCAGCTCGCATGTGGAAGGCTCTCACCTACTTCGTCGCGCTCCCTGGGGTGGCAGTGAGCATGCTGAATGTCTTCCTGAAGTCGAAACATGGAGAGCATGAGAGACCCGAGTTCGTCGCCTACCCCCATCTCCGCATCAGGTCTAAGGTACGCCCTGGCCTTCACTTGCAGTGACCTTCTCTCTTTCCAAACGCCCTGGACCAAGTTTCTCTAAAAGCGTGGGTGCCGGGCGTGTAGGATTCCTTGTAATGCTCACAAATTTTAATTTTCTCTGCTTTTACGGAAGGGAAACAGATTCGAGAGTTATGTCTGTTGTTCTTCAAGGTCATAAATTAAGTACCCTTTAGTTCCGTTTTTCTCCCTTTCGGCCCACCTTCTGAGACAACTCTGAAACAACTGTGAGTTGCATAAAACTTTCGAAGGTTGGGAGTGGCAAAGGCAGATGGACTTCGAATGTGGCAGGTTCTAGATGCATAGTGAAGAGACTGACAGCTGCTCCTTTTCCCCAGATCTAATGCTAGGTGTCTTCTCAGTTGTTTTATGTTTGGTGTATTGGTGTAGGTGTAGTTTAGCCATTTCTCATTGCTTGCTGTAAGTATTCTTTCTCTCCTGGTTCTTTAATACTATTCAATCACTTGGTCCTGGTAGGATTGGCCTCATAGCCTAGACTCTCAGATGCAGAAATTTTTGAGTCTTTGAGCCCCTCTCTCACCCTTGTACAGAAGAACTAGAAGCATACCGCAAGATTTCTCAACCTAAACCCTAGAGCAATGCTTTTGAAAAGGTCGCATGCCAAATAATTGAAGGCAGATTGTAGTTTCCAATTCAGATTTATGTGGGTCAGAGATGGATCCCAGAAATCTGCATTTATATAAGCATCTTGTGTATACTCACCTCTACCATTCTGATAGTGATTTGAAGATTACATTATTTATTTATTTATTTATTTTTTTGAGATTTATTTATTTATGCATACAAGAACTGGGGTACAGACCAGAGGTGTGGGGGGGTGAGAGGATTCACCAGAGACAGAGTGGGGAGCAGAACAGGCAGACTGACTGAAATACACTGCTGAGGGGAGCAGCAGGGAAGTCAGCGCCTTATGGGTTGCTCCCTGGCCAGCTGGGGATCGAACTCGTGCCGCACATGCTGCAGTGGCTGTGGCTAGCTTCATAGGTTGCGTTTTAACCCCTTGTGCCACCAGGGAGGCCCTGAAGATTACATTTTTTAAAACACAGCACAGGGTACAGTAGTTAGCAGAAAGGGGCTTGTGAATGACTTGTTTTTCCTACAGTCTACTTCTTTGTGTGTGTAGAAGAACTGGGGTGTAGGCCAGAGGAGTGGGGGGTGAGAGGATGCACCAGAGACAGAGCAGGGAACAGAACAGGCAGGTAGACCGAAGTACAGTGCTGAGGGGAGCAGTGAGCGAGCCAGGAGAGGTCTCTGCGCCATGTGGGTAGTTCCCTGGCTGGGGATCGAACTCATGCTGCAGAGGCTGCTGACAGCTTCACAGCGCTGTGCTCAACCCCTTGAGCCATCAGGGAGGCCCTCCTGTCTATTTTAAAGGCTGCTATGGAAGAGCTCTCTTAATTAAGAGAAGGCTAAAATAGGGCCTCCCTGGTGGCACAAGGGGTTAAGACACAACCTATGAAGCTAGCCACAGCCACTGCAGCACAAGTTCGATCCCCAGCCAGGGAGCAACCTACATGGCGCAGCAGACCTCTCCTGATTCGCCCGCTGCTCCCCTCAGCAGTGTATTTCAGTCAGTCTCAGTCAATCTGCCTGTTCTGTTCCCTACTCTGTCTCTGGTGAATCCTCTCACCCACCACACCTCTGGCCTGTGCCCCAGTTCTTGTATGCATAAATGAATTAATCTTTAAAAAAAAAATTAAAGAGAAGGCTTAAATATCCTGGTAGTTAAAAGGTTAATTTCCACTTTATTTTTATGTATAATCTGTCATTTATCACCCTCTATTTTTAGTTCATGGCAATGTATTTCTGAATTATTTTCTGGAATTGCCTAATTGTCCTCTTCACTCCACAGCCTTTTCCCTGGGGAGATGGTAACCATACTCTATTCCACAATGCTCATATGAATCCACTGCCCACCGGCTATGAAGAGGATTAAAGAGAACCTGGACCATTACCTAGCACTTGGGACCACAACACTGGCTTGGAACATAACTCTGCACATGGACCAGAAAAATGTACGGGACCTTAAGCTCACTTCTTGTATCAAATGCTGACCATTATACTTATCTCCCATCTCTGCTTAATGGCAGGTGATGGCTTAAATAAATAACTTGATTGGTTATGAGCTAGGAATTGCTTTCTTTGGTGGTGTTTTTCCCGTAGAAATTAACATTAATGAAAAAAAAAAAGAAATTAGCATTAATGTTATTTGTTTCTGCAAAGGTCTGTCGCTGCTGTTTACACTGTTTCCGGTCCAACTCAGACTTCCAAGTAATAGTATTTATTTATTTATTTATTTATTTATTTTTAGAGGCATATTTATTTGTTTGTTCTGTTTACACATGCACTGGGTACAGTCAGAAGCGCGGGAGGGTGAGAGAATTCACCAGAGCCAGAGTGGGGAGCAGAGCAGGCAGAAGGACCGAAGTACACTGCTGAGGGGAGCAGCGGGCGGCAGGAGAGGTCTGCAGGCCATGTGGGACCCTCCTCTGGTGGCCGGGGAGCAGCCGGGGATCGAACCGGCGCTGCAGAAGCCGCGGGCAGCTTCGCAACCCAGCGCTCAACCGCTGCGCCACCGGGGAGGCCCTAAATAATAGTATTTATAATATGCCTATTCCTGGTTTCTTGCGCCTGGAGTGGGTAAAGCAAAGGGACCATGAGTGGCGCTATCAAGATTGGTTCCTGACACACTCTGGATGACAAGAGACATTGCGTGATTACAGTTTATATCTAGCGGTACCAGTGATTATCAAGAAGTAACACTCACTTCCTGCAATCAGCTTTTTCCATTCCACCAGCATTTGCTGCAGATTATGAGCTATAGACAGATAATTTTCTCCAAAAGTGTTCTCACCTTGGGGTCATCTCTCTCAGCACCCTAAGTCTGAAAGGATCAGAAACCTTTGGAGAAGTAAAGGCATGGACACATTCTGCATATAGTTGTTTTTAGAGCCAGAACTTTCCGGTCTCCATAAATTAGGGAAAAGTAACAGTAACAAAAGAATTCCTCATAAAAATTTAAAGCCTTTGAAATAACTAGGATAGTTGTAGTCACTTTATGAGAATGAAATAATAGTATGAGGAACAATCAAAAAATCATTTTAATCATCTTTAGTAACAATTGCATAAAAACAGTGGGTTTAAAGCTGGTTGTGTGCTTGGGGATGGGAATTGTATGGGGAATATAACCAAAATGAAAATGCATACATTGTGCAAAAATGAAAAATGATATAAGAATTATATAAAATAAAATATTTAAAAAAGAAAAAAAAAGCTGGTTGTATCAAGGCTCAACCAGTTTTGTGACAACTTTCAAGAGGCTACAAGTTTAGGTAATAATGTTGTATGTACTGTAAGCTGGCAATGCAAGAGTGAGGCATATGAAAACACAGGATGTGAAAGCCATTTACAGTAGGGAAAAAGAATCTTGGCCATTTCAGGATTTAACCACAGCCGGAGCTTTTGAGTCCTTACAGAGCTGAAGTGATGAGTCCAAGACAGATACACTTCAGCTTGCCACTGCGCTTCCCAGCTGCGTCCCAAATAACCTTAACAATCTTTGTATAATGGACTTGAACCAGTCAAAATATAAATATATTTATACACTGAAATGACATTAAGGGCTGGTCATATTAAATATGAAATAGTAATTGGTAGAGAGGGGAGAAGAAAATTCAGACCATCTATAAATCAAGTTTCATACTGTCTTTAAGGCGTGTAGCAAGCTGAACCTGATTACTTGAGCAATTGTGGAGACATTTTAAAGTATGTAAGTGCTCACCTGATCCTGGCATTTGCGTGGTTATGTGTTGTTATATACACATTTTAAGAAAATATTTTTGTAGCTTACAATGGAAATCAATTTTATTATTTTTTTATTTTCATTTCCCTCGCCGCTGACCGGGGAATGAACCAGCGCTGCAGAGGCTTCGGGCAGCCTTGCAGCCCAGCGCTCAATCGCTGCGCCACCAGGAGAGGCCCTGGAAATCAATTTTAGAGTTTGCTAAAATTCCTCAATATATATGGGATCCGTACATGGTAATAGTTTTTAGATACAGTACACTAAGTTCCGAGGGCAAATAATAATAGACACCAAATATTACAATTTATTCCATCTCCATGATTACAGACATGGCAGGGTGGGTAAACGATGCAAATAAAGCATAACTTTTCCTCCCCCAACCCTTCATTTTAACCAGATGCAGCATTTTGACATTTTTATGATCTATGGGTTGACGTAATCCATTGACTTGGGTTGAGAGCTGTCAACAGCAAATCCTTACAATTTAGGATCTTCCATAGATACTCCAAGGATCTTAATTCCTGGGGTACACTGAGCTCTGAAATGGTGTTCATGGCAAAATTCTTCAGTTTCGAATGTGAATCTGAGAAGGCAGGTAACTATTAAAAGTTACCTCCTCTTGGCTAACCCAGTCCACCAGCAATCTTTACCATTAAGTTATATAAAAAGCAAAATTGCTCCCAAGCATTGATTGAAACTGTTGTGCTGGGGGTTCGTTTTCAGACCATTAATTTCCCTGAGAAAAAAGAGATGTCCTAACCATTGCTCCCATGAACACTCACCCAAGAGCAGTTGAACCTAATGTCGTCTGCAGCATAACTCAAGAAGTCAGGCAACCCTGACAAGTTTACCATTATTTACATACAAGGTATAATTAAAGCTGATTCCAGACCAACTAATGCAACCATAATCTCAATAAGTCATTCAGTATTAGCACATAGAGTCCTGCAAGATGCCAGAGCAAGTGAGAAATCATCTCAAAGCAGAATGTTGACTCCTCACCTTTTACAAGCGAGGAAAACAAAGGAGGAAACAAAAATTCTCCCTCCTAAACTCCTCATCGAATGGATGGCTATCTTCGGTCTTAATTGACAAAATCCATAGTTCCTCAATTTCCTGATTTGAGGAGTCCTTTTTCAAGATGACTGTCAAGATCAAGAAGAGCTTTCAGGCTTTTCTTTGCTATGGCCCATGAACTCCAGTCCTTCGATGGGAATCTCCTTCTCCTTTATTGCTTTCTGAGGGGAGAAAACATTATAAAAGTCACTATGAAGCTTGAGGATCAAACGCCCTAGGAGCAGAGAGACTAGAAAGGAGTGAGGGAATCACTAAAATTCAGAAGTGAGATTTAGACCTCTCTATTGTAACAGACACCCAAGTTCCAACCCGGGTTCTTGTCTCTGACCTTGAGCAAGCCTCACTTTTCCCACCAGTAAATGAACACCTCCACCTGGAATTACCCCAGACTCTGAAGTAACGAATTGAGAGTGCCTTGCCCAGTCACAGTGATCTTAAAATTCAAAGTAGTTCCGTATTTACTGGGCTGTGGTGAAAATGTCCTAGCTAATTGAGGAAGAAAACAGACCAATGAAGGAATTATGACAAAAAGAGATCCTAACAAGTCAAAAGACCAGTTAGGCGTCGGCCTCCCCCTGCCTTCCCCCAATACAATTGTAATAGTGGAAAAGTGCACTACTACCAAAACTTGAGTCCAATGAATTTAAACCAATCACTTCCGACTTCTGGGCGTGAGCGTTCCAAGTGCAAAATACGAGTAACTACGCCCACTTTGCAAGTTTAAGATGAGCGCCAAACGGGCCGTGTTACTGTGCTCCGTAAAAAGTAACGCACCGCAAAAATACTCAACTTTGTGGTTGAGAGATACCCCGGCGGCCTTGAGACGAAGGCCGGGGCGAGAGCTCCTGCCACTGGCTTTCTTTGTCCTCCGGGTTCCAAGGCCCGCGAGGTGCACGCGCGAGCTGGGGGCCCCGCAGAAAACGCGGGGCTCGGGCGGCTGCTCACCTGGACACACTGCTGGTAGCGCTTGAAGAGGTCGGTGCATGGGTCCCCGGAGCCGTCTCCCTTGAGGAACTTCTCAGCAAACCAGCGATTGAAACACTGGTCGTACTCGCGCTTCATGTCGGTGCAGGCCTCCCCGACGCTGTTCATGGCGGCGGCGGCGGCTCACCCTGATGTCATCAATCTTAGGCGCGTCGCTCGGTTTGACGTCAGGGGCGGTGACGGGGGCTGAGAAGAGGAGCGATGTGGGCGCGAGCCGTGCGGCTGGGGCTCTGGGCCCAGAGAGGCGGGCGCCGGGGCCTCGCTTCCGAGGCGTCTCAGGTGAGGGCGCGCGCCCCAGGGCGGGTGGCGAGGCAGGGGGGAAGGCGGCCCCTTGTGGCCCACGCGCTCGGCCTCCTCTTCCCAGCGCCCTTCGGGAAGTGGCCGCGTCTCGGCGGAGGTGATCGAGCACCTGGAGCGTCTGGCGCTTGTGGACTTCGGCAGCCGGGAGGCCGTGGCACGGCTGGAGAAAGCCATCGCCTTTGCCGACCGGCTCGGCGCCGTGGACACGGATGGGGTGGAGCCCATGGAGTCGGTGTTGGAGGACAGGTAAGCGCGGCTGCGGCCCCGCCCGGCACCTTTGCAGACATTTAAGGTGGGTAAGTGTCCCCTTGTCACCGAGGGGACAAAGACTTTGCGAGATGCAGGAAGTTCTGTAGGGTCGTCCCGTGGGTTCCCTCTTCCCCTTGGTCATTATGAAACCTAGCACTCTCGTTTAAAATCCTTGAGCCCTCTCAGAGTGAAACAGAACAAAATCCGAACCGCTTATTATCGCCATGGGGGACCCACTTCAGAGGCCCTGCCAATCTCTGGGACATACTGATCTTATCACTCCAGACGCTTTGGCTTCCTCACTGTTTCTCCAGCACGCCAAACTCGTTCTCTCTAGGATCTTTGCACTTGCCATTCACTTTTTTTCTGGAACGGCCTGCCTCCTTGGCAGATCTCAGCTCATCTCCTCTGGAAGGGTCTCTCCTGGCCACTAAGGGTCATCATGGCTAAATACATCATTATTCAGTGGAGTATCTGGTTAAAAATAATGAAACTACATGCTGATATTAAAAGGTCTCCAACATATATTAAAAAGGGAAAGCGCAAACATTGTGTATGGAACATTATTGATACTTTATGTGTAGTTCTAATGCTCTGGTGTATTCATTGTTTTGTTCCCTGAAAGGGCATACCAGAAACTGTTAACAGTGGCTAGTTTTAAAGAAAAATGGGGGAGAAAAAGGAAAAGGAAAAGGGGAGGGGAGGGCAGAGGGAGATTTTTAAGTTTTCCATTTATACCAAGGACTGAAAACACAAATGCCTAAGGGGGAGCAGTGTAAAACACAGGTAAAGTCTTCACTAACATCGTCAGTATGTTCTTGAAAACTGTGACTTTAAGCACTGCGATATATAATGAAACCAGGTCCTCTCATAATGTTATTTCCTTCACCACCAGCCAGTGCTGTGAGGTTCTTTTCTCATCAACGATTGTAACCTAAAGGAACCTGCTGCAGTGAACAAGTGTAGTGTAAGACAATAAGGAATGGGAGCCCTTTGAACAAATTACCTTGTGAATACTACAAGGGTTAAGCCCCTACCCACCTTTACCAATTGTTGCTAATCTTAATACTTTTGTAAAGAAAAGGGGGAGGGGGCATTTTGTGTGCTTATGTGCCAGGTATTGAGACTTTCTATGTATTACCTTAGTTATCACCTCAGTATCACCACCTTAAAAGGTAAATACTAGTGTCTTTTTTACAGATGAAGACAGACTCAAAGGTTTTCTAACTTGCTCCAAGGGTTCGCAAGTAGTAAGAATTTGGGATTTAGAGCTCAGTCTGTGTTCTCAAATACTTTTGAATATACCATCTAAAATCAACCCCCAGAGGGCCTACCTGGTGGTGCAAGGGGTCAAGATGCAACCCATGAAGCTAGCTGCAGCCACTGCAGCACAAGTTCGATCCCCGGGCAGGAAGCTACCCATATGGCGTGGCAGACCTCTCTTGACTCACCCACTACTCCCCTCAGCAGTGTATTTCAGTCTGCCTGTACTGTTCCCCACTCTGTCTGGTGAATCCTCTCATCCCCCGCACCTCTGGCCTGTACCCCACTTCTTGTATGCATAAATAAATCTTTAAAATATAAAATCAGGGCCTTCCCTGGTGGTGCAGGCGGTTGAGCGCAGCACTGTGAAGCTGTCCACAGCCTCTGCAGTGCCAGTTTGATCCCGGCCCGCCAGCGAGAATCCCACATGGCATGGCAGCCCTCTCCTGTCTTGCCTGCTGCTCCCCTCAGCAGTGTATTTCAGTCAGTCTGCCTGTTCTGTTCCCTGCTGTCCGTGGTGAATCCTCTCACCCTCATGCACACCTGGCCTGTACCCTAGTTCTTGTATGAATGAATAAATAAATCTTTAAAAACAACAACAGGGCCTCCCTGCTGGTGCAAGGGGTTAAGCACCGCACTGTGAAGCAATCCTCAGCTTCTGCGTACAAGTTCAATCCCCAGCCAGCCAGGGAGAAACCCACATGGCAGACATGTCTCACCCATTGCTCCCCTCAGCAGTTTTTTGGTCAGTCTGCCTGTTCTCAGAGAATCTAAAAAGAAAAAAAAAAAAAAAAAATTGGGGCCTCACTGGTGGCGCAAAGGGTTAAGGTGCAACCTATGAAGCTCGCCGCAGCCACCGCAGCACAAGTTTGATCTTCGGCCAGGGAGCAACCCACATGGCGCAGCAGACCTCTCCTGGCTCACCCGCTGCTCCCCTCAGCAGTGTATTTCAGTCAATCTGCCTGTTCTGTTCCTCAGTCTGTCTCTGGTGAATCCTCTCACCCCCCGCAACCCTGGCTTGTACCCCAGTTCTTGTATGTATAAGTAAAGAAATCTTTTTAAAAAAATTAAAAACAGGGCCTCCCCGGTGGCGCAGCGGTTGAGCCCTGGGTTGCAAAGGTGCCCCAGCCTCTGCAGTGGCGGTTCGATCCCCGGCTGCTCCCCAGCCACTCGAGGAGGGTCCCGCATGGCGTGCAGACTTCTCCTGCCGCCCGCTGCTCCCCTCAGCAGTGTACTTCGGTCCTTCTGCCTGCTCTGCTCCCCGCTCTGGCTCTGGTGAATTCTCTCACCCTCCCGCGCTTCTGACTGTACCCAGTGCTTGTATAAATAAATAAATCTTTAAAAAAAAAAATAAAATCAACCCCTAGAAACTGGATTAACGTTTCGTCTCCAATCCAGAGACTGACTCAGATGACAGTGTCTCTGACTACAGTCAATACTTTAATGCTTAGGATGTCCTTCAGAGCCATAAATAAACCATTAGCCAAATTGATGAGCTCTCATTCTAGTCTGCATCAAACTAGAAATTAGGAGGGAGGGAAAAAAGACTTATAGATGGAAGTAGAATGGTGCCCAAAGAAATAACTTCTGGGCAGCCTACGACCAGAGGAAGAGAAAGGATTGTCCCACTGTTCAGGCCAAAGACCCAGAGGCACTTCTCTGTCTCTCTGCTGCCACAGTGCCATTAAATGCTTTATATTAGCATTGTCCCAGTTCTGGTTTAAATGCTATATGCCTATCTTTAGAAGGTAGTGATTTCTAGAGTTCACAGTTGGCCTTTCTCAAACCGCTTTTTCAGCTGAATCAGAACATAGATTCTAGTCACCTTTTTCAGTTCTCAAGGATTAATATTAGAATTAATATTAGAATTAATATTAGCCTGGATGCATAGAAGTTGACTTATTATCAAAATGGGTGTCCTGTAGTTTTGGTGCTTGCTTATGGAACTCTGAGAAAGTCAAAGTGAAGTGACAGGCACCTAAAGAGCTGAACTGGTTCTGTTCAGTTTTAGGCATTGATTCTGAGGTTGAGAAAAGTTAAGCAAAAAAGAAGTTAGTGACTTTGTAAGTTGAAGGGCCTACCTGGTATGCCATCCTCACAGAGACCCTGTGTTCAATAACTTATGATTCAGAAAATAGGCTTGATTTTATTCTAAAACAACTCCATCATAAACAAATGTGTGGTATTTAAAGGGGTATTTTTCTGGAAATGCCACTTAATAGTAAACCTGATCACCAAATGAGTGAATAAATCATTATCTATTAGATCTACTGTTGAGAAGAGCAGTTATTTAACCACCAGTCATTGGTAGTCAAGTCCTGTTTTGTTAAAATCTCCAAGTGCCCAGGCACAGAGAGCACTCTCAGTTGTAGTGTAAGCAAGTTGTGCATGATGGCGGCAGCAGGTAAATGAACACACTCTGAGTGAAGGGTGCACACTGGGGTGCACTAAATCTTTCCGAAAGGAGCAAGTGCTGTTCAGCCGCCCTTTCTTACTGGCAATGGAATACAGGCCTATCACTGCCAGGCCTTTTTTGACATTTTATCTCACTTTCTAGCAATTCTCTAAAGCGTTCTACAAATAGGGAAACTGATCCATGAAGAGGACAAGTAACTTACCCACATGCCAAGTGTGGCACTGGGGTTAGAATTCAAGTGTAATTCAGGAGCCCAAATGCTTGGCTATTTTGTTACACTGCCCAACAAATATATAAACTCCAGAAAATCCAGTGATCGCCTTTATGGATGACTTTATTTTTGTTCTCCAAGTTTTCTTAAATGAATGCCTAACACTTGCATGGTTCCAAAAAATCTAGTGTAACCATCATACTTTGGGCCAAACACTTAAGGTCTGGAAAGATCCTATTTGCTCAAGGACAAGCAGTTAAGAGAGAATGCCAGCTCTCTACTCCTTGAACCACAAATAGCTGTTTATTGTGGCTAGCCTGGGGCTGGGAGCCACAAAACAAATATAGGAACAAATCCTTTCCTCAAAGGACCGTGTGACAAAAGTTTAGCCTTCTATGTAGACTTTGCCCAGTTCACTTAGCCCTTTGGCACATTAGGCTCAGCCCTCAGTCTCTCTGGCTTAAAGCAGAAAGAACTCGGCTGCTCCACTATCAGTGATTGAGCAGGCTGTTCATTTTCCAGTGCAAATATCTGGAAGCGGTCTTAGAACTGTCACACACTCTAAACCTTAAAACAGTAGTTAAGCCTCATAGATATGTTCAGCTCCTGTTTGGTTTTAGTAATTTGTCATCTGGATACTTTATGTATTTATTTATTATTATTTTAAAATGTATTTTATTTTTTTAAAGATTTATTTATACAAGCACTGGGTACAGTCAGAAGCGCGGGAGGGTGAGAGAATTCACCAGAGCCAGAGCGGGGAGCAGAGCAGGCAGAAGGACCAAAGTGCACCGCTGAGGGGAGCAGCGGGCGGCAGGAGAGGTCTGTGCGCCATGCGGGACCCTCCTCTGGTGGCCGGGGAGTAGCTGGGGATCGAACCGGCGCTGCAGAGGCTGCGGGCAGCTTTGCAACCCAGTGCTCAACCGCTGTGCCACCGGGGAGGCCCAATCTGGATACTTTAATGGAAGACACTAGGCCCAGGGAATAATGGGAGATTCTTGACCTATGTTTGGGGCACCTCTTACAGGGGGAGGTTTTATATGCATAAAGGTGGCTACAGTGAAGAAAAGTACTCATCTTCAGGGTACTAAGAACTGGGCTCAGTTCCCAGTTCTTTCACTTAACAACTAATATTCTTAAGCCACGTAACCATCCTTGAGCAAGTTTCTACACCTGCCAGGAAGTTCATTTCCCATCCCCCAATCCAGCTGCTTCCTGCCTTTAGCAGTAACATCACCTATTCTGAATACTTGTCCTCACTCTGGCTGGGTTAGATGCCCCTTTCTAATACCTTGGCAAGCTCTGCTTACCTGTTAGATTTAACATATTGTATTGTAATTGTCTTTCTACCTATCTCAATCAAAAGCAACTTAACCATAGTAATCCATGAAAAATATTTATTAAAGATTATAATCCTGAGGAATAATTACCACTTACCTCACAGGCTTGTTGAATCTATAAAATTGTAGACTGTTCTTTTGACCATAGTTCCTTCCTTTTTTGGGCAGTGGCCAAACTCAAGAATATGTTCCTCCCTGGTTCTCCTATTCTTGACCTTCTGCACTCATGCCCTAGAAGCCCAGTCCTCAGAAAAGGTAACCTTGAGCTTCTGGTTTTTAGATGCGTGTACTTGAGATCTGACAACGTGGTAGAAGGCAACTGTGCAGAAGAACTACTACAAAACTCCCATCGAGTTGTGGAGGAGTATTTTGTGGCCCCTCCAGGTATGTGTTGCCTAAAGTGGTTTAATAGAATGAACTAAGAATAAAGGCAGAACTGTGAGGTGCAAAATATACTATGTGAAAGCACTGTAAACAATATAAAGTGGGAGATGGATGAAGGTTAAGAGGCACAAACTGCCAATGACAAAATCAGTAAGTTCTAGAGATGTGATGTAGCAAGTCATGTGATACACCTTCAACTTAAACATATTACACACTTCCAAGGGTCAGCTGGTAGCAGGAATGAGCAAAACAGGATTGGGGTAGGGAGAGGTATGTATGGGGGCAAATCTGCCTGAAGGGGCAACTGGCATTCAATGCTTCTTACTCAGTAGGAATGTGAGCTTGTTTTGAGAGAACGAGGACATCTGGCATTTTATGTGAGACCTTCCAAATTATAAGTATTAGCAACTAATTCAAACTTAAAAACACCACCATGCAAATAAAATACAAGCCAGATGCATCCCGTGACATATCCATCAGTTTGTAACCCCTTGGTGTGTAGATTTGCATCTTAAAATGTCACTTGTAAGTATTTTAAATAGAAACTTTAAAATAACTCTGGGCCAATAATAAAATTCAGCATGATGGGGGTAGGCTGAACTGTTTTTGTCTCCTCTGAAGAGAATGATGGGTCCTCAGAGCTGCTGCCTGGTGCTGCACACTGGCAATGAGACAGACTAGCCTATGCACCCGATAGTCTCCCAGGCACCATCTTCATCCTTAGGAAATTTCTCAGAGAACCATCCTGAGCAGCCTTCAAAGACAGACATCAGCTCTCCCACTTGAGTGGGAGACCAACCAGTAAGAAGAACACTCTGCTTGAAGCAAGAATGGGAAGGCAAACAAGACTTGTGCTCAACTCTTAAGATAGGTCTCTGCATTAACTAAACTACCTCAGTTAACTGTGGAGAGAAATAAGGTTTTATAATCTATCTCAGAGCCTGAGGACTTATGCTGTTTCAGTGCCACTATTCATTTATCACACATACTATTTCTCAAGTAGAACCTTGCATCAGAATTTGCTTCTTGGAACAAAATGAGTAAACAGTCAAGTCTTTCCTTCACTCTTACGTGCATATAAATGGCTAATTAGCCTGTCTGTCCCTTATTGAAAAATGTACATTAATTTGTCTTCACTGACACATGTGATTCTTTCAGATACTCATAATTAGCAAAACAGGATAGTAGTTGTACTTATTTCCACAACAAGTGATGTTAGCTCAGTAGAGCCAGTTAGGGAGCAGGTTCGATTATAACATTCTTTTTGTTACTGTTTTCAAACAGGTAATGTGTCTCTGCCAAAGCTGGATGAACAAGAGCCAGTCTTGCATGGCTGAGCACCTCTACTGGGGAAGGGCGCCCTATGAATATGTGAAAACTTGACCTCAGCATTGTCACTGTGAACCCTAACTTTCCCACTTCCTTCAGTCACCTAAAAAAACCTGGTTAGTATTTTTTAGTAACTAAATCTTCTAAAGACAAAAATTGGGTAAGATGTAGCCTAAACAAGGCAATAAAAGTTCCTGATGCTAATGGAAGTAAAAGACATTGTTAGTTTTTAAGGATGGATCAAATATTCACAGCTCACAGGCTGCTCAGTATGATAGAGGTTATTCCTTTATCTCCTTCCAGAAAGACGCAAACTGCACTTAAGTGAATTTTTAGTAGCTGTTTCCATTTTATCTTCAAGGAACACACTTGAATTTGTTCCTAGGTGCTGTTCCCAGCAGAGGGGGTTACTTTTCTGCTCAGTTCTGGGGAACTTGGGAATTCCTAACCTGGAACCATTTGCCAATCCACAAAGTGACATACTAGCTGGGTTCTAGTTTGTTTCTGAAAAGAACTTATAAAAAAATAGCCCTGGGAAAGCTAACAATATTGTATCGAATACTGAAAATTTGCTAAAAGGGTAGGGATTATGTTAAATGTTCTTATCATATAGATAAAATAAGGGAATAGGAAACCTTGGAAGGTGATGTATAATGGTTGTGTTTATGGTCTTAATGGTAGTGATGATCTCATGGATGTGTACATACTTCACTCTTAAACTCACCGAGTTATACACATTAAAAAAGTACAGCTTTTTACCTGGTGATAACCTGCCTAGGACAGAGTACCCTCCCCTTCCCCCCAGTGATTACTGAATTGAGCAGAATCCAAGATAGTGAGGTTTGGGGCCTCCCTGGTGGCCTAAGGTTTAGTAAGTCTCAGCACCATCACCACTACGGCTTGAGCTCAATCCATCTGAGTTCAATCCACAGCCAGGGAGCTAACCCACATGTAGCGCAAAAGACCTCTCCTGTCTTTCCCACTGCTCCCCTTAGCAGTGTATTTCAGTAGATCTGTCTGTTCTGCTCCCCACTGTCTCTGGTGAATATTCTTACTCCCCCCCCGCCCCCACCTCTGGCCTATACCCTAGTTCTACATTAAAAAATAAGATAGTGGGATTTTGGAGTTTCTTTTGTTTTAAAAAGCTCAGATGCCAAGGATAAATGAGACAGATTTACAGGTAAAAGTGACAGAACCAGAACCTAAGAGATTTTTTTTCTTAACCAAACTGCCAAAGTTGGTTTTTGCTAAGAATTTCCCAATAACCTTTACGCTGTTAAGAATGTTTCTATTCATTGAACCTATTTGCAATGCTGGTTTTTTTTTTGTTTTTTTTTTTTTTAAAGGCAACTTAAGTTACAAGCTTGACCTTCAGTTATTAAAAAAACCTTGAACCTGCCGTTGGGGTTGAATTCTCAAACCACATCACAGTAAATATCTTTATCCCTAAATAAAGCTTTCCACTCCTATTCCTTAACCAATTGGATACAAGCTTCCACTACAACTCAGCAATTTTCTTTTTGAATCAGTGTTCCTACTGGGTGAAATTTATGAACTTAATCAAGGACAACCACACATATCAATTACTAAACGTTTAAAATATATTTCTAAACAGAATGGGCCGACTTAGTCACAGTAACTGCTGATCTCCATAGCAGAGCAACCCACAGATACAGCACTGATTTGTTTCCCATAATCAGAGGTGAAAAATATACAACTTGCTTCTGAACCAAAACCACAATCTCTGCAGTTTAAAATGTTTTACTGCTAATATGGCCCTGGTAGAAATTACGTAGTTTTATTTCTTTTAAAAAAAAATTAAAAAAATTTCCTAACACTAAATCATCAATCTGGAATGTAGATTTTGAGCATAAAGCAGCTCAATTCACCTAGAAAATAAAGAAAGACTTCCCATCACCTGTCTCAGTAGGGCCTGAAGGGAGAGAAGTAGTGTGGGGAACCCCTGCTTTGGTATGGTGAGTCACGGCCCCTTGACCCAGACCGAGACCGTGAGTAGCCATAGCTGGTACTTCTCTCTGGATAAACTCTGATGTAGGAAGTTTCACCCTGAAATTCAAACAAAAAGAAGGGAAAAATAAGATGTAGATTATAAAGTAAACCAAAACCTAACATGGCTTCCTGACATTAGTTAAGTACTGAGCACTTAGTTTGTCTAGTGTGATGTTATCTTGCTAAATCCTCACTGTAATGCGGTGAGGTAGGTACTCTTACTAGCCCATTTCAGGAATGAGGAAATTGAATGAATAATAAATGGCAACCTGATATGTGTTAAATGCTCAAATACTAGCTATTATTAACATATCTAAATAACTGCTACTGATCCCAGAATCCAAGATTTGGAAAAGATGTCAGAGGTCATGGAGTTCAGTCCCCTGCAACCTCATATGAATGAGGAGGACCACCTATGGTAGGAGCTAGCATGTATTCAACACTTCCCAGGCATCAGGAGCTGGGTTAGATGTTCTAATTATATTCATAATTTAGTCTCCTGACAAGTCTTAAAGATGGTGCTATTATTGTGAACATTCTACATATGGGGGGACCAGGGTTCAGAGAAAAACTTGGCTACAAAATTAAATGTGCAGGAGAGGTATCATGTCCTGGCTCTTTGCCCTCAGGTAGCATGCTCAGACGTAAAGATAGTAAGATGAAAGAAGCCAGATGTTTTTTCCCTATACAATCTGTCACTGGATTTACCCTGAGACCCTGCTTTTCAGTGTAACTGAGGACCAAGTGCTTTTTCGTTTCTGCTCCAAATTCAAGTCCAAGAGGACAACTTGAGCACTGTTAAATCATGCAGCCTCCAAGCTATAAAGTTAGGGAATTATGTGAATCCTCAGAAAAAGAAGTGGGCCCAGACATGCCCAAATGTCGTAGCATGTCAGGACAGGTTAACCAGAAAAAAACAAACAAACAATGACCAATTGGTAACCTGGTATCTGGTGTCTCAAAAGTATCAATTTTGAATCAGACTGAGAGACCCAAAGCAGCAGTTGCCTTCTTGAAAGGAAGAAATAAATCCTGAGAGTGAGGTGATCAGCCTCAAGAAAATGCCACATAACTCAGGTTTCAAAGAGAACCTTGTACTACTTTGGGAAAGGAAAGTGAAAGTGACGCCTCTGCCCCAGTAGCAGTACCTGGAAGGGCTGAGGTAATAAGGTTGGCTTGCAGAGCCCAGACTTAGAGCCAGGGGAGGGGCACTGCAGATAAAGCCAGCTATGAAATAACTGATACCTCAGAATAACTCACCACATTATGACAGTATTCTCTTTGGGGAGACTGTTCTCTGTCATGACCCTATAGGAATTAGTCAAGTAAGGCAGATCCTTAGTGGTATTGTTAAGGTCATCAGATAGTGAATGCATGGTCTTTTGCTACTTCTGCTAGGTCAGCTTTAGGTGGAATGGCTCAGCTATAAGCTCCTAAGTAGAAGGTGGTAACCCACCTCGTGAGAGCGAAATTTGGTGTCATCCAGTTTACGCAGGGCATATTCCATGTCTTCTTTTCTGAGATATTCAACCATCCCCATTCCATCTTTCTGCACATCTGCATAACAGACATCCCCAGCTTCTCGCATGTGATCCTTCAGGTCCTGCCAGCTGCCTGACGGAGGAAGTCCTGGGCACAGAAAACATAAAAGAAGAAGCCACATCCTTCAGCCATGTCAACTGCCCTATTAAAAGTCAGCAATACCTAGGATCCCTGCCTTTGAAATCCCCAAATCACAAATCTTGGTAAGGGACGCAAAACCAGAGAATAAAGTATGTGTAGTGAAGCACCTTAATAAGCTGGTTCTAAGTTAATCTTCCAGATAGGAAGCCTTTCCAACAGAGCAAGAAGTCCATCCCATTATAGGTATAATATCTCTATGCATTCATAACCTTCATAATTAATATCAAACTCCCAAGACTTCCGCATTCCATTTTCCCCCGATTATTTCTTGCCTGAGTTCCCGAGATATGGGAATTTTAAAGCCATCCAATGAAATAGCCAAAGTGTAGCTGAAGGTTAACACAAAAATCTGAAGTTTGTTTTCTTGTGGGTGTGAATGACTGACAAACTCGATCAAATAAGTACCTCTTAAAAGACCACCAACATTCTTCAATACAGTGGGGGAAAAGGTAATATTCAGACGCTAAAACTAGTTGGGAGTCATACAACCCTACCTGATGTCATGAAAGGGAAATGTGCTCCTGCTCTCAAAGGCTGTGTTTACCGCTCACAGCTCAGGATTGCAGCCATTTCCTAATAGTTTTCTAAGCAGGATTTCAGAGCAGCATGGAGAGAAAAAAAGATATGTATGACATCCTGAAGGAGGGAAGCGTTCTGGGGTTAAATTACAAAGGGACACAAGATAGGAAGATACTTAGAGAGTATCACTCTTAAGCACTGTGGGAGTCTGCTGTGATTGTGTGACATTTACATCTAAGAAGGTGCGAGACTTCTCAACATATTTTGTACCACCAAGGCCCCTGCAATATGCAGAAGGCCTCACTTCTTTACCAGTGTATTATTATTTTGAAGAGATGCACAAACCCCTGAGCTTAGCATTTTATATCATTTGTCAACACTAGACATTTCATTCTCTACTTTAATGTAATCCATAAGACTCCCAAGTTGTTTTCATTTTTGCACAATTCCAAACCACCACAAAATCTGGCCTTTTTCAGGATGCAAGATTATTAAGTAGGTTACGTTCAAATCTCATTCCTGGAATGTCCTTCTAGCAAGTCCAATCCCAGTGTACAGTCCAAAAGAAAACATTGTTAGAATTCCAGTTCAAGGGATCTTGCCAACATTTTCCCTTTCAACACTTCCGAGGCTGCATTACCAGTGCAATTTCATTTGCAGAACACCTGCCTCACTGACAAACAGGGCAGGGCTTTCAGACTGTCACAGCATTTAGGCTGCTGAAAAGAAAGTCCTACCTACCTCACACACTGAAGAGTAATAACTAACATTTCTTGGAAAACAAACTGTACTAAGTATTTCACGTTTCATCTCATTCACTTTGAAAAGATCATACCTGAAACAAGAACTCGGAAATCAGATCTTCTTGTAGGAGGCCCATTCCTCCCACCGCGGGGCCACCCACCCCGACTTCCATAAGTCCTAGGGAACTCCACACGAAGCCGACACTGGCCATAATCATAACCATTCCTTCCATAAATTGCATCTTCAGCATCTCTGCAAGAAAAGCTTGAAGTTAGTGTTGCTCAATGAGACTGACTCACTTCCCAGTAAGGGACATGAGAAGTAAGTAGGAAACCAAGAGTGAAGAAACAAAAACAAGACCTTGGTGCATGGGGGTGCACTTCTGCTTTGGTTTGAAAATGGAGTGGTATTGGTCATGATACTGGAATTAAACTTTACAGATGTCACACAGGGTTTTCTAGGAACGAAATGACAAACTGTCTATTATAACATATACCCATTACAAGTCTACTTCAAAAAAAAAAGAACACATTGTTGACGAATTACTACTTTCACCAATGAATTTGTTTCTTCTAACTTTGGGGAGCAGTTTCTCAAAGTACACACCATACACTAGTCCTTTAATACTCTTCCACAAGTTCTAGTCCCACAAGTCTACAGAAAGAAAAAGCCACTTAAATTTCACCCAAAGAGATTTCTAAATGTTCAATAGTTACTTTGTCTTTACTAGCATTCTAGAGAAGAGAATTGTTCTCCAGTATTGGATAGGAGAAAGCCCGTCCTCAGAGTTTAAGTAGACAAGCAGAGCTAAAGACATACGTAATTCCAAAACTACTATAAAATCTGGCATTTTTCAGTATCCAAGACTAGGTTAAGTTCAAACCTGATTCCTGGAATGTTTTCCTAGCAAGTCCAGTTCCAGAGTACATTCCAAAAGAAACATCCTTACAATGACAATGAAAGCATCATTCAGATGTGACATAATCACTTATCAAGACAGTATTAAAAGACTGTAGTCATGGGATTAAAAATTATCAGGACCACATTCAGTGCAACCCTGGCTATATTTATAGTGCAGTTGGGAAAAGGCAAAACTGGGCCTCCCTGGGGGCCTAGAGGTTAAATCTCAGCACTATCACTGCTAAGGTCTGAGTTCAATCCCAGCCAGGGAGCTAACCCACCTATGGCGCAGCAGACCTCTCCAGTATGGCTGGCTGCTCCCCTTAGCAGTGTATTTCAGTAAATCTGCCTGTTTTGCCTCTTCCCATTCCCCCTCCACCTCTGGCCTACACCCCAGTTCTTCTATGCCAAAAAAAAAAACAAAAAACAAATAAAGGCAGAGATGTTAGGGCTTAGGAGTAGACTCTGAATGCAAAGTGACCTGTGTTCAAATTATTCTTCTACTACCTGCCTATGAGCAGAGCTGTCTCTGGGAAACTGTATTCAGGCTTTTACATCTTTAAATGTAATATGCCTACATTGTAAGGGTTATTGTAAGGGTTAAATAAGATACTGTGTAAGAGTTAAATAAGATACTGTGTATTGAGTGCTTTGCTTGAAACTTAGCCTCTACTGATATAAAAGGATAGTTTTTCTATTATGAAAGGAATGAGGGAGGAGAGAATAATGGAACAGGCCATACAGTGAGTTTGTACTCTCAAGAGAATGAGGTTCAAATCTTACCTTGATCCCTTACTAGCCTTCTCTTTTAGTAACAACTCTAAATCCTCACATTCAGCATCTTTAAAATGTGGTTTGCTGAAAATGCTAAATACTACAGGGTATGTTACTTAACAAATAGTAACTATTAAAAAAAAAAAACACAATATCAGAACTGTTAACTAATTAACAAGGGCACAACCTTCTCCAGTTTAGGTGTAAAAATGCCTTACTTCCATTTTTCAGGCAAAGGACAAGACACTGGGAATGAGTCGTCAGAATCTTCAACCATCAAAGCCTCAAGGCGCCTCCTGCCTTCCTAGCAAAACACCCTCCAGGCAGCCCTTGCACTGCAGGGTGCAAAGTGGTTCCCTGAGACAATGCTGGAAAACAGCACCTATTTACCCCAAGTGACTGCTACAGGGTTTACCCTGGGAATGAAAGGGGATGACCCAGCTTGTGAATACTCACCCCACCCACCCCACCTTCAAGAATACAGGACAAGACCCAAAAGCAGGTTTACATCAGAAGTGAGAAAAGGGAGAGCTGAGAGAAAGCTAAGGAAATTTATTGGCTGGCACATGGCAGGATGGTAGAGGTGAGCAGGGTGCAAACCAAAGCCAGCCTGTGTTCAGTCTTTCTAAAGTCCACTTGGCGACTCTGATCAGCCCCCAATACCCAGCAGCCCTCCATTTAGGCAGTCAGGGAACAGTCTGGAAAGCTCCACTTTTCGCCAGTGGTATTGGCTATGAGGCCCACCAGAGCTTGCTCCTCGCTGGTCCTCTTACATGACCAGCGAGATACCTGACTTCTAAAAACACCAGTTTTCTGGCCAGGGAGCCAGCGATGGTTGCAAACACCACTGACTCCTCTGGGCCAGTTTAGGGCTCCACAGTTTCCAAATCCTCGGGGCCCTTGGCATCTAATGGTGCTCGCCTCCTTAGCAGTGAGGAGTGAAATCACTGACCCCACTCAGGCAGTTTTAGAAGTTTTTCCAAATCCCTGATGCTTTAAAAACCAGGCCCCAGGCTCGCAGGGCAGAGGCAGGTAGGTTCCATCACAGACACGCCTTTGCGACCTCCAAAGGCATCCACATCCCCGTCTGTTCCCCGCTAACGGCGAGTTCCGGCCGGGGGGAGGGGAGGCCGAGGGGGCGAGCGGCTACTTCTGCTCCTCCCCCGGGCGCTCCCGCGCTGCCCCGGGGCCCGGGCTCCAAGCCCCGGCCTCCCCCTCAGCCGCCCCTGCAGCCGCGGGGGAGGGAAGGGTCGTTTGTGCCACTCCTGAGGCCGGTTTGGGGTGGGCCTGGAGCTCCGAAAGGCCCAACTTTTGTATTTCTAAGTAAAATAAGAAGAGAATGGCAGAGGAAGTGACGGGCGCGCAGAGCACGGCCCGAGCCCGCGGCGAGCAGGCCGCGACTTCCACCCGGGGGCGCCGCGAGGGGCTCAGGCGGCGGGGGCGGGGGCGGGGGCGGGAGAGGCGCCTCCCCCGGGGGGGCCGGGCGGGCCCCGGGCTCGGGCCTCGGCGGGCGGGCGCGGCGGGGGCCTCACCGGGGGTCCTCGAAGCGCACGAAGGCGAAGGGCACGAGGCCGTGCCGGTTCTTGAGCGCGATCTCGCGGATGCGGCCGTACTTGTAGAACAGGTCCTCCAGGTCCTTCTCGCGCACGTCGGTCGGAAGGTTCCCCACGTAGATGCGCCCGTCGCCCTCGCCGCCGCGCTCGTCCGCCCAGCCCGACATCCGCACCGCCCCTCGCCGCGGGCCCGCCGCAGCCCACGTCCCCGCCGCCGCCGCCGCCGCCGCTTCAGCCCGGGTCCCCCCGCAGCGTCCCGGCGGGCTCGGAGGCGCTCAGCCGCACTGCATTGTGGGAACGCGGAGCGGAAGCGAAGGGGTCGGAGGCGGCGAGCGGTGCTTCCTTAAAGGGGACGCGGCGGCGTGGACTGCGCGTGCGCGCACACGGGCGCCCTCTTTGGGCGCAGGCGGCGCCCTGGGCGGCGCGGCGGGAGCGGGGACGTTGGGCCCGTTGGGCTCGCTTCCCGCCGGCCGCTCGCTCGCTCGCGTTGGCGTGGACTTGGGCTTGTGGCCCGGGCGCCCTAGACCTGTGTTCTCCTGCGGTGCCGTTTACCTCAGGCTTTGGGGAGCGCTCCCCGGGATGTCGCGGGGAGGGCGCGGCGGCTGGACGGGCCGCTGTCGCGGTCAGTCTCGGGCAGCAGCGCCCCGGGCCACCGGGCTGCGGCCGCCCGGGGTGTCGCCCGGGGCGGGGACTCCAGAGACCGGGGGAAGAGACAGTCCTCACCTGTCGCTGTCGGTGCAGTGCTCCTGCAGCGTGTGCGTGGCCTCCCTACCCGGCCAGGGCAGGATTGGGGCCCAGAGCCCCTCTCCCAGCCGCCGGGCGCCGCCCTGAAGAAGCCTGGCGGTTCTGGGAGACGCCCACGGTGGCACTTTGCATCTACACGGCACAGTGGGGAGCACTGAGGGATGCTACAAAAACAAGACCTTGCGTCAGGAGGGTTTTTTCCCCGCCCCAGTCGAAGTAGCATTGCTTTACAACAGTGTGTAAGTGTCAGGTGTGCGTCCTTGAAAATCGTGTGTGTAGATGCTACGTTAACTTCCCATGCAGTTGTCTCCTTTTATTTACCTGGTATACCCACTTCGCTTCTGGTAACCATTCATTGGTTTTAGAATCTAAAAATTTATTTTTGTTTTATGTAGCTCATCCGTTTGTTTTCTCTACGGGTACAGGTGAGTGAAATTATATAGTGTTTGTTTTTCTCTATCTGACTTATTTCACTAAGCATAATGCCCTCCAGGTTCATGCGTATATCGCTCCAAATTAGTGGGTTTAAAATAAATATTTATTTATGCATACGAGAACTGGGGTGTAGGCCAGAGGTGTGGGAGGTGAGAAGATGTACCAGACAGAGTGGAGAGCAGAACAGGCAGAGCTACTGAAATACACTGCTGAGGGGACCAGTGGGGGAGATAGGAGAGGTCTGCTGCGCCATGTCGGTCAGTTCCCTAGCCAGGGAGCCTCAGTGGCTGGCAGTAGCTTGGCACTGAGACTTTAATCCCTCTGTCACCAGGGAAACCCTAGTGAGTTTTTTTTTGTTGTTGTATAAAGTGTTGACCTTAAAATTTTCTCATATTAAAAATGAAATTTTGGGCCTCCCTGGTGGCACAGGCGCTTGAGCTCCGCGCTGTGACGATGTTCGCAGCCTCTGTAGCTCCGGTTCGATCCCGGCCGGCCAGCGATGGTCCCACATGGCACAGCAGACCTCTCCTGTGGCGCCCGCTGCTCCCCTCAGCAGTGTCTTCGGTCCATCTGCCTGTTCTGTTCCCCGCTCTGTCTCTGGTGAATCCTCTCACCCTCCTGCGCTTCTGGCCTGTACCGCAGTTCTTGTATAAAATAAATCTTTTTAAAAAAATGAAATTTCAACATCATTTATAATAGTGAGGACATGGAAACAACCTGCTGCCCACTGACAGAGGATTGGATTAAGATGTATATGGGCCCTCCCTGGTGGCCTAGTGGTGAAGTCTACATTATATCTATGGCCAGAATTCAATCCCAGCCATGAAGCTGATCCACATTTGGTGCAGCAGACTTCTCTTACATTGCCCGCTGCTTTCCTTGGCAGTGTATTTCAGTCAATCCACCTGTTCTGTTCCCCACTCTCTCTCTGGTGAATTCTCTCACTCCCGCCCCCCCCCATCTCTGGCCTGCACCCCAGTTCTTCTATGCAAAAATAAATTACAAATTTTAAAAAAGATGTAAATCTACACAAATATTACAAGGAAAGAATAAATGTTTCCATTTACAGCAAAATGGAAGGAGTTCAAGGGAATTTTGTGTAGTAAATCAAGTCAGCATGACAAGGACAAATATTGGACATCTACATAGTGGACTACTTGACAAAGTGAAATACTTTAAAAAACTACCAGACACTAATAAAGTAAGGCTTCTGAGGTTAAGAGGGAAGAAGAGAAGGAGAAAGAATAAAAAAATACATGTGCAAAGCAAATCTAGCTGATTAACTCTAGAATCAAGAGGATGGGTTCTACAGATGTTCACTACTTTCTGTATATTTGAAATTTTTCATAGTAAATGTTGAGGGACATGTATATAAAACTTGTTAAAAACAAACTTAATGCTAGCACTAGCAAGGGAATACAGCCAAACATTTAATCAGATGATAGTTGATTTCTAGTTATTACCATCTCAGAGCCTTTAAAATGAAAACAAGCAAACAAAAACAATAGGCACCTATATATAACTACTGATGGTATAGTCTTTTTGGAAGGCAAATTGATGGTATACAGCAGGCTCTGATAATATACCTCTTGATCCAGTAATTCCACTTGCAGGATTTTATCATAAGTAAATAAGAAATTCTCACAATAAATTATGTATGTTCATTGCATTCTTTGTAATTAAAAAAATTAAGCTCTTGATAATAAGGGTGTGGCTTAACACAATAATATCGAATGTTACACAATTATTATGTTTTGAAGGATATTAAGGTCACACTAATTTAGTTGTAATTAAAATTTGTTAAAAGTAGTGTTTAGTATATGCATATTCACATGTAAGTATATATATATTTTAAAGATTTATTTATTTATGCATACAAGATCTGGGGTACAGACCAGAGGTGCAGGGCGTGGTGGGGGGGTGTTGAGAGGATTCACCGGAGACAGAATGGGAAGCAGAACAGGGAAACTGACCGAAGTACACTGTTGAGGGGAACAGCATGCGAGCCAGGAGAGGTCTGCTGCGCCATGTGGGTTGCTCCCTGGCGGTCCAGGGATCGAACTCATGCTGCAGTGGCTGTGGACAGCTTCATAGGTTGCATCTTAACCCCTTGCGCCACCAGGGAGACCCCACATATAAGTATATATTCTAAAGGAATCTACTAAACCTTAGAAACACCAGTTGTCTTCTTTCGTTTTTGGGGGTTTTTTTTGAGCAAATGTTTTTATTTTTAGATTTTTTTTTAAAGATTTATTTATTCATTCATACAAGCACTGGGTACAGTCAGAAGCGCGGGAGGGTGAGAGAATTCACCAGAGCCAGAGCAGGGAGCAGGGAGCAGAACAGGCAGAAGGACGGAAGTAAACTGCTGAGGGGAGCAGTAGGCGGCATGAGAGGTCTGCGCGCCATGCGGGACCCTCCTCCGGTGGCCTGGGAGCAGCCGGGGATCGAGCCGGCGCCGCAGAGGCTTCGGGCAGCTTTGCAACCCAGCGCTCAACCGCTGTGCCACCAGGGAGGCCCCCTTTGGGTAGATTCTTAAGGAGTGGAATCGCTGGATCATATATAGATCCATTTTTAGTGTTCTGCGGAATCTCCACACAGCTTTCCATAGTGGCTGGACCAGTTTGCATTCCCATGAGTAGTGTAAAAGGGTTCCTTTATCTCCAACTCCAGTTGGAGTTGCCAACTCTAAAGAAGGCAATTGTGAACATATGTCCAACTAGACGGGATTATTCTAAGCAAAATAAACCAAAAGGAGAGACAAATAATGGATATTTTCACTCATATGTGGAATATAAAGAAACAAAGCAAAGGAACAGACATAAAACAAACCTTTGGACTCTGACCTCAGAACTGAGGAGGGGCAGGTGGGGTGAGAGAACTATTGACGCATTATTGGTGGGCAGTCATAATGTAGTAACATACATTCAACAGGGTGTGAAACTATACCCCTAAAACATTTGCAATGTTGTAAATCAATGTTTCTTCACTAGAATTTTTTTAATTTTAAAAATTAAAAATGTAATGCAAATGTGGATGTCATATAGTTCTGTAAAGTTGAAGATTGTTACCGCAACTATAATTCCATTTCCATTTTTATATTCTGAAATAAAGTTTTATGCAACATTATCTCAGTTCTGAATGAGAGAATATATATATCACACACACATACCACATACATATATATGTCAGTGTATATATATATTCATTGCTTGTAACAAAAAAGTAGAAGAAAATAACCTTCCAAATTGTGGAGATATTTCTTGATGGCAGTTGTAGCTATATTTTTATTTTTATTTATGCTTTCTTGTCTTTCTCAAATTGTAATAAGCATATCCTCCTTGTGTAATTGGAAAAGGGCACAATAAATTATTCCTAAAAAAAAAGAACCAACTGTTGTATGATGGATGATGTAAAGCTTCTAGTTGTTTTTTGCTGGCCTTCAGAAGACAAGCAGGAAAGAGCCCTGGCCAGAGAGGCTCTTGAGTCTAAGTACATAGCCATATAAGAGCTTATATATCCTAAAGGCATTTTTTTTTAAAGATCTATGCATACAAAAGCTGGGGTACAGGCCAGAGGTGTGGGAGGTGAGAGGATTCGCCAGAGATAGAGTAGGGAACAGAACAGACAATCTGACTGAAATACACTGCTGAGGGGAGCAGCGGGCGAGACAGGAAAGGTCTGCTCCGCCATGTGGGTTGCTCCCTGGCCGGCTGGGGAGGCTGTGGACAGCTTCATAGGTTGCATCTTAACCCCTTGCGCCACCAGGGAGACCCCCTAAAGGCATTTTTAAGTCCCAGTGCCACCTTATTTTGGAGGGTGTGTTAAGGTGTATTAACACCATCTCTGAAACCTACCACTCCTACATGATTGTTGTTGGAGACAATTAGGTAAGTCTCCTAGGGAGAAAGTGGAGCCAATGAAGTGTCCTAATAGGACTCTAGGTGGAAGACTGCTTGTAAATAGTAATGATTCACCTGATATCCGTGCAGTCTTGCAGTGTGCAATCTTGCAGTGTGCAGTCCTCAAAGGGGGTTCATACCCAGCCTAGAAAATGTGCTCAGATATGAGAATCTGGCATGTACTGCCTTTCTGGATTAGAACAAACAACTAAATCAATAGGAAGCATTTATGATCCTTTACGGAAACGCAAAGGTGGATTTTATTCTTTTGAACCCATGTACAAACTTTTGCAGGTTAGAAGCCAAAAAAGGTGAAAATAAGGGTTTTGTGACCTGGCCTGAACCAAGAATAATGACCTGGAGTCCTGCCTTAGAAGCCTCTGTATTATGTTCCTTAGGACTGTAGTAATTGAGTTGCTTAATGCTTTTTTTTAATTTTATTTTTTTAAAAGATTTATTTATTTATTTATACATACATACATACATACATACATGCACTGGGTACATTCAGAAGCGCGGGAGGGTGAGAGAATTCACCAGAGTCAGAGCAGGGAGCAGAGCAGGCAGAAGGATGGAAGTACACTGCTGAGGGGAGCAGTGAGCGGCAGGAGAGGTCTGCGCACCATGTGGGACCCTCCTCTGGTGGCCAGGGAGCAGCCGGGGATCGAACCTGTACTGCAGAGGCTGCGGGCAGCTTTGCAACCCAGCGCTCAACCGCTGCGCTGCCAGGGAGGCCAATGCTTTTTTTTTTAAAGGAGTCTTTCATGCTGGGTTCCACCAGACTTTATTTTATTTTATTTTATTTTTAAAGATTTATTTATTTATGCAATCTACCCGTTCTGTTCCCCACTCTGTCTCTGGTGAATCCTCTCACCCCCCACACCTCTGGCCTATAACCCAGTTCTTGTATGCATAAGTAAATAATCTTAAAAAAAAATAAATGGGAACAACCTCGTGGTTCAGAGTCAGGCTTTCTGAGCATGAGTCATATGACCCTTTTAGGTAATTAATAAATTGGGGGTCCCTCATCCAGGAGCCCCTTTGGCTTGGTATTCAGACACTGCCCCTCTGGAGGGACCACCAGCCAGTCCCAGCAGCTGTTCTTTTTTTGGGGCACTGACACTGTGTCTTCTCTCAGCTTGGCTGACATCCTTAGCTGCAACCATGTATTTTGATTTCCACAAGGGAATTAAATAAATGCCTGCTAAGTCCTGCACAATTGTCTGGACTGGTAAGTATCTGGGGGTACCAAAGCTGGAGGTCATTGCCTTTTCTGGGGTGATCTTTCAACTGCACCATCTGACCAGAGCTAATTTTTTTGTTTCCAGAGGGGTGGATGCTGAGATAAGAGACCTCTGGAGATGCTCCAACTCCCGATCTGTTTGCCCTCTCAGGTTAGTGTGCTTTTGTGGGTCCTCTTGATTTATTTTTATTTATTTTATACGTTTTTTAAAGATTTATTTATGAATTTAAGAACTGGGGTACAGGCCAGATGTGCAGTGGTGAGAGGATTCACCAGAGAGAATGGGGAGTAGAACAGGCAGATCCAACAAAATACACTGCTGAGGGGAGCAGCAGGCACCACAGGAGAGGTCTGCTGCACCTTGTGGATGCAGGCCAGAGGTGTGGGGGGTGAGAGGATTCACTAGAGACAGAGAGGGGAACAGAACAGGCAGATCTACTGAAATACACTGCTGAGGGGAGCAGCGAGCAAGTCAGGAGAGGTCTGCTGCGCCATGTGGGTAGCTCCCTGGCCTGAGATTGAACTCATGCCGCAATGGCTGTGGATAGCTTCATAGGTTTCATCTCAAGCCCTTCTGCCACCAGGGAAGCCCTGGAGGACAAATATTTCTAATGACTTTTTGTTAGAAATATTTTGTTTTCCGGGCCTCCCCGGTGGCGCAGCGGTTGAGCGCTGGGTTGCGAAGCTGCCCGCGGCCTCTGCGGCGCCGGTTCGATCCCCGGCTGCTCCCCGGCCACCGGAGGAGGATCCCACATGGTGCGCAGACCTCTCCTGCCACCCGCTGCTCCCCTCAGCAGTGTACTTCAGCCCTTCTGCCTGCTCTGCTCCCCGCTCTGGCTCTGGTGAATTCTCTCACCCTCCCGCGCTTCTGACTGTACCCAGTGCATGTATAAACAAAACAAACAAATATAATAAATAAATAAATAAAAACATGCCTCTATTAAAAAAAAAAAAAAAAAAGAAATATTTTGTTTTCCTTTCTTCAGAAATATTTTTTGAGTTGACTGTACCTGCACCAATGACAAATTGCATCTTTTTTGAGAACTTAAAGATTTGCTTTTTCTTTTCCCCTGATACCCCAAAATGTGAACTTTCAGTAAGTGTTCATATTTCTCATGGCAATGTGTTGATTAAATCCAATAAGACTTTTTTTTTTTCCTGTAGTAGACTATTGGGAACACGGTTGTATTACTGGGGCTTTGGCTGGAATGTGCTAGTCTGCTTGCAGGAGTCTAGTTTGGCCTCAGAACTTTTGAGAAAAGATATCCTGAATGTCTTGCTTTCAGGGTTCCAGGTCTGTCCGGAAAAGTGTAAGGGAGGTCACCGCTTGGCAAATCCATAGACCCCAGGACATTTTGGGATCTTGAGGAAAGGTACTGAACTTACCCAAAGATAAATGTACAACAGGCAAAGTCTGATGGGGAGGCCCTGGCATGGCCCTGAGTCCCGAGAGGCTACCTGTAAAGAGCTCAACCTGAGATTCCTTTTGAAAACTTCCAGCACTGCAGACTTTTTAAAGTATACAGTTATATTTTATTCTCATTGTATGTATGCAAACAGAATCAAAACACTGACCAAGTATATTGGAACTGGACTTAATCTGCAAATGAGTTTTACTCTAATTATTTGGTAGTTATAACATGCACTAATACAGCTCTGTCCTCCAGGTGCGTATTCAGGTTGCCATTCAAACAGTGATTTGGGGTTCAGTTGTGGTAAGGTTAAGCTGCTGCAAGGCAACCTAATGCAGTTTTAGAGATTGTAAGGAAAGCTCCAGGAGATGTTTACTGAGCACAGAAAGACCAGTAGGAGTTAATCATAAGCCAGAAGGGGAAGGTGTTTGAGGCAAGAAGAACAGCAGGAGCCATCACACACACAGAGGAGAGTGTGGTAGACTAGAGCAGTCCCCACTGCACTCCAGCATGGCTGGAACAGGGAGTTCAAGGAGGTATAAGGTACAGGGGGCTGGGGATTGCAAGGCCTAGTATACAATAGTATGGCCTTTGGACTCTACTGAGGCAGTGAGTCGCCATTGAAAGGTTTTAAGGAGTCATTTTGGGATGAGACCTTCTCAGTAGAAAGTGGCAGCTGAGGGGATTGGCAATGTGGAGTAGGAGAGGAGACTGAGCTAAATTCTGGGAGACAGCTGCAGGATAGTAGGAGAAGGAAAGGAAGTGAGGGAGAGATGTAGCAGTAGTTTCCAGTGAGGGCAGGGGTAGGGCTTCCGGGAGAGAGAGATGATTAAGGGTCAGTGTAGAAAGCATTGCTGTTTAATTGCTGTGTAAGTACACACTGCAATGACTTCATAAATTCCTTTATTAAAAATCTATATTGTAGGGCCTCCCTGGTGGCGCAAGGGGTTAAGTCTCAGCACTATGAAGCTATCCACTGCCACTGCAGCGCAGAGTTAGATACCGGCCAGGGAGCTGACCCACATGGTGCAGCAGACCTCTCCTGTTTCTCCCGCTGCTCCCCTCAGCAGTGTATTTCAGTAGATCCGCCTGTTCTGCTCCCCACTCTGGTGAATCCTCTCACCCCCCACACCTCTGGCCTGTACCCCAGTTCTGGTATGCATAAATAAATGAATCTTTAAAAAAATCTATATTGTCCATTCATGATTTGGGTGTTGGACTCTTATTATTCTGGGAAGATATGACTCATCTCTAGCCTAAAGGGAAGTAGAGGTAAGAACAGGGATATCCCCGATGACCCATTGACTAACAGGTTACAAAGGGACATAATATGGAAGTGGGTGCAGGACACCACTGCAGCCGCCCAAGCAAGAACTCTCAGTGACCTGACATAAGGCCACAGAGATAGATGCTAAGGAGTGAGGCATCCCAAGGAGATGAAATCATCGGACTTGAGGGTGGAGGGTGAAGACCAGGTTGATCCCCACATTCCTGGCTTAGGGAACTGGTCAGGCGGTGGTATCACTCTGTGATTGAGAATAAAGCAGAAGGAACAAACTTGCAGGGGAAGGGGCTGATCTTTGGCACTGGATGGTGATGAGTTCAGAATTGTGTGCAGGACATAAGGAGAACTGTGATGACTCTAGGCTCTCTGCGCCCTAGTAGAATTCCAGGTGATGGTAGATGGGGATTGGAGCCTGATACTTGAGATAAGACTGTCCTTCCTACAGGAGAAGCTTTCACTTGAAATACATGGCACTCAATAAAATTCGTCATCCTTGCCTTCAGATTGAATAGACTTTGACCTTGGCAGACTGCTAAGAGTTAATGCTTTTCCCACAGCAAGTTTTACTTCTATGAGTAGAGCAGTGACTAATAAAAAAAAAAATAAAACAATTAACACTGGGGATAAAACAGTCTGTGAACCTGCCTGTCTGGTTTTTTGCCTTTCCCTATGACATCAATCCCCTTTGGCATCCCAGGAAAATGTTTTCTTCTTTGTCAAGCTCAGTTAGGAGCTGCTCCCAGACCCTGGCCCTTGGGAGTGGCAGGCAGAAGCGGAAGTGATGGGGCAGTAGACCGTGAGTGGCAAAATGAGTCATCTTGGGGAAACTGGTCCAGGTTGGCAGGGAGAGCTGTGGGCTGGGTGGCTGTGGAATGTGCTTCTGGTCACAGCACCCTGGACCTCCCCATAGTTCTCTGCCACTGTATTTGTGTGATGGGGTAAAGGAAAACATATTCGGGCAAGCTGTGCAATAAAGAACTGATCCATGCAGGGAAGAAGGGGAGAGACAGCAGCAGAGCTAGGTTTGGAGAGAGTTTAGAATGGAGGAGCAGAGCGCTTTAGGGAAACCAGTGCCATGTGTAGGAGGCTGTGAACAGAAAGATGGGAAAGATAATTCAAGAAGATTTGCCATGTGTTGTGAATATTAGTCCCTTTGGTGTTTTCTTAAGAGACTGCAGAAAATCTTTAATGTTGTTTTTCAAGTATTTTTGAGTAATGAACCGATCTTTTCTTTGAAAGTGACCAAGCAGGTAGGAACAGAATGGGCCTGGTTTTATATCAGGTACATTAAAGGCAGTGAGCATATTGAATTTGTTATATTCTGAGATGAAGTCCACGAATAGTTTGTCATATCAGGGCTTGTTGTATGCGTGGGCTTCAGTGATCAGGGATACATGGGGTTCAGGCATCTGCTCCCTACTCCAGCCTGCAAAGCTGTAAACTTTTACATGTCAACAGAAGGTTCTTTATTCTGAGGAGAATATCCATGCAGTGCTGTCCAGTAGGACCCTGCACGATGATAGAAATGTTCTGTAGCTGGGTTCTATGTGGTAGCCAATAGCCACTTCCCATGTCGTTATTGGATACTTAAAATAGGCTACTGCAACTGAGAAACTGAACTTTTATTTATTTTTGAAATTGAACTTTTAATTGTATTTAATTTAATTAATATTTTTTATTATGCATAAAAGAACTGGGGTGTAGGCCAGAGGTGCTGGGGGTGAGAGGATTCACCAGACACAGAGTGGGAAGCAGAACAGGAGAATCTACTGAAATACACTGCTGAGGGGAGCAGCAGGAGAGACAGGAGAGGTCTGCTGTGCCATATGGGTCACCTCCCTGGCTGGGGATGGAACTCAAGCCGCTGTGGTGATAGCACAGACTTTACCCCTACACCACCAGAGAGGCCCTAATAGACTATTTTTAAAGAGCCCTAACTTTTTGGACTCAGATCAAGTTTGTACTAAGCAGATTAAAAAATTTTTTTGTTGTTGTTGAAATAACATTGATTTATAACATTGTGTGTTTCAGCTAAGCAGACTTTTGATGAACTGTGTCAATATAATTTGGTAACAGCATCTGAAAGGTAAACACACTTCTTATAACAAATATGGTAAATATCTGGAGCTGTTTAAAAAGTAAAAATAAATAAAGTGAGCCAAGAGCAAAAGAAGCTTCTAGGCACCTCAGCCCCTGCACTGACATGTGCATGGCACCTGCACTACTTCCATGTGGCTGGGGCTGGTGGTCCCCAAAGCCAGCCCATGGGCAGGGCTTCTGTGACTGTCACACTAACCAACATTCCCTGGAGCTAGGTAGCTGAGGATTGGTTTCTTGTGTTAATCCAGTCTGTCTTCCCTGGCACACTCCTTGGAAGTGCCTGCAGCAGACCAGGGTTTTCCACCTTGTGAAATGCTTTCACCCCCAGCTCCAAGAGCTCAGGGTTGTGTAAGTGGCAACTGTGACTTTGGTGGCCTCCGCACTTCTTGCCCACTTGACATTTTTCATTTATTCAACTGATATTTATTGAGCCACGGAACTGCCTGGCTCTCTGTGGGTTCCGGTAACACCACTGTGAGCTCTGTTCACGTACCACTCACAGGGAATTGAAAAGAGAATTGCAACAAATTGAGATAGGTGCTATGAAAAATACAGGGTGCTCTAGTCCTCCTCAACCCAGACTAAAAGGGGTGTTCAGGGAAGAAGTCTTGGATAGGCAGCTCTCTAAGTTGAGACCTGAAGAACTTGCTGATGTTAGGTAAATGAAGTGAAGAACATTCTAGATAAAAGGAAAAGTATATGCAAAGGAAACTGGGAGGACAAAAAAGAGCTGGTGCTTGGGGGATACTAAATAGCCCAGCACAGCTGGGGCCTGGGATGGGGGTGAGGGGTGTTCTTTCTTGCTCAAGAGCCATGGTCACTTCTGGTGAGATTTACTGATGTAAATCAGAGCCTGACTGGGTTAGATTATATGTGTAAGTCCTAAGTATTCCAGCTGCTCAGTGGAAATCAGTGTGAGTTGCCTTTACCACACAAATGTTTTTTGTATATTCCTGAATAGGATGATTGTAAAGGGGATGAGATGTTCAGATGGGGAATGGGGAGGAGAATATAGTCTCACAGTCTCCTAGGAGAGCTGTGAATAGCCAAAGGGTGCTTTGCTTGTTTGGAAGCCAGAAAGAAAGAGAGCCGGACAGGATCAAACAATGATCCCTCAAAACACTAGCATGTTTATTAATATTAACTATGAATCCCCTTCAAAATGGAAATGACCTCAAGGTCTACCCCGAAGAGACTTGTTACAGACCATGCAGATACTCAAGAGACCAAGTCCATTCATGCAGGTAGGAAATGAAATGGTCTGAAAGATATTCATGGAATGAGTACTGTGTGTACTGTGCGGGTGCTGTGTGGGAGACCCCAAGGCAGAGACAACGGATTGCACCTAGAGGGAGCCTATCTCCACACCCTTAGCTCGGCCCTTCATGATTTACCTCCGCCAGCCTCTCCTCATCTACTTCCCTCCAATTTGCTGTGTCTGCACTAGGTCTTTGCAGGGGCTACTTCTCCTTGGAACATTGATTCTCTCTCCATCTCTGCCTCCTCAAGATCTGTGTTCAGGCCTCTGACTAAGAGAGTTGGTGTTCAGTCATGCCACGACTTGTGTGACCCAAGTCCGGAACTTTCCTCCAGGTTTGTACCTCTGAGAGGCCTACTTATCCCCATTATACCTTTCATTTCCTCAAGAGTATTTTTTAAAGATTTATTTATTTATGCATACAAGAGCTGGGGTGTAGGCAGAGGTACAGGAGGTTGAGAGGATTCACTAGAGTAGGGAACAGAATAGACGGATCCACTGAAATACACTGCTGAGGGGAGCAGCAGGAGAGACAGGAGAGGTCTGCTGTGCTATGTGGGTAAGCTCCCTGGCTGGGGATCGAACTTGTGCTGCAGAGGCTGTGGATTGCTTCATAGTGAGGTGCTTAACCCCTTGCGCCACCAGGGAAGTCCCCAGTTGATTTGTTTAAGCACATTCTAGAATATTTTTATCAAGTTCTGTATGGCATCCATTGATATTTTAATTGAAATGGTGCTAATATCTATGTATTTACATATGGAAATTTTTCATTCTTACTATATTTAATCTTCCCTTCCAGAAAGTTGGCATTTTCATATGTTCATGTCTCTTTTTTTCTATTTTTCCTATGTGGCTTATAGTTTTTATATTTAATGAATTCTGTGTCTGTAACACTGTGTTAATACCAAGTGACTTCTTGTGTCTTTTTTTTTTTTAATTTTTTTTTTTTTAAAGATTTATTTATTTATTTATACAAGCACTGGGTACAGTCAGAAGTGCGGGAGGGTGAGAGAATTCCCCAGAGCCAGAAGGGGGAGCAGAGCAGGCAGAAGGACCGAAGCACACTGCTGAGGGGAGCAGCGGGTGGCAGGAGAGGTCTGCGTGCCATGTGGGACCCTCCTCCGGAGGCCGGGGAGCAGCCGGGGATCGAACCAACGCTGCAGAGACTACGGACAGCTTTGCAACCCAGCGCTCAACCGCTGCGCCACCGGGGAGGCCCTTTTTTTTTTTTTTTAATATCACCTCTGGTACCAAATGTGTTATTTTTCTTCGCCAATTCTCCCACACCAATAGTTCCATTCAGTTCGATTCAATTCTGACACTAACTACTCAGAGTTAGTGCAGACCCCCACAGATTAAGGACTCAATCCCCTGAGATGATCCCCACCTCAGAAACTGGCTACAGCTTGGGAGGTTGCCAGTCTTCCCACACTTGTTCCCCACTAATGAAAATCAGTGAGGGGATAATACCCACAGCCCCTCCTCAGATTTGACACTCTGCTAGAATGATCCACAGAACTCACAAAACCACTTCATTTTCATTTAATGGTTAACTGCAAAGACTACAACCCAGAAACAGTGAAATGGATGAGATACACAGGACAAGGCATGGGGGGGGGCAGGAGCCTCCACACTCTCAGGGCAGGCCACCCACCCAGCTCACCATGTCCCTGTGTGTCCCAGCCCAGAAGCTCTTCAAATCTTGTTCAGGAGTTTAAAACCCAAACTACGGCTCCCTCCTTCTCCTCAGAAGTTGGGGGTTGAGGTGGAAATCTCATGTATGTCTTTTGGGTAAAATATGTAATTGAATTTACTTCTCTTTTGCTAATCTGTTTTTGGTCAGTTTAATTCATAGACCTCCCCCACCACCCCGCCACTGAACCAAAGAGGGAACCATTTCCCCCTCATCCCGCACTATCAGCAAACTGCTTCTAAAACTGACATGGAAAAGCAAAGGTACTAGACATAGCCAAAACAATTCTGAAAAAGAATGAAGTCAGAGGACTCATATTACCACCAATTTTGACTTACTATAAAGTCATAGTAAACAAGACAGGGGGGTATTGGTGTAAGGATAAACATACAGATCAAAGTAACAGATAGAGATCCCCAAAGTACTCAAAAATACAGTGAACTGGTTTTTGACAAAGGTTCAAAGGCAAGTCAATGGGAAAAGGACAAACTTCTTTAGGACTTGAATTGGAACCACTGGAGGGTTTTGAGTAGAGAAGAATCACTATTACTTGGAATTTTGGTCTGTTTATTTGAGTTGGTTTCTAAAAGCTCACTACTTGGTAACGAATAGTCTACAGGACAGCATTGGTGGGTGGTCCACTAAATGCTGTTGAAATTACTGCATGGAAAATGTGGGGTTTGGACTAGGTCATAACAATAGAGGTAAGAAGTGGTCAGTTGGAGACATGTTGCAAGACTGAGCTGACAGAATTTGCTGATGGGTTTGATGTGAAGTGTGAAGGACACATTTAGGAATCAAAGGAAACTTGCTTGCTGATTTTTTTCCCTGAGCACCTAGAAGAATGGAGGTGCTTTTTTCAGAGTTGAGGAATGCGGCTCCAGGATAAGCAGTTTGGGATCCAAGCAGGGCTATTTTGGACATGTTGGGTTTGAAATACCTATTAGACATGCCAGAGGCATTTCAAATAGGACTTAGAATGTGGGCTAAGCGTTCAGGAGAGACGTCTGAAGTTGAAGTAGAGCTTGGGAGTTGCAATAGGCTAAATGTTTGTGTATCCCAACATTTGTATGTTGAAACCTGCCTCCCCAATGGGATGGTAGTAGGAGGTGAGGCCTTTGGGAGGGGATACGGTCCCCTTTGTGAATGGAATGAGCACCCTCCTAAAAGAGACCACAGAGAGCTGCCTCGCTCCTTCCACTCTCTGCGGACAATGCAAGAAGAGGCCTGCCTGTGAAACAAGCAGCAGGCTCCAACTAGACCTCCCTGCACTTCCTGGCACCCTGATCTTGGACTTCTGACTTCCAGGACTGTGAGACATAAAATTCTGTTGTTTATAAGCCATCCAGGCCATGGCATTCTGTTCTAGCAGCATGAACAGCAAGCAGTCATGATCAGAGATGGTATTTATTTAAAGCCACAAAAATAGAGACTATGAGAAACTGAGGAGCAGTCGCCAGTGAGATAGAAGAAGACCTGGGAGAGGCCTGGGGATCCTGGGAGCCAAGCAGAGAATGTTCTTCAGAGAGGAAAATAGCAACAGGGAAAAATACATCAGTGAAGGAGGTTGAGAACTGCTCACTGATGACTTTGATATGTTGTAATGGTGGAGTGGATTGAAGAGAGAACGGAGGTGTCTTGTTTTGGGCTGCGATAACAAAACACCATAGACTGGATGACTTACTGATAACAGAAGGCTGTTTCTCACAGTTCTGAATCAGAGACAGTGAGTTCAGAAAACTCTGGAGGAGGCTGAGATGGGATAGTAGCTGGAAGAGAATGTATAGTCAAGGGAGTCGTATTTTAGGGATGGAGCATGTTCCGGCTTGTTTACACCCTAATGGGAATAATCCGGTAGAATAATCAAGGGAAACTGATGATACAGGAGAGGAAGCAAGGACTGAGGATCGCAGCAGTGAGAGGAGATGGTCTGAGGTAGGAGCTCTGTTTTCTGCATGGTGACTGGAGGGGAGACAGAGCGCTTGCACACAGACATGGGTGCGTGGGTAGGGGTGGTGCTGGAATTGTAGGGAAGTCGGCTAAAAGAATGAAGTGGATCTATGTGGCATCACACAGAAAACCCAGATTCATCCCATTTTGGTAAAAATGAGATAAAAAATTATTATATATATATATATTTGAAAGATCTCATTTTAGCCATTTTTATCTTTGAGTTGTAAAATTGCCAAGAATTTTCTTTGCCTGATTCTAAATTTCTGCAGTCTTTGACTTTGATATTGAATAACTGTGACTTGTGAAAGTAGAATAAAACAAATTATTTTTAACTTTGAAAGATTCCATCAGAACAAAGCTGTGAGATAAGAGCAAATATATATCAGTCTTTGCTGTGCCCCCCGCTCCTTTCCTGGCACAGAGCTCCCCAAACCCTTGTAATTTCCTAAGCAATAAAAGCACTAGGAGTATCTCTTATTTAAACATTTATCTTTGGCCCCATCCCTGACACTCATAAATTTATAAGTGTTAGGAGCGCCGGCAGCATCTTTTGTTCTAATGATGTGTTTCTGGATGGAGAGTGGTTGGGGGCTGGATGGAGAATGGTCATGAAAAACATCAAACCATGATTAGAAGTTTGGAATTTTCAGCCCCACCCCCATCCTCTAGAAAAGGGAGAGGGGCTAGAAATGGAGTTTATAATTATATATATATATTTTTTTTTTGGGGGGGGTAGTTTTTCTTTCTTTTGAGTTTATAATTGATGGTGTTTGTGTGAGGAAGACTTCCCAGGGAGTCTGCAGGAAGTTGCTTCCAGGTGGGTAAAGATATCCACACCAGGAGAGTGATGCACCCCAACCCCACAGGGACAGGAACTCCTATCTCCAGACCTCGCCCATGTATCTCTTAATCTGTATTCTTTTTTTTTTTTAAAGATTTATTTATTTATTTATTTATTTATTTATTTATTTATATAAGCACTGGGTACAGTCAGAGACGTGGGAGGGTTAGAGAATTCACCCAAGCCAGAGCGGGGAGCAGAGCAGGCAGAAGGACCGAAGTACACTGCTGAGGGGAGCAGTGGGCGGCAGGAGAGGTCTGCGCACCATGTGGGACCCTCTGGTGCTGCAGAGGCTGCGGGCAGCTTCGCAACCCAGCGCTCAACAGCTGCGCCACCGGGGAGGCCCTCTTCATCTGTATTCTTTATTGTGTCCTTTAATAAACTGGTGAATGTGTTTCCCTGAGTTTCTCTGAGCTGCTCTAGCAAAAATGAATGGAACCCAAGGAGGGGGTCTTTGGAACCTCCAATTTGTAATAGTTGGTCAGATCAGATCAGCTTGGTGGTAACCTGGGCTGTGATTGGTGTCTGAAGTATGTGGGTGGGAGGTTAGGGGGCAAAATTGTGCACCTGAGCCCTTCACCCAGGGGATCTGATACTGTTTCCAAGTAGATGGCATCAGGATTGAGCTCCATTGTAGAATGCTCCTGGTGTTGTAGAGAATGACTTGGTGTGGGTGGGGGGTTGAAAACCGAAACACATTTGGTGGCCAAAGTGTTCTGTGTCAAGGTAAGGGAGACACGGGAGAAACCCATAGGAGAGAAGAAGTGGATTTCCCCTTATTGACTTCCAGGACTATGAGACATAAAATTCTGTTGTTTATATCCAGGCTATGGCATTCTGTTCTAGCAGCATGAACAGCAAGCGTCATGAATAGAGAGATGGTATTTAAAGCCATGAAAACAGAGACTCTGAGGGCCTCCCTGGTGGTGCAGGCAGTTGAGCCCTGTGCTATGAAACTGTCCACAGCCTCTGCAGCGCAGGCTCGATCCCAGCCAGCTGGCGAGGATCCCTCATAGTGACAGACCTCTCCTGTCTCTTCCACTGCTCCCCTCAGCAGTGTGTTTCATCAGTCTGCCTGTTCTGTTCCCCACTCTGTCTCTGGTGAATCCTCTCACCCTCCCATGCATCTGGCCTGTACCCTGGTTCTTGTGTAAATAAATAAATCTTTAAAAAAAAAATAGAGACTATGAGACGCTGAGAAGCAGTTGCCAGTGAGATAGGAGAAGAACTGGGAAAACTGAGTTTTTCTTTACAAAAGCACTGTTACAATCCTGAAGAACTGGAAACAACCTAAGTGTCCAATGACAAAGGATTGCTTAAAAAGTGTTATGGTTGGGAAAAAGTTTTGGATGGACTTTTAAAAAGTTACTGAAAAATTATGTTTTAGAAGGTTATTGAGTGACATAGAAAGGTAACAAAATGATACATCCGGTGTGATAGGTATGTGAATATGGGTATACATAGAAAAAAAGGCCATATATTTAGGGCAAAATATTAATAAGGGTGGCGCAAGGTGTTGGGCACAGCACTGTGAGGCTGTCCACAGCCTCTGCAGCATGAGTTTGAGCCCCGGCCAGCCAGGGAACTACCCACGTGACATAGCAGACCTCTCCTGTCTCTCCTGCTGCTCCCCTCAGCAGTGTATTTCAGTAAATCTGCCTGTTCTGCTCCTCACTCTGTCTCTGGTGAATCTCCTCACCCCCCGCCCCTTGCACCTCTGGCCTGAACCCCAGTTCTTGTATGCATAAATAAATCTTTTCAAGAAACAAAACAAATATTAATAATAGTTATCTCTGTACAGTTAATATATAGAATTTAGTCTTTGTGTTCCTACTATCTTCTACTATGTACAGCTATTATTTTTGTCATTTTCAATAAAAAATTGGGTCCCAGGAAAGAAAGCCGAATTAGTTAAAAACTCCATAAATATTTTATGCAGGTAGTGGCCGTGACATCAAGACTGAGAACAGCTGTAGCCGGTTGCACTAATTATATTATTTTACTTTATAGCCTGGCAGTAAAGTTCCCATAAATCCAAGAGGCTATTTTATATGAACTCAAATGGAAAATGCTCACAGAAGCTCTGGCTAGAAACACCTGGCACCCCTGCTAATGAAATAATTCCTTGGGAGCTTCTGGGGGAAGTGGCTGCTGGAAGGAACTAATTTTTTTTTTAAAGATTTATTCATGCATACAAGAGCTGGTGTGCAGGCCAAAGGTGCAGGGGGGTGAAAGGATTCAACAGAGAAAAAGTGGGGAGCAGAACAGGCAGATCTACCGAAATATACTGCTGAGGGGAGCAGCGGGCAAGACAGGAGAGGTCTGCTGCGCCATGTGGGTTGCTCCCTGGCCTACCAGGGATTGAACTAATGTTGCAGTGGCTGGTGATAGCTTGATAGCACTGACTTTAACCCCTGTGCCACCAGGGAGGCCCCTGGACAGAACTGATTTTTACATTCAGCCTTAAGCTCTGGCTTTGAGACCCAGATGACAAGTGTGGGACAACCAAGGAATCTGCTCTGAGAGAGAACGACAACTTCTTTGCGTGTCCACTGCCCCAGACAGAACTGTGTCTCGACATGCAAGTGTTTAAATAGAAAAGGTGGAAACTGAGGCAGCGCCCCCACCACACACACACACACTCCCTCTGGTCACATGAGCTCCCACCTATAACCATTCAGTGTCCTAGTGGTCTCAGGACAGACTCCAGGTGTCCCAACCAGGCTCAAAGGGTAAAGGTCCAGTTGCTGCAGACCACCGCTCCAGCCTCCTTTCTCCCATACTTCCCCAGATTAGTCTCTGTAGCCAAGTTGGCCTCCCTTCAGCTGTCAACCTCCCTCTAGCCTCCGGGCATTTGAAGTTGCTATTCCTTCCACGCAGAAAGCTCCTTGCCCCTCCCTTTAGCCTAGTTTCTGGCTCCTTTAGATTGCTGCTCCAATGTGACTTCTCAGAAAATCCTTCCCTACCTTCCAGGTTAGGGCAGAGTCCTCATTAATAGCTCTCAAACCAACTTGTCCTCCATTGTTGCATTTCTTAGAACTGTAAACAAATCCCCCCATGCATCTTATTTAATGTCTGCTTCTACCACACGCAAAATGTAAACTCCGCGAGGACAGGATTCATGTCTGACTTGCTCCCTTCTGTGTCTCTAGTGCTTGGATGGGGGCCTTGTACCAAGCAGGTGCTCAGTAGGTGTCTGTTGAAAAACTGATGGGTGACTTAAGAAGCAGGAGAGGAACTCTCAATGTTTATTTTTTAAGTGGCCAAAGCACTTAGGCAGGAAAAATTAAATAAGTATTAAAACTTTACTGGGCAGGAGTTGAGGGGTATACATCTCTGTAAGATCACATACCTCAGGACCTGGCCCACAGAGAAAGTCAGAATGTTGCTGGCTGAATAAACATTACCTCTTCCATCTACACCTACTCCTCCCTCAGCGGTGATCTCATCCAGTCCCCTGGCTTTAAATGTCATCTTAAGTTGATGACTCCCCAAATTATAGCTCTAGTCTGGACTTCTTCCCAGGACTCATATATCTAACTGCATATTTGACACTGCCAAATGTTTCATGTGTAACTGCCTCTCAAACTTAACATGGCCAAAGCAACTTTTTTGCTTGCTTCTGTTATAGCCAGCCTTCCCCACCTCAACCCATTCTTCTCATTGTTCAGGCTACAAGTCTTGGAGTTTTGGTTGACTCCTCTTTCTCACATCCTGCATTTAATTAATAATCAAATCTGTCACCTCCATCTTCAGAATCCAGAAACTGACCTCTTCTGATTATACTTCTGCCACTTTTGTCCAGTCCATGCCATCATCATCTCTTGCCTGGACTGCTGCAGCAGCCTCTGTATGGCCCCCTGTACACTATCCTCTACCCAGTAGCTGGGTCATCAATTCTTATTTATTTATTTATTTTTAAATCACATCACATTGTGTTTTGATCAAACCATTTTATTTTATTTTATTTTTTTAAAGATTCATTTATTTATTATTTATACAAGCACTGGGTGCAGTCAGAAGCACGGGAAGGTGAGAGAATTCACCAGAGCCAGAGCGGGGAGCAGAGCAGGCAGAAGGACCGAAGTACACTGCTGAGGGGAACAGCGGGCGGCAAGAGAGGTCTGCGCGCCATGTGGGACCCTCGCTGGCAGCCGAGGATTAAACCAGTGCTGCAGAGGCTGAGGGCAGCTTTGCAACCCAGCGCTTAACTGCTACCACCGGGGAGGCCGGGTCATCAATTCTTGACTCAAATGGTGTCTTCTCAGGGAGACCTGCCTGGAAACCTCTATTTAAGACAAGTCCCCTTATCCTGTCAGTCTTAGTACTCTTATTCTACTTTATTTTTATCCAGACACTTACCAGGGTCTGACATATTTTTGCTTGTTTGTTATTATTCTCCTGCTGGAATATAAGTTCCCTGAAGAGATGACTTAGTCTCTTTCTCTTGTGCATCTCTAGCTGGGTTCTGATCACCAATTACAATGTGTGTTTATGTCTGGACACAAGCTGGGAGTCCTATAATTCAACTCAGGTCTGACACTATTTACCTGAAGATAACATCAAATTCCACAGGTGAGGAGTTCAGTCCTACAAGACTGCCCCCCTACCCTGCATCACAGCACAGACTTCAGACAAATGCCTGTTGCAAGCCCAGGTTGTTAACTGTACTTGTGACCAACCAGATATAAACCAGATATTCCCATGATCCCTCCTCCTTGGGTTTGATTAATTGGCTAGAGTGACTTAGAGAACTCAGAAGAACATTTCACTTACTAGATCACCAAGTATATATTGCTTATTAAGTCACATTACAACCCCCAGCACCCAGAGAAGTGACACCCAGTTCTCACTCAGAAATCTCTCAGCAATCATGAGTGAAGATCTGAATGAACTCAACTTCTGGAGAGTCCCAGTGAGTGATTAAGAATGGAGATATCAGAGATCAGATAGCAAGGATCTGTTGTTTTGTCTGGGGCCCTACAATAATTGAGATTTAACTCGGGGGGCCTTTTTGCACATAGTTAGAGTGACACTAAGGTCACCTGAAGAGTCAGAAGGAGCTCCTTAGTGCCTGGATTAGACTCAGGTCCTTACCTTTAGTCCATGCCGGAGAGAGTCTGATCTGTGATTACTAGACATCCCATCCCTTTGTCTATGAGCAGGCCTCCCTGCCTTGTGGTCTTTACATGGGGCTGTCCATCGGGGGTCAGAGACATTTAGAATCAGTCCAAATTGTTTAGGGCAATGATTCTAAACCTAGGGACAGTTTCACACTCCAGAGGATACTTGGCACTATCTGCAGATATCTTTAGTTGGCAACTAGACATGAGATGTGATTGGCATCTAGTGGGTAGAAGCTAGGGATGCTGTTAAACATCTTCCAAAGCACAGCATGCCCTGCCCCCACTCCCCTGCCCCTACCCCCCGCAACAAAAGACTTTCTGGGCTAAAATGTCAACAGTTCCAAAGCTGTAGCATCCTGGTTTAGAGTAACATTAGAGAAAACATTAGTAGCTAGCATTTTTTAAAATATACTTTTTTAAAAAAGGCTTTCCATACACTTTTTTTTTTAAAAGATTTATTTATGTATACAAGAGCTGGGGTACAAGCCAGAGATGCAGGGGGTGAGAGGATTCACCAGAGACAGAGCAGGGAACAGAACAGGCAGACTGACTGAAATACACTGCTGAGGGGAGCAACGGGCGAGTCAGGAGAGGTCTGCTGCACCATGTGGGTTGCTCCTGGCTGGCCAGGGATCAAACTCGTGCTGCAGAGGCTGCGGATTGCTTTGTAGTGCGGTGCTTAACCCTTTTGCACCACCAGGGAAGCCCCTCCATACAGTCTTAATCCCCAAATTGTCACTGAGAAATAAGGACTGCTGTAACCCCTATTTTACAAGAGAGGAAACTGATGCTCAGGGGGATGGACTCACTCACTTAAGGCCACACACCTTAGTAGGGCCAGAGTCGGGATGTACACGTAGGTCTGCCTGGCTCCAGAGTCTACTTGTAGCTTCTGCTCTGGGTTACTACGCCCACTGATTGGGAGCTAAGGGGGTCTGAATAGGTCTCCCTGGATGTGCCTGAATTTATCTGCTGCCCCCATGGACAGGAGGCTGAGCATTAAGCCCTCAGAGTTATCTGTTCACTGAGGTGAGTCTTGGCTATTCTCCAGAGGGGAGATTTTCCTTCCCTGAGTTGCCCCAGCCTGTGTGGCCTCACTCACCCAACACTGCAGTACAGTATTTGGCTCCAAAGCTTAGTTCCCACGCCAGCCCCCAGCTAGTGCCAGTCCTTCTCCATGGGGAGGAAGTTTCTGGATTGAGACATAGACCTTGCACTCTCTCTCAACGGGCTCCTCCTTTCTGTGCAGGGATCTTTGATTCAACTCTGAAGCCTGCATCTCTGAAGCCACATCTCCTCACACTTCCTTTCAAGTAAGGGAGGGCTGGAGTTGCTATACTGCTGACAAACTTCATGATCCAAGAAAAACTGAAGACCCCAGAAAATCTTAAAAAGTGATTGCTGGACAGGACTGGGCATAGCACATCCTGGGCCAGTGGCAGGATGGAGGTGGAGCAGGCTGTGGTCCTGTCTAGCCTGTTTGCAGAAGGGTAGGGTTCTGAATCTGGCAAGGAATACCTGTCGGCTTCTGAACACCCCAAAGGGCTTCCAGAAGACCCCGAGAAAGTCTGGTTTCAGAGTCTAGGGTCTCAGAAATTTTGCTTCCCGCTGTTTATAAATTCCAGTAAGAATAATAGAAAGAAGAACAGAAAATGCATGTTTTCAGGCTCAGCAAGTTTTTCAAGCAAACTTAGCAACTGAGAGTGGAATATCGTCAGATGGGCCAATAAGGTGGGCCCTGGTGAGGAACCTTGCATTCATTCCAGGGGCTTGGGTTATTCTAGAGCAGTTCTTTTTTTTTTTTTTTTTAAAGATTTTATTTATTTATGCATACAAGAGCTGGGGTACGAGCCAGAGATGCAGGGGTTGGGTGAGAGGACTCACCAGAGACAGAGTGGGGAGAGAACAGGCAGACTGACTGAAATACACTGCTGAGGGGAGCAGCGGGCGAGACAGGAGAGGTCTGCTGCGCCATGTGGGTTGCTCCCTGGCTGGCCAGGGATCAAACTTGTGCTGCAGAGGTTGCGGATTGCTTCATAGTGAGGTGCTTAACCCCTTGCGCCACCAGAGAGGCTCTGTTCTTTTTTTTTTTTTAAAGATTTATTTTATTTATTTATGCATACAAGAACTGGGATGTAAGCCAAAGTGTGGGGGGTGGTGAGAGGATTCACCAGAGACAGAGTGAGGAGCAGAACAGGCAGATTGACTGAAATACACTGCTGAGGGGAGCAGTGGGAGAGACAGGAGAGGTCTGCTGCGCCTTGTGAGTCAGTTCCCTGGCAGGGGATCAAACTCATGTTGCAGTGGCTGCAGATAGCTTCATGGTGCTGTGTATTAAGCCCTTGCGCCAGGAGGGAGGCCCCTGGTGTTTTGTTTTTTGTTGTTTGCATAGAAGAACTAGGGTGTAGACCAGAGGTGCAGGGGGTGAGAGGATTCACCAGAGACAGAGTGGGAAGCAGAACAGGCTGATTTACTGAAATACAGTGCTAAGGGGAGCAGCGGGAGAGACAGGAGGGGTCTCCTGGGCCATAGGTGGGTTGGCTCCCTGACTGGGGATCGAACTGTGGCCTTAGCAGTGATAGTGCTAAAACTTAACCCCTAGCCCACCAGGGAGACCTTCCTCCCTGCTATTAATCAGAACATCAGCATTATTTTCAGGCAGTGCAGGCATCTTGGTCCTGTCCCCATTCATTCATGCAGCATTTATTCAGCAAATGTCACACGCCAAGTAGCATAGGCCACGCTCCATTTACTTCCAGAAAGTATGAAATCTCTAGCACCTAAGATAAGCCAACCTGTCTAATGGAAAGAATACTAGATTTGGAACCAGACCAGATCGTAGAAATCTGGCTCCCTAACTAACTTGCTGTGTAATCAGGCAGAACCCTTCCCTTCTGTGGTATCTGTTTTCTGGCACCACTTTTGGTATCTGTGTGTGTGTGTGTGTGTGTGTGTGTTTCTGACATCAAATACTTATTTAAACTGGGTGTCCAACAATTTAATTCTGACATTGACTCCCAGGCGAAGGATTCATTCCTACAAATCTGCCTCCACTTCAGATACCTGCTGCAAATAGGGTTCTCAACCTATGCTCACTTTGCCCTGTTGACTACAAATACAGGGGTTTCCATGCCTGCCTTCTCAGTCTTGATGAGTCGCTAGAATGATTCAAACAACTTAAGAAAATACTCTACTTATTATTATTGCAGATTTACTATAAAGGACACAACTCAGAAAGAGCCAAATGGAAGAGATGCTTAAGGCAAGGTGTTGGGGGTGAGGGGTGACAGAGATTCCATGTCCTCTTGGGGTGCTCCACCCTCACAACACCTATTGTTCTAGAGTTTTTTTAAAAAAGATTTATTCATTTATGCATGTAAGAACTGGGGTAGAGGCCAGAGGTTTGGGGGGGGGAGGCTTGAGAGGAGTCACCAGAGACAGAGCGGGGAACAGAATGGGCAGATTGACTGAAACACACTGCTGAGGGGAGCACCAGGTGAGGCAGGAGGGGTCTGCCTAGCCATGTGGGTCAGCTCCCTGGCTGGGGATCGAACTCATGCTGCAGCTGGCTTCATAGCTTCATAGCTGCAACTTAACCCCTTGCGCCACCAGGGAGCCCCCTGTTCTACAGTTTTTATGGAGATCTTACTTCATAGGTATGACCACATGTGATTGGACTCAATCTCCAGCTCCTCTGCCCTCCCAGCAGGTTGGGAGGTAGGGAAAGTGAGAAAAGGGGACATGATGGAGGTAGGGGACTGAAAACTTCAATCCTCTAATCACATGGTTGGTTTCTCATTAGCTTTCTCATTAGATCATTAGCCTTCTCCCCCACAGAGTCACCTCTGGTGTAGTTCATTGGGGTTTATTATGAATAACAAAAGTCATGCTGGAAATTCCAAGGATTTTAAGAGCTTTGCCAGAAACCCTAGACAAAAACCGTATATACATTTCTCATTATATTGTATCTTCTCCAAGTCTATTTTCTAGTTTCAAAAAGAGGGTATTCAACAGGATAAGAGGTTGCAAACTGGAGGCCCATAGCCATTATCTTGACTGCACTGTGTTTTTAAAAATGAATTTGTGACTGGGCCTCCCTGGTGGCGCAGGGGTTAAGATGCAACCTATGAAGCAATCCAGGGAGAAACCCACATGGCGGGACAGACCTCTCCTGTCTCGCCCGCTGCTCCCCTCAGCAATGTATTTTGTAAGTCTGCCTGTTCTGTTCCCTACTCTGTCTCTGGTGAATCCTCTCACCCTCCCGTGCATCTCTGGCCTGTACCCCAAATCTTGTATAAAAATAAATAAATCTTAAAAAAAAATGAATTTGTGACTGATATTTTAAGATGGCATTTCCTACAAAAATAATCCAGATTTCTGATCTCTCTTGAAAATCAGAAGATTTTTTAAAAAGATTTATTTACTTATGCATACAAGAACTAGGGTACAGGCCAGAGGTGTGGGGGGGTGAGAGGATTCACCAGAGACAGAGTGGGGAACAGAGCAGACAGACTGGCTGAAATACACTGCTGAGGGGAGCAGCGGGTGAGTCAGGAGAGGTCTGCTGTGCCATGCGGGTTGCTCCCTGGCTGGCTGGGGATTGAACTCGAGCTGCAGTGGCTGTGGATAGCTTCATAGTTTGCGTTTAAACGCAGAAAGATTTTTACAACCAACCCTTAAATGCCTATACTGTGTTTGAACTTCCATTAAGTTATCAGGCTAATCATGTAGCCAGAAATTTTGTTTACATTTCTGCATTTTTCTTATTGACTACCCACTGTCATTTACCTAGAGCCCCTTACAACAATTTGACCAGGCACAGGCATAAAATGCCAAAAAATAGGTGGAAATAAGTGCTGCCAGGGAGGCCTGAAAATTAGAAGATTTAGCAACTCCAGGTCAGCATTCCCAAATGCTGAGATCTGCTTGGAATCTTTAAAAGGGCTTTTCTATTTGCGACAGTCCCTGTCACTCCCTATCACCAGCTACTTCACCTTATTCATAACACATGTGTGCCTGGCTCTTATATTTCTGACATGCTTTCAAACCCACAAATCTATGATATGATACTGGAAGGATTATGTTACTGTTCCTTGAGGATGGTCTGTAACTGATTCTAGGTGCCGTTTTCAAGCATCCAAATGCTGCACATTACAAGTCTCTGATAATTAGGGGATATGCATTGCCTGTTTCACTGTGGGATGGATAGATAGGAAATGAGAAATGAATCTGTACAAATAAGTGCTAAAAGAATGAAAAAGGCCAAAAGGTTTTGGTTCCTAGAAATAGTTCTCCCAGAGTCTTTGGGGTTAAACATAGGCCAGAAAAGCATGGGTTTCTGATAGCACCTTTTCACATTTATTTTATATATTTCCATTGTTTTCTTTTTTCTTTTTTTTTTTTTTTTGGTTTTTCTTTCACATTTAAAGAAAATAATCGGGTCAAGAGCTGGTTGAGATGAGCAGTACAAATACAGGCGCTGCCAGGGAAGACAGGTGCTACCCAGCAGAAAAACCTTAAATAGGCATTTATGCAACAAAATTCTGTGATCTGTTAGAAAACCACATCATCCCATTTCAAGCTCTTTTTCTTCAAAGCTATACATTAAAAAAAAAAAAAAGCACTCTGTCAACTTTTACGGTGATACTGAAGTTAAGAGAATGGATTTTAGAGTCATCTAGACCTAAAACTTATTCATTAACAGTGTGACCTCATGAAAGTTAATTTGCTAGCCTGAGAAATGGGGATATAATATGATACTTATAATTCAATGCCTACTTAATTCAATGCATACTACAGGGCACACATTGAATTAGATACTGAGGATGTATTAGTGAGTAACACAGGCAGGGACAACATGCAGTGTGTTTATCTGTTAAAACAGACAGGGATAGACAATAGCCAAACAAGTAAATGCATGAGCTAATTACTGAAGGAAAAAATAGGCCAGCACATTGGAGGAATAAGGTATTGCAGAGTAAATGATGGGTGGGGGCAGAGGGCAAGCAGAGATGGGAGTTTTGGGAGGGTGGCATTTGAGCTGAAATCTAATCTAGGAGACAGTTTTGTCAAGAAGAAGGTAGGAGGAGAAGGATCCCAGGCACAGCTGTTGTGAGGAATAACTGAGGGGATGCAAAGTACTCGGTAGCAAGCAACCACTCAAGCAGCTACTCTCAGCTCTTTCTTGGCCAAACAAGAAGTTGGCCAAGTCATAGATCAGAGGGACACACACACACACACACACACTCTCATGTAAAAAAGAAAAGGCTCTTGAGCCTCCCTAGTAGAGTAAGGGTTAAGTCTCAGCACTATCAAGCTATTGCCAGGACACTGACTCATGAGGCACAGCAGACCTCTCCTCATCTCCCCTCAGCAGAGTATTTCAGTAGATCTGCCTGTTCTGCTCCCCACTCTGTCTCTGGTAAATCCTCTTACCCCCCACACATCTGACCTAGACTCCAGTTCTTGTATGTGTAAGTAAATAAAAAAAATTTTTTTCAAAAAGAAAAAGCCCTTGAGATTCTAGTATCATCAGTTGATTCCACAGCTCTGAATCTTACACCCAAGCCAGGTATAAGCGATAACCCAGGCTCACACCTGTTGCCAATCCAACTTCTTCCTCAGAACCAATACCACGTGTAGCCATTTTAACTCTTCAAACTCATAATCCCACCATTGGAAACCTAAAGCTGGGAAAATTTCTTAATTTGATTTAATTGATATGCATACTCTGTTGTACCAGAGGTTCTCATTATTTCCACTTATTTTTTGGCATTTTATGCCTGTTCCTGGTCAAATTGTTGTAAGGGGCTCTAGGTTAATGACAGTGGGTAGTCAATAAGAAAAATGCAGAAATGTAAACAAAATTTCTGGCTACATGATTAGCCTGATAACTTAATGGAAGTTCAAACACAGTATAGGCATTTAAGGGTTGGTTGTAAAAATCTTTCTGTGACTCTTGGGGCAGTTCCATAAGCTAATAGTTATTGATAAGATTCTCTGGGCACTTACTACAATCTGAACCACATCTTGTTCTGAGAACTCCAAATACATCTGTTCCTTTAATACTCCCAACATGCCAAAGAAGTGGTTTCTTTTCGTCCTGCTTTACAGATAAGAAAATGGAGGTTCAAAAAGCTAGTAAATGATAGTGCTGGGATATAAATCCAGATTTAATCCTGTTCCCCACTCCCCACCCCCAAGACCTTGCTTTTTTAACCACTTAAGTGATGCGTAGGCTCTCTAAACCAGAGGAAACACCTCTGAGGGACACCTTTCTGTCCATTAGGGCACCTCCACCCATCAGAGAAATCCCCAACCAAGAAACTCCCACACTGGAAAGACTGCCTCACCTGAGTAGAAAACCCCACCCAGGCCACACACCCAAAGCTGCCCAGAGTGCCCTCACCCCCTTCAAAGAGGTATGGATTGCCTGGCAGAGACCTCAGGAATTAACCTCTTAATTCATGAGGAAACCCTCTCTCATTTCTGATGAGCTCCTTCTCCCCCAATATTCACATGACTGGCTGTATAAACTGTGGGGCTGTAGGGTCAGGAATGACACTGAACAGGTTTTCTATAATCCAGCAGACCAGGTAAAGGAGGAGTCAGAGTCCTCAGTGGTTTTTTGCAGGTTTTTTTATTTAGATTACCAGGTACACAGCAGGCAGGGGGGCTGGGAGCAGGTCTTCACTCTGGGCTCTCCAGCCTTCTCTCAGCTTCTGTTCGTTCTTGGCTTCTACTGGCGTCCTCATGACTCCGCCCTTAAAAGCCCAGTCTTAGCCCAGGTGAATCCCATCTACCTATGCCCACACCCTCCTCCAGGCACCCGCCATCAGGCATGCATTCAGGACCTCAAGGATCCATCATCTATCCTGATGGCCGGAGGACAGAAAAGCCTGACATTTTTTCCTTACCCTTCAGGGGCCCAACGCAAAATAAAAATGTGGGGTTCTTTGTTTAAAGAAAGAATTTGGGGCCTCCCTGTTGATGCGGGCGTTAATGACACAGTGCTATCAAGCTATTGCCAGCTGCTGCAGCACGAGTTCGAGTTCCGTCTCAGCCGGCCAGGGAGCAACCCACAAGGCGCAGCACACCTCAGCAGTTCCTTCTGTAGCTCTGTCTGTTCTTTCTGCTCTCTCTGGTGAATCCTGTCACGCACACACACACCCTGCCACCTCTGGTCTACACCCCAGTTCGTGTGTGCATAAATAAATCTTTATTAAAAAATAAAAAATAATTTGAAGAATGAGATTGCAGAGACTGCATTGCTCCATTGTTCATGAAGCCGGCCCTGCTTCAGAGATACCCTTTGAGTGAAGGAATTGGCCACTTAGGTCAGAATCCCTAAATCCAAACCTGGGGTGTTGTGGGGGGGGGATATATAAACGTGGGGATGGTCGCCCAACTTCCTAAGACTATCAATACTGGAAAACACACCCTGGGAAAAACTGCGTAAATTTGGAAACACTTGGCTTGGGCAGAAGTTCCCCCATACCCGCGCTGGCTTTTGGGTGGTCCTAGCCACCCCGCCCGGGCTCCACCTTCCGAGTAAGGTGGCCGCCGGGCGTGCGGCCCGTTGCCGTGGCAACCGACGCCGCGAGCGGTGCATTGTGGTCTGCAACAAAATGCAGGAGAAAGATCCTGAGGGAACCATTGAGTTCCCGGACCAATGAAAGCGTCCCGGGGCCTGCCTCAAGCCAATAGGAACGTCCGGCGGGGGGCGGGGTCGGCGGACTGGGCGGGGCCTAGGCACTAGGCGGCGGCGGCTGGCGTGGGGCTGCTTAGATGCGCCACGGCTTCGGTAGCGACGCGGCCTCTCGCCTGGTCTGAGCCTCGCCAGCCCCTCCCCAGGAGACCGTTGCAGCCCCTGCCCCCCGGTGAGACGCTGCGGCTGCGCCGCCCGGCCCCGGCCCCCGCCGGACTCCTCGGGCGGCTCGGGGCGCACGGCGTGTGCTCCCTGGGAAGCGGGCGGGGGGTGGCGTGCGAGCGGCGTGGCGCGGGGCGGGCGGGGGGGCCGGGGGGCCGGCGCTCGGCGGGCGCAGCTCGGCGCGTCCCGCAGGTGACCGGGCGCTCGGGCGCGTCCCGCAGGTGACCATGTGCGACCGCAAGGCCGTGATCAAGAACGCGGACATGTCGGAGGAGATGCAGCAGGACTCGGTGGAGTGCGCGACGCAGGCGCTGGAGAAGTACAACATCGAGAAGGACATCGCGGCCCACATCAAGAAGGTAGCGCGGGCGGGCGCGGCGCCGGGTTCCGACCCGAATCCCGCGGCCCGGGCGCCTGGCGGGGGTCCTGGGGCGCGGGGCCGCCGGGCGTGGAGCTTTCCAGAAAGGACGCGCGCGGATTTGGCGCTCCTGTGGGGAGGACCAGACCCTCGGCGCTCCAAGTTGTTTTTTTTTTTTTTTTTTGCGTTTTTTTTTTTTTTTTTTTTTTACCTAGCCTGGCGGGGGGAAAGCGCCACCTAGCAACAGTTTCTAAGATCTGGGAGCCGCGGTTCCCCCTTCTGCAGGATTCCTGCGCCGAGGATCCATCTGGGTGTTCCGGAGGGGGGAGCTGCGTGGGTGTTTCCAGCCGGGCCGGAGGGAGATCTTGCCAGCCTTCCCGTGGGGAGTTTCTCGGCAGTCGAGGGAAAGTGGGTGGTGGTGGTGGTTGGGGGCTTGGAAAGTGACAGTCGGTAGAGAGCTGGCTGGGCTGCCAACTTCTCGAGCTGTTTTCTGGAAGGGAAGGAAGCTGGCAGCCGGAGCTGGGGGAGTATTCCAGAGCAGGGGAAGATGAAAGACTGAAGAGGGAACAGAAATGTCTTTTTTGAGAACTGTAGCAGAGCGTTTGTCTAGCTTCTGAGAACGTTACTTTACTTGATGGACCTAAAATTTCAAGCCACAGCAACATAAGGGCAGCCACATTTTTGCGGAACGCACCAGAGACTTGTACAAATTTTATGGATTCGTTTTGGCGCGTGCCTACAGTCACCCGATGAAGAAGTGAAAGGGTGTTCTAGGCCTCTCGGAAAACGGGGCCAAGTTCTGCAATTTGTAGTTTCCAGGTGGTAGGTTGTCACCATCAGGGTAGAGTGGGAAAGGAGGGCTTTAAATTCCATCTAAGGATAAACGCTGATCAGGTGGCTGTGATGTTCTGCTTCCAACAGTTTTTATAGCAACAGTGGAGTGCCAGGTGCTTTGTCTCCTTAGTGTTTAAGTTTTGATCCACAGTGGTTTGATGTAGGTGCGATTGAGGCCTGGTCCTTTTGGAAGTATTCGGTAAGGAGTGCAATTAGAGGAGGAGGAGTTAAAATTTGGGGTTAAGTAATTTTCTTGCATTTGGGGGTGCAGCTACAGTAGGGCTTAGTTCTGTTTACATGTAAGACCTTGGTAAGTTCGAACTGTTGCTGAAACCTGCTATTAATGAATAATAAAGAACTGGGGAAGGTGGAATTACCATTGTAACAAAGCCACTGCCTGTTTTTGAGGTTGCCCTTTCTGCCTTTGCTTCCCAGCCCCCATTCCCAGCTTAGCTCAGACTGCAAGTATGTTTGCATTATTGCACTATGTAGGCGACTTGGAGCTGGGGGACATTCTTTAATTCTAAGAATTTGCAGAGCCTAGTGTTCCTCCTTTCTGCCCCAACAGGCTGTGCTTATCCAGGTGGCAAAGTCTGACCTCAGGTTTAGCACTAAAATTCTAGTTTGTTTTTTTTCTCTCTCTCTCTCTCTCTCTCTCTCTCTGTCTCTCTCTCCCCACCCCCCTCCGTTGCCCAGGAGTTTGACAAGAAGTACAATCCTACCTGGCACTGCATCGTGGGGAGGAACTTCGGTAGTTATGTGACACATGAAACCAAACACTTCATCTATTTCTACCTGGGCCAGGTGGCCATTCTTCTGTTCAAGTCTGGTTAAAAGCATGGACTGTGCCACACACCCAGTGATCCATCCAAAAACAGGGACTGCAGCCTAATTTCCAAATACCAGAGACTGAGATCTTCAGCCTTGCCTAAGGGAACACCTCGATCTTTCGACCTTTGTTGTGTTGTTTTGTACAGGGCATTCTCTGTACTAACTTGTTGTGGTTATAAACGATTAGCAAAACAGCTTACATTTGTATTTATTTTCTATTCCATACCTCTCTGCCCCATGTTTTTTCTCCTCAAATCCATTCCTTAAAAAAAAAATAAATCTGTTGGAGAAGTGTGTGGTAGTTACAATTTGTTCAAATCTAGGGTTGAAGATGAATTATCACTTGATCATGATTGGATTAATGGGGTGAGTCAAAGTTTTCTGTGTTATAATTGGCTAGGATATTCAGTCCTCTCCAGTCTTTAATTCTCACCTGTCATGCAATTGCGCATGAATAATACTCAAGTACCTGTCCAGAAATGTACGGCAAGAACTTTCTGGATTCTTTTTTTTTTTAAGATTATTTATTTATACAAGCACTGGGTACAGTCAGAAGCGTGGGAGCGTGAGAGAATTCACCAGAGCCAGAGCAGGCAGAAGGACCGAAGCACACTGCTGAGGGGAGCAGCGGGCGGCAGGAGAGGTCTGAGCACCATGTGGGGCCCTCCTCCAGTGGCCGGGGATCAGTCTGGGATCGAACCGGTGCTGCAGAGGCTGCGGGCAGCTTCACAACCCAGTGCTCAACCGCTGCGCCACCGTGGTGGCCCAACTTTCTGGATTCTTAACACCTGATCTGATGAATACTATCAATAAAATGCTGCTTTTGTTAAATATGTTGCTATAGAATATTCTGGGCCTTAGCCCTCAGGTGGCGGTGGTAATGAATGGGTAACTACTTTAAACTTTCCATGGCTCTAAAATGGGAATAAGCTGAAATTTGAGCTAATGAGAAGTGCTTTTCTGGGTTCTAGGCTATTGCCCACCCTCTGCCCTGCCCCAAATAGGTTGAAGATGGTGATAAAAGGGAAAATAAGTTTTTGAGTAGCAGCCTTCCATGTGGTTCTAATAAAGTCTTTGCAGGAATTTAAACTCTTAAGCCTGCTGTGCTTTAACTGACTGTAGTCACAAATCCAATTAACAAATGTGAATTGAAGCTTTCATTAACATGTCACTAAACCTGTGGCTAAAGAACCATTAAACTTGCTGCTATTAATTTTAGGAAGACTCAAGTCTTTCCTATGAAGAAGAGCAAGTATGACAGACTTGACCTCTGCGTAGAAAAAATCTTCCAAAGGTTGAAGCAGCAGCCATCTTGGGGAGTTACAAGGAAGGCCCTGACTTCAGTTCCCCTACAGTATTTTCAGTGTTCAAATGAGGTAATGCTTTTTGTTTCAGACCCTGGATCTGTGAGATAAATGGATTTCTAGGAAGCCAGGTTTGAATTGATGTGTGATGATTTTAAGAGCAGCATTAGATCAGTAAACATCTTTCAAAAAGTTTCTTTACCAGGACTGGTTTTAGAATTGGAGTAAGGTGGTGCTACATCAGGACTGGGATAGATGGACGAGGAGGTACTGTGGAACATAAGACTGCTGTGATTCAGCTTTCACAAACAGCTGAAGTGTTCCATAATTTTTTTCTGTTTCCCTCTTTAGTGACCTGGCTGTATTCCTATTTGAAGCCCAAAGGAATTTGGTCATCAAAGCTATATTAATCTTGTTCAGTTAGCCCTCGTTCCAAATAGTCCCCAGCAACAGACCCTAGAGTCTACAAACAGCTGGACACAAGCCTCTAAATGGAGCAGGCCCATAGCTGTTGCCAGGAAGTAGCAGCTTTCAGTTATGGGCATACCTCGTTTTATTGTGCTGCATTTTTTTGCACATAGCTTTTTATAAGTTGAATGTTTTGTGGCAACCCTGCATGGAGCAACACCATGTTCTCGACAATGCTCTTACCTGCTGTTCTTAGAGATAATTGTGATAGCTGCATCTGGAAGCTTTCAGTGACAGGACGGTCTTGTGTGTGAAGTTATAGAAATGACTCCTATGCAAGGTCAAAAAGCAGCATGTCTGAGATCTTTTCAAATTGAACGAAGTTATTCACAACCAACTACCAGCCAAGTTACAGGTTGATATCAGTAATTTCTCAGTAAGACCCCTTAACAACCTTAAACTTTATCCACCCTCAAAATATTTATGGCATTTTAACATCAAACAATGGACTGGTATTAAGGAGACCTATGCCCACTTCTGTCCCTGAATACTGGACGGGGCTTAGGCTAGATAAATATTCAAATGATTTTTTTGTTAACAGAATTCAGATGTATGCTGACAAACTGTAAGACATGATAGCAGAAGTTTGCTGGTACATTTTCCTTTCAACAAGGATTTGTTGAGTTATCTTCATGACAGGCCCTGAGGACACAATGGTGGCTTTTGGTAGAAAAGAACTGAGTGAAAGATGAGAAAATGTATTTCCCTCACCTCAAGAAAAAAATGACAAATACCAGGCAAACTGTAGACTCCTAACTTTAGTAGTTCAGTGCATAATTGTAATTATGACCAGTAGCCATCTGACCTGAGCCTTGGCTTTTGGCCTCAGACTTGAAGTCCTCCGCTGTAAGGTCAGCTGTAAAGTGCTCAGATACAGCTAGGAAATTTTCTGGTTCAAATCATTGGGTTCAAATGATTCATTATCCCTCTGGAAGGCAGCACTGGTGGAGAAGCAGCAGAAATATTTCAAAACAGAGCTCTAATGCTGGTTTTCCACACACTGCACAGCCCAGAAAACTTAGGAGTTGAACAAAGAGAACCTCTGGGAGAAGGCTTGAAGCGGTACCTCATGAAAGCTGCAATAAAGTGACAGGCTTTTGTTTCTTTCATTTTGAGACTGGTTGCATAAGAACATGAGTCCACATATCCATAAGAGGAGATACTTTGCTGCTGGTCTCACTGGCCAGATTATCCTTCAGTTCCAGGCTTCCCACAGGATGTGACTGTCTCACCCCTCAGAGTTGTAAAGGAGTTACAGTTTGAAACCAGAATGAATGGCCACAATGCCTGATGTTAGACTTTCATAAGTCACCTTCTGAAAACCTGCATCTTCTATCATTTCTTTGAACTCCTCCTAAAACACAAAGATAGATGCTGCAGGGGTCACCTGGATTTCAACTTTAAGGCCTTCGTTGCAAGTTACAGAAGTTTTGTACCTGAGATGGGAACTGCCGGATACTCTCTACAAGGTACTGGTAGGACTTCCAGTCTCCTGCGATCACCTCTCCCAGGACAGGAATTACCTGGAAGCTGTATAGATCATAAAGCCTAAACAAGGAAAGGAAAAGAGTAAGGTGATAATGTGCCCCAATCCCTCCCCTTGATAAGAAGCAAGAAGGTCTATACCATTTGTGTAAAACACAAATGCCTCTGGGGTTAAGCAAGTACCTGAAATAAGTAAAGTGGTCTAGCTGTAAGACCGATAGGGTGTGGTAGTGAGGATGTGACAGGTACAGCTACAAAGCACCACAGAAGTAAAGAAGAGGCAGTTACTACTCAGCTCTGTTGCCAAGTAGGCAGATGAGCTAGCCAGGGTTGCCACAGACCTGATTTCAGTGAAGCTGGAAATCCATATTTTTATGTAAAATTTCTTGATTTTTAAAAATACAGATATCTAAGTCAATTTTTTAAAGTATCCCTTGTCAAACTAAATGCATATGAAGGCCCACTTGAGCCTGTGGTTACTGGTTTGAGACTGGTGTAACCTCTGGGGTGGCACTGTCCCTAAGAGACTCTGGAGTTCTAAACCATGAAGTTCATGCTTACAGGTTATGGCTATTTGCTATCCAATTTGTTAACAGTGCCAACCTGGAGATGAGGGGATTGTTCACTCGGCTAAACTCCAGACAGAGAAACCGTCCTCCTGGTTTCAGTACCCGGTGAGCTTCCTGGAGAGCCTGAGGAAGACAAAGAACAACAGAACACACTCGTCAGCAGATGTCACTCGATTCCATGAGGCTTAGAGCTTTAGCTTCTGCCAGTATTTTTTTTTTTTTTTAATTTTTTTTTTTTATTTTATAGAGGCATGTTTATTTATTTATTTGTTTGTTTTTTGTTTATACAAGCACTGGGTAGAGTCAGAAGCGCGGGAGGGTGAGAGAATTCACCAGAGCCAGAGCGGGGAGCAGAGCAGGCAGAAGGACCGAAGACACTGCTGAGGGGAGCAGCGGGCGGCAAGAGAGGTCTGCGCGCCATGTGGAACCCTCCTCCGGTGGCCAGGGAGCAGCCGGGGATCGAACCGGCGCTGCAGAGGCTGCGGGCAGCTTCGCAACCCAGCGCTCAACCGCTGTGCCACCGGGGAGGCCCAGCTTCTGCCAGTATTACAAAAGTTTCCATTTCCCGCAGGTCCCTTGTCCATTCTCAGTTGGGAAGCTGTAACAACAGAGATAATTCCACAATATCTTAAATCTTATAAGTATTCTGCCCATGAAGACAGATGGTTGCTTGTAATAATCTAAATTGACTCAGATTTTACAACCCCCACAGAAAGCGATTTTAGAATTATCAAAATCACAATGGCTATCCTCTTTGATAGAGCGATTTTACTTCAAGGAATCCATCTTATAGAAATGTTTCTACTGTGGAAATGATATATAGGGGGTTATTCACTGCAGCACTATTTGAACAGCATGCAGTCAGAAGCATCTTAACCACTAATGAGTGACTCTCTTGGTCACGATAGGAGGATGAACATTGCGAGAGGCACACGGCTTTGGCAGCTACTCCTACCTGATCGATATGTGTGACGTTCCGGATCCCAAAGGCAATGGTGTAAATATCAAACTTGTCATCATCAAAGGGCAGCTCTTCAGCATCTCCCAATACCCAAGTGAGTCCTGAAAGAGAGATCAGTTCTGGCCTCAGTCTGGGTAGCTGTCTCTTCTGCACCCAGAGAATCGTCAGGCCTGAGAAGAGGCTTCTGGGAACCCTTGAGTCTACAGTCAGCCCGGCAAAAGGGTGGGCAACTTGGACACCCAATTTGTGGCCAGCTTCTGAAGTGGGAGCAGCCCCGTGGGACTGAGGTCTTAATGCTGTGGAGTTTGATACCAATGCTAAGTAATCAGTGTCAGAACTAAACTGAATTGTAGGGCTCCTAGTTGAGATCTGAAAAATGGAGAACTGTGCTGGGCAAATACCACACATGTCGTCCTAGAAGTGGCATCTGAAAACATCACCCACATGGATGTGCCCTCTCCACTGGATTCTTGGCCACTGTCCTCATAGGGTCCTATAGTCCTGAGAATTTGGGAGCTGGTGTCCTTGAAGATTAGCAGTGACCCCTCCCCCACGGCTCTTGAAGGAGAACCTGATGCTCTCTCAGCTATTTCTACCTTAGATAATTTTTATCTGTAGAGCACTGTGGTTAACGGCCCAAGCCCAGTATGATCCTGAATAAGCTACTTTGCTTCAGTTTTGTCAGGTGTAAAACTGTGTTAACAGTACCTACTTCATAGGATTATTGAAAGAATTTTAAGTACAGAATTTAGCCTTCTTATATTAGTTCTATTGGAATCATAGAGAATCAAAGTGTCTAGACCCCAATCTGGCCATGAATTCAGAAAGCACCCAAGTAAGCCCCCTAGCAGGATGGCTCTAAGGATCATGATTCAGCTTTAATATTATTTTACTTGCAGTGAATTAGACAAACAATATGATATTGGAAGAAGATAGATGAAAATAGCCTTTCTGGAAGCAACTACCAATATTTACCAAAAACCTTAAAAATAAACATTCGGGCCTCCCTGGTGGCGCAAGGAGTTAAGCACTACACTATGAATCAATCCGCAGCCTCTGCAGCACCAGTTCAATCCTCGGCCAGGGAGGTGACCTACATGGTGCAGCAGACCTCTCCTGTCTTGCCCGCTGCTCCCCTCAGCAGTGTATTTTGGTGGTTCTGCCTGTTCTGCTTCCCACTCTGTCTCTGGTGAATCTTCTCACCCCCACACCTCTGGCCTATACAGTTCTTGTATGCATAAATAAATAAAAATAAATCTTTAAAAACATGTGGATAAAACACATTAAAATGTCACATGTGGGCCTCCCCGGTGGTGCAACAGGTTGAGTGCCACGCAGTGAAGCTATCCACAGCCTCTGCAGCATGGGTTTGATTACCGGCCAGCCAGGGAGAAACCCACATGGTGAGGCAGACCTCTCCTGCTTCCCCCACTGCTCCCCTCAGCAGTGCTTTCAGTCCAACTGCCTGTTCTGCTCCCTGCTGTCTGGTGAATTCTCTCACCCTGATGCGCCTCTGACCTGTACCGCAGTTATTGTATAAATCAATCTTTCAAAAAAAAGTCACATGTAATAATGTGTTTACACATAAACTTTTAAATGATTTCTAGGATCCTCTTGCTTAGTTTAAACTTTTTTTTTTGCAAAGGCTTTATTAATGGAGATTGAGAAAGCAAGGTGGGAAGATAAAGAAAATTCTCCATTGCAGCACTTAATTTGGGCAGTTAGGAGAAAAGTTGGAGGGCAAACTGCTACCAAAGAGATGATTGAAGAAATGGGACATTACCTATCATTCCTTTCTTTGTTCTCTAATCTTCATGACTGAACAGAGAGAAGGGAAACACGGTTTTCAGTAGGAGGAAGGAAACATAGTGCCTTTGTCTAAAAGCATGAGTGATTGGCTGCCTTCTGATCAGTGTTGACGGTTAACAAAGAACTCTTCATCTTGGGGACCAAGTGGGCTGCTGGTCCTTTAGGCTGTTCCTTCTGGGGGTGGGAGGAGGAGAAAGAGGAAGAATTGAGCTAAAATAACCACAGACACTCCTGGTGGGGGAGGAGGAGAGCATGGCTGTTGTGGAGGGGGGCACTTTGCTGCACATCACAGCCTCACAGTAGCTACTTGCAGTGCTGGGCCAGCTTTGAAGGGGGCAGTGCTCTGAGAAAGTGAGAAAACATGTTGCGGTTGCCAGGATCATTATTTTTACTTGAGAAAATTGGGGAGAAGAGTATTTTAATATCTTTAAACAGAAAGCCAAATGTCAAGTCTACATCATTAAGCTGGGTCTTCAGAAAAATAGATGCCGAAATGGAGGTAGGAGTGCAAAAGGTTTTTTGGGGGGAGTATAAAGGGGTGCTCGGGAAAGATGAATAAGGAAGCCTGACTGAGTGGGCGAGCCTTTAGACTTTAATGCAGACCTTATAAAAAGTCTCAGCCTACTTGACAGGGAGCTCTGGAGCAAATACTACCTGTTGATTCCCTTGTGGGAAATGTACAGGCCCTACATGGCTCAGTCATTGGCTAAGGGCTGCTAGCTAGGAAAAAGCCTGGCTCCAAAGTGAGAGCTGGTGGCTGTCAGCTAAACACACTACTTGTGGCTGAAGAGCAAGTTCCTACTGTAACTCTGTATTAGCTTGGCTTTTACAGTCATCAAGCCATCCTAGTATTGACAGGACAAAGGCATGCCTCAAAAATAGGTCACAGATCATCTGGGAGCTGCTGGGAATTGAAAGCAAAACTCCTACTCAGGGTTTTGCTGAGATCTGAAGATTCATTTCCAACTTGAGATCCACCATTAAAAAGTGGTGTTACTCCTTGACATACACCTCAGAAATGTCTTTGAGGACTCATCCCCAGAAGTACAACAAAAGAGACAGTGACCAAAATGAAGAGACATCCTACTGAATGGGGAAAAAATACTGGCATACCAAAAAACTGACAAGGGACTGATACCAAAAATCTACAAAGAGCATACACAACTCAACAAAAACAAAGCTAACAACCCAATCAAAAAATGGACAGAAAGCTAAAAAGACTCTTTTCCAGGGCCTCCCTGCTGGTGCAAGGGGTTAAGATGCAACCTATGAAGCTATCGCAGCCACTGCAGCAAGAGTTTGATCCCAGGCCAGGGAGATACCCACATGGCGCGGCAGACCTCTCCTGACTCGCCCACTGCTCCCCTCAGCAGTGTGTTTTGGTCAATCTGCCTGTTCTGTTCCCTACTCTGTCTCTGGTGAATCCTCTCACACCCTCCCCATAACTCTGGCCTGTACCTCTGTTCTTCTATGTATAAATAAATAAATCTTTAAAAAAAATACTTTTCCAAAGAAGAAATGCAAATGGCCAACAGGCATATGAAAAAATGTCCAACAGCACTTATAATCAGGGATGTACAAATCAAAACCACTAATTTGACAGGAGACCTTCACTCCTTTGTTTATTGCAGCACTATTCACAATAGCCAAGATATGGAAACAACCTAAATGCTCCAAAACAGATCAGTGAATCAAGAAAACATAGTATTTAAAGTGAAAATCAAAATCAACAAAAAACTATGAACCAGAGACACTTTTTGGGGGGTGCGGGCCGGGAGGGGAGGGATTGGGGTCAGAATGGGGCATTTGCAATTGTATGGGGGAATATAAAAATAAAATTTATTATTTAAAAAAAAAAATCTCAGAATAAAAAAAAAAAAAAAGAAAACATAGTATTTGGGCCTCCTTGGTGGCACAAGGGGTTAAGATGCAGCACTACGAAGCTACCCATAGCCACTGCAGCATGAGTTTGAGTGCGATCCCCAGCCAGGGAGCCTACCCACATGGCACAGCAGACCTCTCTTGCCTCACCTGCTGCTCTCCTCAGCACTGTATTTCAGTCAGTCTGCCTGTTCTGTTCCCTACTCTGTCTCTAGTGAATCCTCTCACTCCTGCACCTGTGGCCTGTACCCCAGTTCTTGTATGCATAAATAAATCTTAAAAAAAAAAAAGACATAGTATATATACACAATGGAATACTACTCAGCAATCAAAAAAGATAAACACACTAATTGCAGCAACATGGATGTAGCTGGAAGGGTTTATACTAAGTAAAGTAAGTCAGATGGAAAAGGAGAACTATCAGATGGTATCACCTCTATGTGGAACAAAGGGAAATCCAACAAATGGTTAGGAAAAAGACAAAACTTGCAAACTGACCATAGACCTGAGGCATCCAGCAGGGGAGAAGGAGAGACAAAGGGCAAAATGGGGGAGGGAAGAGCACAAGGGACTATGGTGATGGTTCATGTGTGACATGGTGGTGGGAGAACAGTAAGGGGAGAAATCAAATATTGTACAGAAATAAACAATGATGTAAGAATATAAATAATAAAAGAAATAAATAAAAGTGTTACTTGAGTAAGATATTTAACCTCTTTGGGCTTTGGTTTGCTTCCCTATTACATAGGACTGATAATCTGAGTCGTTGGTAACATACATAATAGCACACAATTTGTGGACACGGTCACAAACATTACTCTCAACTTCTGCCAACCTGTGAGGTTTTGAAAGTTGGTAAATAAAGCATTTTATATAGTCCACCTTATTTCATAAACATAACAAATATTTCCTGTCTACTTTCTGCAGAACTTACCAGTTTTGTATCCTTGAGCATAGGCTTTCTGTTTTCCAATCTTTAGCATCTCCTTGTTGATGTCACAGATCATGACACGGGAACCTCCCAAGGAATCCTCCTCATTCTGGTACTTTTTGGCAATTTCTTCCCATGATAAATTTTGTTGGGCCTTTAACTGCCTCTTCTGCTTTTCCTGATGCTGTACCTGAACATAATTAAGGAACCGGAATGCAATATCACCTGTGGGAAGCCAACAGGAGGAAAGATGCAAACATGAACACAAACAAAACCTCAGCATTTCCTAAACCCAAAGGGCACAACAAAACTACAGAAGTTGAGTGTGTACAAAAACAAGTTCCTGCTCATTTCAACAGTAACCTTTTCTCTAAAAGCAATTTTTTAGCTTCTGAGATACTTTATTTTTTAGAAAATATTTATGCATATAAGAACTGGGGTACAGGCTAGAGGTGCGGGGGTGAGAGGACTCACCAAAGATAGTGGGGAGCAGAACAGATGGATCTACTGAAATACACTGCTGAGGGGAATCAGCAGGCCAGACAGGAGAGGTCTGCTGCGCCATGTGGGTGGCTCGCTGGCCAGAAATCGAACTAGTGCTGCAGAGGCTGTGGATAGCTTCATGGTGCTGTGCTTAACCCCTTGCACCAGCAGGGAGACCCCTTCTGAGATACTTTTAAAAAAAAAAAAAATTTTTTTTAAAGATTTATTTATTTATTTATTTATACAAGCACTGTGTACAGTCAGAAGTGCAGGAGGGTGAGAGAATTCACCGAGCCAGAGCGGGAAGCAAAGCAGGCAGAAGGACAGAAGTACGCTGCTGAGGGGAGCAGCGGGTGGCAGGAGAGGTCTGCGTGCCATGTGGGACCCTCGCTGGTGGCCGGGGAGCAGCTGGGGATTGAACCAGTGCTGCAGAGGCTGCAGGTAACTTCGCAACCCAGCGCTCAACCACTGCACCACCGGGGAGGCCCTTTTGAGATACTTTTAAAATTTTTTTTCTTTTAAAATTACATAAGCAGGGCCTCCCCTGGTGGCTCAGGTGGTTGAGCGCAGCTCTGTGAAGCTACAGCCTCTGCAGCACCAGTTCAGTCCCGGCTTGCGAGGGTCCCACATGGCGCAGCAGACCTCTCCTGTCTCGCCCGCTGCTCTCCTCAGCAGTGTATTTCGTCAATCTGCCTGTTCTGTTCCCTGCTCCATCTGGTGAATCCTCTCACCCTCTCGCGCCTGGCCTGAACCCCTGCTCTTGTATAAATAAATAAATAAATCTTTAAAAAAAGTACATAAGCAGGGGCCTCCCTGGTCGCACAGGGGTTAAAGACACAGCACTGTTACTGCCAGCCATTATAGCACGAGTTCCATCCCCAGCTAGCCAGGGAGCTGACCCACACAGCGCAGCAGACCTCTCCTGCCTCACCTCAGCCACTGATCCCCTCAGCAGTGTATTTTAGTAGATCTGTCTGTTCTACTCCCCACTCTGTCTCTGGTGAATCCTCTCATCCCCTGCAACTCTGGTCTACACCCCAGTTCTTGTATGTATAAATAAATAAATCTTTTTTTAAAAAAGTACATAAGCACTACATGAATACATTCTTACTATAAAAGACTCAAAACTTAAGTAGATAAAACATGAAGGTCAACTTTTCCCTCCACACCTCTCCAGTTATAACAAGTGTTAAGACCTTCATATGCAGCTGTCTGGGCTTTTCTAATAATGTTTGTGATAGTAGTTTAAGGGTAGAGTTATAAGCAACAATTCCCCCTCTTTCCACTCTGAGTTTAGTTATCCCATGTTATCTTTCCCAGCTCTTATTTGTTTCTTCTGCTGGTTGCAGTTAGTTCGTTAGTTACCAAATTTATAATGATATCCTGCCCCCACCTCTGTTGGCCTCTATCTTCTCAATATACTCATCATTTTTCATAGTTCCTCATGGGCCCTCTGTAACCTAGAGTAATAAACTAATCGATGTTTCTATTTCAGCTACAGACAGTATCTATTCACTCCTTTCATCCTTCCATCATATATACTTTACTGTCAAGACTGATGACATTTTGTTTGTTCTATAGCTATAGTAAATCTCCTTGATGGTTTGAGCTAAAAGCTGAAAATGAATGAAAAATGTTTATATTATTGTGACCAGGTAAATACTGTTCAGGCAAAGCCAGTGCTTTCGAGGATCGCATTTCTTTCCTTATAATGCTATTTCCTTGTCTTAGTTTTTCTTAAACTATTTGCATGAAATATATCCTTACATTTTCCTAGTCTCTCCATTCAACTGGGTGTCCATCAGTCATATTTCTATATATTTAAATACATTTATATGTACTGTATGAAATGACAACACATATAGGAGGATCATATCACAATTGTCATACAACTTGTTTTCTTTTTCTTTCCACTTAATTGGTTCTTGAGGTCTTTCTACTAATATTTAAAGAATTTCCTCATTTTTCTTTCTTTTTTTTTTTTTTAAAGATTTATTTATTTATTTTTGCATAGAAGAGCTGGGATCAGAGCTAGGTCAGAAGTGGGGGATGGAGGAGTTGTGTGTTTGAGAGGATTCACCAGAGACAGAGTCGGGGGCAGAACAGGTGGATCTAATGAAATACACTGCTAAGAGGAGCAATGGGTGAGACAGGAGAGATCTGCTGCGCCATATGTGGGTTAGATCCCTGGCCAGGATCAAACTCGACCACTGTGGTGATAGTGCTGAGACCTAACTCCTATACCACCAGAGAGGCCCATCATTCTTCTCATAGAAAGGAATGTGACCATATTTGTAGCTATATCTTTGGTTAAGGATTTTTTTTTTTTTTTACTAAATATTTCAAATTGGAATTGTAGGATCCTAAATTATACACAGTCTTGATTTTGACAGATTCTACTAAATTTTCCTCCACTCAGCAAGGTGTCTTAATTTTCTAGAGGGCACATAAAGGGCCTCCCTGGTGGTGCAGGGAATAAAGTCACAGCACTATCAAGCTATCGCCAGCCACTGCAGCATGAGTTCTATCCCTGGTCAGGGCACTAACCCATATGGCGCAGCAGACCTCTCCTGTATATCTGCCTGTTCTGCTCCCCACTCTGTCTCCGGTGAATCCTCTCACCCTCTGCATTTCTGGCCTACACCCCAGTTCTTGTATGCATAAATAAATAATAATAAATCTTTGTAAAAGGTCACACATAAACATGCTTCAAATGTGATTATTCTATAGTAATTTATTCCTGTACATTATTCTATTGGTATAGATGATCACACTATTACATTATATTAAACATTATTCTAATGTAATTTAACACACACACTAACCATGTAATATCACCAAGATGTTTTTAGAATCCTATGACATTTGTCTCCAAAATGCTTATTGTGCACAAAGTAACGGAGGATCATGGATAAATAATTCAGTTTTTGATATCTGAGATGTTACTGTATCAGATGAGGCAGAAAAGTCTGGCTAGAAAGAGGGGAGAAGGGATCAAGGTTAACAGAAGCTAAAACATTTATTTAGGTGGAGAAATGTCAATGGAATAACCCAGTACATGGACACAAAGCTGATATTCTGTGTTTCTGATTCATATTCAGTTAAAACAGAAAGACTAAAAGTGTCTCAGAAGTGGATTGAGGGGCCTCCCTAGTGGCGCAAGGGGTTAAGAAGCAACCTATGAAGCTATCGGCAGCCTCTGCAGCACGAGTTTGATCCCCAGCCAGGGAGCTACCCACATGGCGCAGTGGACCTCTCCTGTCTCGGCCGCTGCTCCCCTCAGCAGTGTATTTCAGTCAATCTGCCTGTTCTGCTCCCCACTCTGTCTCTGGTGAATGTTCTCACCTCCTACACCTCTGGCCTGTACCCCAGTTCTTGTATGCATAAATAAATAAATCTTAAAAAAAAAAAGTGGATTGATTTTCCATTACCATCTTCAGCCAAATGGTAGATGAGCTAGCCCATTTCAATGAAACATTCACTTCTGGGAAAGGTAGACACCAAACTGCACATTACCTGTGCCTCCAGCAACATCCAGCAGCTGAGTCCCAGGAAGCGGCCGCATCTTCCATAGCAGCAAGTCTTTCCAGACACGATGGATACCAAGACTCATCATATCATTCATCACATCATACTTCTTGGCCACACTTTCAAACACCTGATAGACTGACATGGGAGAAATATAACACAAGTGTTAGCAAAATTAACTTGGAAATGTGTTCAGTGAAACAAAGCTCGTCCACCCCTGAAATTGCATCTTTGCAAGGCAAAACTAAGATAGAATGTTTGATACCCAAATCTTCACCTTAGCATTACCTCTTTATAAAGGCTTAAATTACTTCATGTAAGAAATCATCTTCTTTTCTGCTGTCTTAGTAATCTTTATCTAGGATCACTACCTTGTTATAATGCTATAGACATACTTAATACTAAATATGATTGTTTCTTAGAAGATGGATGATGAGGCATAATTTCTCTAATGTCATTACAAAAGACAACAAAATTCACTAGAAAGACACGTGACTAATGGATGGGAAGCCACAGCTCAGTTTTGCCTTCATCACTGAGAAAAATCACAGGTACAATTTGGTGGGCAGATGATTGACAAATGTGAATCAGGGCCTTCCTGGTGGCGCGAGGGGTTAAGTCGCAGCACTATGAAGCTATCAGCAGCCACTGTAGCACGAACTTGATCCCCGCCAGGGAGCTAAGCACATGATGCAGCAGACCTCTCCTGTCTTGCCCGCTGCTCCCCTCAGCAGTATATTTTAGTAGACCTGCCTGTTCTGCTTCTCACTCTGTCTCTGGTGAATCTTCTTACCCCCAGCCCGTACCTCTGGCCTGTGACCCAGTTCTTGTATGCATAAAAAAAAAATCTTAAAAAAAAAAGATGTGAATCAGGGCCAAATTACACCATAGATGGTCCCCATGAATCACTTCCACAGGATCAAGGCAGAATGGAGATATCTGGGCTAGCTAGAGAGAGAAGGATTCAATATCTAACACATTTAACTTCTTTGTACTTCAGTTTCTCTGCCCATAAGATGGGAATATCAGCACCAGCCTCCTACTGCCTTGCCATATGGCTGAATTAGGTAATGAACAGGAGATGCTTTGAATTCTTCTGGTGAATTGTGCTGCACTGATCCGAAATATTAACATCTTTTGTCAACTAGCAGACTATAGAGCCCCTCCTTTAACTCAGTCTTGAGTGGCTGTTCTCAACCCTGGGATCTCCAACCTTGCTCTTTTCTTTTGCTGTTTCTTGGGTATCTAGGGGCATGAAAGCTCTACTTATGGAAGGGAAGTACTCCTAGCTTTCCATGGTTCTGATATGCATGAATTTCAGTTACTGTGGTTTAGTTAAATAACACTAGTCCCCTAGCAACATCATTCAAATACAATGGCATATTTACTGTGAGTAATTGCATAAAGTATAAACTATGCTAGCAGCTCTTCAGTCCACAAATCACTACACAAATAATAGATATGCATCCGGAACAGTAACCAATCATTTCATTTCTTTACAGCATAGTTGGTTGGTCATTTATACATCAGTTATTCAGTTTATAGAGAGAGCAAAACATGTAGTTGTGTTGTTTCCTTATCTCTCAATTGTAAACCTATGTGTCATTTTACAAAACTGTTTAATTGAAAGAGGAAATTGGTGAACAAAAATGAAAATGCAGTAAAGAAAGGGAAAGTGAGAATACTGGAAGTGAAATTTGAATAGAATGTCAATGGCATTATGGGAGAAACAGCTGACTGTGGGAATGTTTATACTGCTGCCTCTTGAGAGACACTAGGTGCGCAGCCAAAAGAACTTTGTAAAGATAAACTGTGGACATGAATGAGAATGTGTTTGTGATGAGAAGGTTGAAGATGTTCCAGAGAAAATGAAGTCAGCAAAAACTTTTTCACTAAAGGAATTCCTGGAGATATTTCATGACATTACAAGAATAAAAGAAGCTAATTGAAACCTAGAAAGGAGTATGGCAATTTGTCAAGACATAAAGATGCACATTCCCTAATGTAAATTATATGACTAGGAGGGAGCCAACACTGTTCACACTACTCTAGGTAAATTTTTAACCAGGGAATAAAACAACTTCGCTCTCCATGTTTCTAATTTTCTATTTGAATTTTAATTTAAAATTAAAGAAAATAAAAATTTTAATTGTATAAATTTAGTTAAAGGCCTCCCCGGTGGTGCAGCAGTTGAGCGCTGGGTTGCGAACCTGCCCACAGCCTCTGCAGCACCGGTTTGATCCCTGGCCACCAAGAGAGGGTCCCACATGGCGCGCAGACCTCTCCTGCCGCCCACTGCTCCCCTCAGCAGTGTACTTTGTCACTCTGCCGGTTGTGCTCTCCGCTCTGGCTCTGGTGAATTCTCTCACCTTCCCGTGCCTCTGACTGTACCCAGTGCTTGTATAAATAAATAAACAAATAAATAAAAAAATCTTTAAAAATAAATAAATTTATTTAAATTACATCTAATTTATTGATTTCCTATTTTTAAAAGATTTATTTATGCATACAAGAGCTGGGGTGTAGGCCAGAGGTGCGGGGTGTGGGGGGCAAGAGGATTCACCAGAGACAGAGTGGGGAGCAAAACAGGCAGACTGACTGAAATACCTGCTGAGGGGAACAGCGGGCAAGATAGGAGAGGTCTGCTGCACCATGTGGGTTAACTCCCTGGACGGGAATCGAACTCATGCAGCAGTGGCTGCTGATAGCTTCATAGGGCTGAGACTTAACCCCCTGCACCACTAGGGAGGCCCTACATCTAATTTTTTAAGATAATGTGTAAATAAATATTAGCCTTGAGCCTCCCCTGGTGGCGCAGCGGTTGAGCACTGGTTTGCGAGGCTGCACCAGTTTGATCCCCGGCCACCAGTGAGGGTCCCACAGATAAATAAATAAATAAATAAATAAATAAATATTAGCCTTACTACCCTTTTTATTTCCTTATACATAATGGACAGGGAAGACTGCCTGTCTTTTTTTTTTTTTTAAAAAAAGATTTATTTTCATATAGAAGAACTGGGGTGCAGACAAGAGATGCAGGGGGTGAGAAGATTCACCAGAGACAGAGTGGGGAACAAAACAGGCAGGTTTACTGAAATACACCACTAAGGGGAGCAGTGGGTGAGACAGGAGAGGTTGCTGCACCATATATGGGTTAGCTCTCTGGCTGGGGATTGAACACAGGCTGTAGTGGTGATAACCACTGAGACTTGACTCCCAGGCCACCAGGGAGGCCCTGTCTGTCTTTCAATCTTCCTCCCAACCTGGAAGTCATATTTAGCTCTGTGAGTGACTCCTCCCCTGCTTGCTACGTGAAAATGTTGTTTATACATTGTAAAGCACAATATAGGCTAGGCATTATTATTATTGTTTTGGAAGCAACTCACTGGATTCAAATTTCAGCTCTGCCACTTGTTAGCATGATCCAGAGAAAGCATCTTAAATATCTGTTTCAGTAGTTTCTTCATGTATAAAACTGGACTAATAGTTTCTACCTCATTGCATTGTATTTATAAGAATTAATGGCTTTAAAAAAACTTCAGACTCTATAAATGTTTACTATCATTCTATGTGGCTCCATTTATTTTAATCTATAAACAGTTATCAAGTGCCTAATGTGTACCAGGCACTAAGGATATAGAAATAAATGAACCATTGTTGTTCTAGCTTTCTGGGGATTCAGAGTCCAGTGAAATAAATGTTAAATTAAATTCAATGTTCAAAGAATTACAGAACTACCTATTTAGTAAGATTGAGGTGAGAGATAATACAATACAAAGTAATAGTCTTTAAGGAAGGTTAATTCCATTGTTGGTTCTTTCTCTTATTTCCTGGGTGACCAGAAGCCACCTCAAAGCTCTCAAAGCCTCACCTTATTGAACTCTGTGAATTGGGCATAACACCTTCCCCATTAGAAATGGTACAACTGGAGTTTAAAAAACAGCTCTTTTCCTTTCCTATGCTGTAGCACAGTGCTGGGCACAAAAGAAACTGCTAAACAATATCCAACATTTATTTATTAAATTAGAAAATGCCAGGTACTGTTCAAATGCTTTAAAGTATAAAGTAATGAATCCTCAAAAAAATGTCTAAGAGAAAGGTTACTGGGGCCTCCCTGGTGGCCTAGGGGTTAAGGCTCAGGGCTAACACCACTATGGCCTGAGTTTCATCATCCAACCCTGGTCAGGGAGCTGACCCACATATGCTGCAGCAGACCTGTCCTGTCTTGTCCACTGCTCCCCTTAGCAGTGTATTTCAGTAGATCTGCCTGTCCTGCTCCTCAATCTGTCCTAGTGAATCCCTTCACCCCCCATCTCTGACCTTCACTCCAGTTCTTCTATGCATAAATAAATAAAAATAAATCTTAAAAAAAGAGAAAGGTTACTGTTATCCCTACTTTGGAAACAGAGGCACATTTTCCTTTCTATAAAAATGGCACATCGTTTTAGCAAGAGGTCAAGACGGTGAGCTCTGAAGTGAGATTAAAGTGGGCTGGAATAGTGGTTCTGCCACTTACTAGCTGTGTTAAACGGATCAAGTTCTTACTTAACCACTAAATCTCAATGTCTTCATGTGTAACATGGACATACTAATACCATCAGGAAGCTGAAATGCGAATTGTAAATAAACGTCTGCATGGTGCCTGGCATACTAGAAATGCCCAACATTATACAGCTATTCTCTCATTTCAACATGATGTGGGGGAGGGCAAGGCGGGGAACAGGAAAAGGTGAAGCAAGACGTGAGATTAGAATACAATTTCCGTTCTCCAGTTTATATTTTCACGATGGGACTTGGTGGTAATTATCCTGCTTAAAGAGACGAGGCATCTAAGCTTTGCGGGGTCAGGATGGGGGGACTCTTTAGAGGGCCGCATTGTACAGGCTACAGCTTCGTGGCTAACAGGACCTTAAGCCAACACTTAGTTGGGCGGAAGAAACTAGATCGCGGACGATCAGATCCTTCCATTCATCCCTTGGCCCCTTTCACCTTTGCTTCCCTTCTCCTCCTCCGATACAGTCTCAAACCCGAAGTGCGTTTCCGTTGCCTGCTTCTCTTGGGACATGAACCGCGCTCCCAGTGGGCCCCCGGGCCAGGAGCTACGAAGCCCAGGGAGCGGGCAGCCCCTCACCGCCCGCGACCACCGACGGCCGCAGTTCCGCCATAGAGCACAGCTCCCGGAGGCCGCCATCTTGGCAGCAGGAGGACAGCGGCCTGGCGAGACGTCGCGTTGCGTCACAAGGCGGCCGACGGCGGCCGGTCGGAGACATTATTAGCCGAAATCGTCCTGAAACCTGATTTTAAAGAGTTAGCACGACCCATAGAAGACGTAGGCTACGTAGTGTATGAGTGCCCGAAATGCCTTTTCTCTCTTACCAAATTGAAGCTAGACTTCACTAGGAATGAGGAGACCTTAGAAGGACACCCCAATCACCTCTCAGAGGCCATGCCTATGATTTCTGCAAGATACTGAGTTTTTGCAACCTGTTGTTTTTGGTGTTAAAAGGGGAAACCGAGGCCCGGTGTGGTTAAGAAGCCAAGATTACGGAATTTATTCTCTCAAACTTGAGTGTGCTAAAGAATCACCCGTTTGATCTCTAAAGTGCAGATTCTTGGACTCTGGTGTGGGTATTGGGAAACGAACAGACTTCTCTGGAAGGATGCAAGGAATTTACAGACCATTCTTGAGAAATATGTAGGACCGCTTTGAAAAATAAACAGCCTGTTGTGCTGGTGGTTCAATTTCATCATCCTAGGGCGTTCATAAACGGAAAGGAAATCTCTGGTATCCATTTAGCAAGTCAGAACCAGTCACTACTCATCGTCCCTTTCCTGCTTTCTAGATTCAACAGGCATTCTCAGGATGTTTTATTTCACCCGCCAACTTTTCCTGTTCTTTTTTAATGAAAAGGGTTATTTAGATATTCTTGTGCAAAAGAGGATGAAGGTAGTGAGTTTTAAGTTTATTATTCTGGGGCCTCCCCGGTGGCGCAGCGGTTGAGCGCTGGGTTGCGAGCTGCCCTGGCCTCTGCGGCGCCGGTTCGATCCCCGGCTGCTCCCCGGCCACCGGAGGCAGGTCCCACATGGTGCGCAGACCTCTCCTGCCTCCCGCTGCTCCCCTCAGCAGTGTACTTCGGTCCTTCTGCCTGCTCTGCTCCCCACTCTGGCTCTGGTGAATTCTCTCACCCTCCCGCGCTTCTGACTGTATCCAGTGCATGTATAAACAAAAAAAAATAAATAAATAAATAAATAAAAACATGCCTCTATAAAAAAAAAAAATAAATAAAAAAAAAAAAAATAAGTTTATTATTCTGCATTGATTCTCTTTTTAAATGTGTATTTCCTGTAAATATTTCACAAGGAGAAAGTGCCAAGGGACCTAAGAAACTATTTTGAAAATGAAAAAAATCTCTTCCTGGCTTAATGCAGCTTGTCAGATGGACACCTACCACTCTCCTTTGAAAAAACTTGCACTGAGTTTTTCATTTATCTTTTTTTTAATAGTAATACAAGGATGGAATGATTTATCCATGTAATCAGTGTTCTCATAACTTTATTAAAGAAAATAGAAATTCTTCCCTGGTGGCGCAGCGGTTGAGCGCTGGGCTGCAGTGCCGGTTCTTTCCCTGGCCGCCGGCGAGGGTCCCACAAAAAAAAAAAAAAAAAAGAAAAAAAGAAAGAAATTCATGAAGGAATTTTAGTACATCTTCTACATTTCATCATACATAGAATGAACCTTAGGATTTGGGACTATTCCTTTTAGACATCAAATTGAGTTTCCAGGGCCTCCCTGGTGGTGCATGGGGTTAAATCGCAGCACTCCCTGGTGGTGCATGGGGTTAAATCGAAGCTATCTGAAACCACTTCAGCATGAGTTCGATCCCCGGCCAGGGAAGTGACTCACATGGTGCAGCAGACCTTTCCTGTGTTGCCTGCTGCTCCCCTCTTCAGTGTCTTTCAGTAGATCACCTGTTATGTTCCCCGCTCATCTCTGGTGAATCCTCTCACACACACCCCTCCCGCCCCCTCACCTCTGTTCTGTACCCCAGCTCTTATATGCATAAATAAATCAATCTTTAAAAAATTAAATTTCCAGACCAATCTTATGTTGATATTCTTTCGTTTAAATATGATTGGGGTAGGAAACTGGTTAAAAGGTGAAGCAAGACAGGACTAGTGGAGGACATTTTAAGGATATTTAAAAATGTGAGATTAGTATATAGTTTTCTTTATCCCAGTTTAAACTGTTAATGTAAGGAAATTGCCATATACTTATGAATGTTCTGTATAACATGCAATGATTAATAAGGAGCAAAAAGCCCAATTAGAGGAATTCTAGAATTTTGTGTCTATTTATTTGTTCTTTTATGACTGCTGGAATTGCACTCACCCTTTCTATGCTCAGCTCAAGTGACACCACCTCTGAGAAGCCCTCCTTGATCCCTCCCAAGTGCTCTCTCGGAGCCTCTGCTCTGGTCAGTGCTTTGTGTTACCTTTATTATAGTCGTTATATTTTTCCGTTGTGGTTTCTTAATTGCCTGACTAACTTAGTAAACTATGAATATATTAAAGGCCTCAATCTTAAAGTACTTTGGCATTCCTTGTGCTCAGCACAGTCCCTGTCCTACAATAGGTTTCTAAGTTTAGTCTGCCAAGAAGTATTTATTCCTTTCTTTAACAGAACAAGAATCATAAATTAGGGCCTCCCTGGTGGCGTAAGGGATTAAGCACGGAGATATGAAGCAATCTGAAGCCTCTGCAGCGAGAGTTCATTCCAGGCCGGCCAAGGAGCTACCCACATGGGGAAGCAGATCTTTGCTGTCTCGCCCGCTGCTCCCCTCAGCAGTGTATTTCAGTTAGTCTGTCTGTTCTGTTCCCCACTCTGTCTCTGGTGAATCCTCTCACCCCTCCATCCCCACATCTCTGGCCTATACCCCAGCTCTTGTATGCATAAATAAATAAATCGTTTTTAAAAAATCATAAATTAAACAATGAGTTAATAAAGAAATTCCACAGGCATTGTAATGTTTGGATGCATTAGTATTAGCACATCTTATAATGCACATGTACTAAGACTAAAACCTGGACTACACGTCTCCCCACATCGAACTTCCTCTCACAGGTTAAGAAAAAAAAAAAAAAAAAAAAAACAAACCCACTGGGCCCGGATGTACACAGAAACTACATTTCCCAGAGTGCCTCACTCAAACCTCTCCACTATATATACTTCATCCGGGTTCTTCGAGATGCTGTTTGGCGACTCGTCGCCATTCCCGGAGCAGCTCGGCCTCGGCCCAGAGGCGAGTGTCGGTCGCTGTGTCGGAGGCCCCGGTCCCCGGCACCGAGACAGCCAGCCCTCTCCCCGGGCCCGCGGCGGGAGAGCGCGTCCGGCCGGCCGGCGGGGCTCGCGCACCTCCCTTGCTGCCCCTTCCCCGCAGCCTCCGCCCCGCCAGGCCCGGCCCGGACCCCCGCGCCCCGGCCTCCCCCGCCTCTCGGTCGCCGCCGCCGCCGGGCCCAGCCCCGCCCGCCGCTTCTCCTTCTAGTTTGAGAAGCTGAGGAAGGAAACAGGGAAAAATGTCGCCATGAAGGCCGAGAACCGCTGCCGCCGCCGACCCCCGCCGGCCCCGAACGCCATGAGCCTGGGTCCCCGCCGCGCCCGCTCCGCTCCGACCGCCGCCGCCGCCGAGGCCCCCGTTGATGCCGCAGAGCTCCCCCAGCGCCGCCGCCAGCGCCCCCGACATGGACAAGAGCAGCGGCTGCGGCGGCCCCTCCGCCTCCTCGGGCAGCAGCAAAGGGCAACAGCCGCCCCGCTCCGCCTCGGCGGGGCCGGCCGGCGAGTCTAAACCCAAGAGCGGTAAGGGGGGAACCCCGGCCGGGCGGGGGGCGCGGAGCGGGGGCGGCAGCTGGGGAGGACGCTCGCGCCCCGGGGTCAGTCGGGGGCGCAGCTCTGCCTTCTGCAGTGGCTCCTCTCCCCTCCCCTGGCTCCCCTTATTTACAGTGAGCACTTGGGGAGCGCTCGCCCGCGTGGTGTACGGGACTCCTTGGTGCTGCTGTTGTTTCCATTTTGCGGAGGAGGAAACTGAGGTTCAGGAAAAGGCAGGGCACCCGGCTGGTAGGTGCCTCCCAGCAAGCCGTGAATGTGGTTGTCTCATGCACGCGTCCACGCTGCTAACCCTGCTGAGATGCTCTGGCCTTTTCTGTGGAATTAGCACTGGATGGTGTTGATGTTTAAACGGGAGGGACGGCCCCTAGAACTTCACAGACGCAAATCTCATTTTTCATAAGGTGGCCCCAGAGCCATCCTGCTGTTGAAGGAGACTCATCCTGGGAATGACTTTGTTCATCGTGGAGTGGGGGTTAAGAGCCAGACTCTGGAGTGAAGTGTTTTTAGGTGTGCCGGACCTGAGCGCCTGCATTTCCTTCCCTGTGGAGTTGGAGATAATAATTGAAATGAACTTAGGAAACAAATGAAAGAAGCTGAGGAGACTACCTGATACTTACTGCACCAAATGCACATGCCTGTTTTCCTGTGTTAGGGCAGATTCTGTTTTTTGTGTGTCTTGCCTCGATATTGAGTTGTGACAGTCGTGATGATAGTAGCTGCCGTTTATTTAGAGTGCTCACCATGTACTAGGTACTAGGCTAGGCTTTCACCTTTATCCATATCCCTGTGACTAACCAGTCCAGCAAGGTGGAATTGTTCATACCTCCAGAAGGAACACGCTTAGGAGCCATGGTGGTTAGGAGTTGGCAGAGTCTGGAGTTGAAAATTCCCAGCCTTCAAAGCCTGGGTACTAATGTCTGCTTTCTTACGTGTTGTGATTATATTAGCAGTAACAGGAAACTGTTTTTGGTGGAAGTGGGAATGTGTGGTAAAGAGGGGAACACTTGGACTTTGCAAATGTGGAGGTTCCGGTTGTTGAAAACTTTTCAAGACTTTTGAAGATTAAAAAATTGTAAGTCTGACCTGAAAATGGATGGAAAAAACAATTAACTGGAAGGCTGACTTGAGTTCAGAGTTGACCTGGCGGATGTAGCAAACTTGTTTACCTCTTGTGCCAAGCAGTATCACAGATGCTGCTTGTGGAACTCAGTTGGAGACAATTTGTCTTGATAATAAAAGAATGCTTTAAATAGGGACTAGTATGAACACTCTGGCTATGTCAGACAGTAGTATGTAGACTAATTTTGGGGTTTTGTATATGTGTGACTTTTATCATAGATCCCCTTAGAAAGGGTAGTCAGTCCTCTTGACCAGCGTTGGAACTGGTTTACGATGATTTGAATATTTCTTACTATAGATAAATAACTTTATTTTGTACTACAAGGTGTAAAGTTAAGGATTAGTTCTCTACCTATATGAATTCTCAATTAGTTTTTGTGGGACTCCTGTTTAAGCCACTAACATTGACTTTTGAGTCAGCTGCAATAAATGCCTTTTGTTTAATTTTTAGTGAGACTGTAGGTGAAAGTTTGAAACAACCCAAACAAAATAAAAGACTAAAGCATTTAAAGTGTTTTACCCATATTTTGTCTATGAATCTGTTGATTAGTGGAACTAAGATTACTGAACAGGATGATCAAGTATTCCGTTGTAATTTGACTAAAGCCAATATTTGTCGGTGTTAACATTTCAAATAAACTTGTATAGAATAAATGCTAATTGTGGGATTCATTCTAGTCATTTCTGCTTTTTTTAAAAAGCTACTTCTGTTTTTCTTTTTTAAAAAAATAAAATACTATAAATTACTATTAACATTTATGTTGCCTATTGAAAGCTTCTGAGGAAGTAAGTAAGTAAAAACCCATATAGAGGACTTTTTCCTAGTTTTTTTGCTTTTGTTTTTTTTTGTTTTTTTTTTTAATACGCAAGTGTGCCCTCTGGTAGCATTCATTTTTTGTTTAATATGTTTCTTAGGAAGCTTAACCATGTTTGCCAGTGCCTACTTTACTGGCTAGTCGGATGTATATGCCCTTCGCAAAAAGGTAGATTTGTGGTATGCAATACATAGTTCTTCATTAACCATAATCCGCTGCTTGCAATTAGGAACAAATTCAAAAACAAAGCAGGGGGAGATTAAAAATGGCTTAGGGAACTCTGATACTGGTTAATTTTAAAGGTTGAGCTGAAAGATAGCATAAGCTGCCTAAGAAAGTTACAGCAGTGCTGCTACGACAAATACCACTCTGGGACCTCTTGCACAGTGGCTTTGCGCTAACAAAATACACGTAATTCCATAAAGTTTTGTAGTATTTCAAAAGAGAACTAAATACTTGACATACTTGATTATGCTGTAAAATATTGAAAGGCCTCTTGATTTTCAGAATAATGCCTTGAAGAACAGGAAGGATAAAGTGAAAAGACAGAACTTCCCTTTTGGTTATCAAAGTAACAAGAACAGGTGTTTTTTAATTTTGGGCATTGAATTCCCTTTTCTTCCTTTCCCTACCTCATGTGGGGGAGGGGGAACCCTTTGGTTTTTATTCTTTGAAACATGTACAACACAGATGGACACTTGCTTCCTAGCTACGGGATTAATATACTTGAATCTTTGTTCCTGCAAACTGACTTACTGACCTTCATGCACACAGGAAGTAGGTAAATTTGACTGCTGGGATTTCTTTGATCTTTCTGGCCAGATTGGTGGCATACCAATTTCTTTGCCTTGACTAATACTTCAAACATTCACATACCATTCCTTTTCTTGGATATATTTGTACAGCTTTGTTCCAGTAGGGCACAGATGCAGCTCTAAGAACATTGAACAGATATATCCCAGTGAAGTTTATATATAACTTGGTGAGTTAGGACTTCGGGAAAGTAGTTTAGAAAGAACAAAGACTATAAAAAGAGGGGAAAGAGGGCCTCCCTGGTGGCACAAGGGATTAAGTCTCAGCATTATGAAGCTATCTGCAGCCACTGCAGCACAGGTTCGATCCCTGGCTAGGGAGCTAACCCACATGGCACAGCAGACCTCTCCTCACTCACCCACTGCTCCCCTTAGCAGTGTATTTCAGTCATTCCGCCTGTTCTGCTCCCCACTCTGTCTCTGGTGAATCCTCTCACCCCCCCTACCCAGACCTACACCCCACCTCTTGTAAGCATAAATAAAAAATCTTTTGGTGGGGGGGCGGAGAGAGACTAGGCGGTTTATGGACCCTGGCCTAGAACCTCTTGCTCCATCACCCTGGGTGGGGGATGGTACTGCCGTGGAGGTTAAGGGAAGGTCAGGTATTATGAAGCAGTTATTTTGGGTTGGTAATTTGAAGTACTGTCTTGACACTCTTATGTTATTCCGGTACCAGAAGCCAGGTTACTAGTGGTAATCTCTTGTGAAGAATGATCCTGAGCTGTAAATGGACCCAGAGCTTTTGATGGCTTTGAAAATTGAGGTGACTTGAAACCTTCAATAAAAACCACTTAGAGAAATTACAAGAATTTCAGAGCCTGTTGTCTGGAGTCCTTGTTTTTTATGGCTTTGTTGGAAGCCTAGTTGGTGCATTTGACAGGAATTACTTGAATTTATTAATAGTAGACTTTCAAATAATAGCAACTGTGTGCCAACCACTGTGGTAGGCATTTTGTAGACCTTTTCTTAGTCTTCATGATCCTGTGAGGAGGGAGGGTAAAGGACTACTAGGCTTAAATTACAGACAGAAATGCTTAGGGGTGTTGGATTGATATGTCCAAATGAATTCTAAGATGTCCTAGGAATATTTATAAAAACACTTTATGTAAACTCACTGGCACATTCATCATTCCTGATACCACCTTTTTCTTCCTTTCATCCAGAATTACTAATTTCAGCTGGATTCAATTTGTTGTCAGTTGATTCTGTAGTAAGGCCATATGTTGCCCCTCCGGAGGTGCTTGTCATCCACTCTGGACGATGGGTAAGCAACTTGCTTGTGATTACAGCATGAATCAGCAGCTGAACTTCCTGGCTGGTGTTCTGACCTCTAGACTGTGCCACCTGTTAGAACTAGAGCTAGAAGTGTTGGTAATGCCAAATTACTTAACTGAAAATTTTGTGGTCTTTAATATGGTAATGGGGGTACAAAACTAAGATAGGTTTCCTATTATCTGACAGAGGCTTTTCTATTAGGGAGTTGTGGAAAAACTGAGATGGTGGACTAAGTTTTCAAGTCTCTTTAATTGTTGATTCTGGGATCCTGAGTTCTGGATTTGAGCCATTAAACTAATGGTTTTGCCCATTTTGGAATGTGCCTTAGCAGTGGTAGTTTTTGGCAGTTTTCAGCTCTGGCTGTGCATCAGAATCTCCTGAAGACTTTTTTTCCCTTAAAAATAAGGGTGTGTGGGTTCTCTAGAAAAATTCAGATTTTCTTTAGGTCGAGGTCAGCTCTTGGCCGTGGCATCCATAGTTTCAAAGTTTCTGCAAGTGATTCTTTTGTGCAGCCAGGATTGAGAACTGCCACTCTGAAATTTAAAACTTTCAGCAGTGTTTCTTACAGGAATTTGACTTTGTCTAATTTCCGAGATAGAAAGTGGATCATCTCATTACTGTCATCTGCTGTCAGAGAAAGGACCACAACATTCTACCATGTTTTTCACTGTATATCCTGGCAAGTTGTCTATAAAACATTTAAAACATATTAGTCTGAACTTTATCTCTAGGTCCCAGGCCTGAGTGTACTTTCAATCTTTTGCTGCTTGTTGCCTCAGTCTAGAGATAAGAGCTAACCTCTCACTTTACACATCTGACTTCATACCCGTAGGTAAGTGGAAGACAAGATGAGAGAGAGTTGATCTTAGCAGCTAAAATCATGACTCCATATATGGTCTGTTGTAATCTGTTTTAGAAGTGAGCAGTTCATTGTCCATCAGAGAGCAATTCTGTAAGTATTATGAAACTGTTTCCTTGCCACTGTGGTAATAAGTGAAGAAATACAAGCAGCTCTAGATAAGTTCCAACTTTCTTTCTTGAGCCTTTGAAATGTAGAATCAGACTTCACCTAATTTTGTTCAAACCATTGTGAGCTTGTTTTGAAAACAACAGTCAGGGAAATGCAGGATCATCTGAAATAGCCCTGGATAATAAGTTTTGGCAAATGTGTGTTTTCTGTATATACCAGTCTTCTTCATGAGACCTTTTTTGTTCTCTTGATAAAGTTGGCTGGCCTTCTGTAGCCCTCTGAATTTTCTATTTGAGATTTTATTATAATTTCATGGGTAGAGGATAAAGTGAAATTTATATGAGATCTGAAGCTTCACTTTATAAATTACCACTGGTAGCATGTCTTACAATGTTGCTAACTGAAATAGTTAAGTATAAGTCTAGTTTTTAAATTCTAACTTCTGATTAAACCTTGGCCACTTTCCCTAACTGGAACCTAAAGGCAATCAGTGGAGTAAATCTAGTTTGGGTATGTTTTTATGACCCATCTGTTCTGTTTACATTGCAGCCATTTCTTAGCACTGTCAGCTTGACTCTCAAGTAGTGGTTTGGAGAGGATGGCATGTCTCTCGTTTATTTATCCCATATTGTTGACGAACCAGGTGTGAGATGGTTGCTTTCAAAATTTGGACTCTGGTTTATCAACTCACATTTCCTCTTCTCCAAAGATTTGCCTCACCTTGGATTTATTTAGCCTGTTGTAAAATAAACAGGTCATCTTGTCTAGAAATAATTTTTTCTAGGTATAAGTAACTTTAAAAATTGCCCTATAATAGGTATACAGAACAGTAATTTTGTGTATTTAACATTTTAGGAAGGAAAGCCTGAGCTCAGGAATCCCTTAATAGCTCACTTGGGTGATTTCCTGGGTGCTGGGGTGATTCTGATTCTATATTTGGGTATAAGTGAACAGCTCCATTTTCCAAAGGTAATGGCCTGCTGTTTTGCCTTTCCAGATATGTTTCCATTATACGCTTTTAACAAACAAACTTAAACTGTATGTAGAGGGGCTGGGGAGTAAGGGGCTGTAGTTCTGAGGCTCATGCTGAAGTCTTCTTGACATTTGTAAATTACTACCTCACCTTTCAATCCTCCAAGTGCATTTCTCCATTAAAGTCCACTAACGTCCATTCTAAGTTTTTGCTTCTGAAGCCATTAGAATGCAGACTTGACTTGGTCAGATTTCCATGTTGAAATAAGACAAGCTGGAGTGAGCGAAGAGAAAAGAAAAATCAATCTTTTGCTTAAAGACTAATTTGGGGGTCTCATTCACTTTATTTGTCTGGTTCTCGGGTAGCTTTTATTTTGCTTTTTCAAAAGTTTGAAATTTAAAATTTAAAGTTGATAAACTTTGGCACATGTTAAGTGTGTCTGGTCAGAGCTCTTTGTTCTCTTGGGGACAAAATAATTGGTGCAGTTCAGTTCCCCAGTAGAAAAATAGGACAAAATATAAACAAGTTCTTATCCACAAAATACAAATGGTAAACAGACTGAAAAAGTAGTTATTGCTAGTAAAAAGAGAAGTTAAAACCTGAAACAAGTCATTTTTATCTTTGAATTCAGCAAAGTTGGTTCAGCTCAGTAGTATTAAAGAATGTAATGAACTAGACACTCTTATGGTGTTAGAATGTAAATAAATTGGTATATTGATTCTAGAAAGCAACTTGAGGATGTATAAAAAGCTTTATTCTCGTGATTTGCTAATTATACTTCAGTTTGACATAGTCATACACATGGGCTCTGTATAAAGAAACTTCTAAAATATTATATTAAATCAGAGAAAAAAAACAATTAGGAGTCACTTAAGTGTTTAGTAAATAGGGGATTGGTTATGTTACATTTTAAGTGGACAACAGTGCAGCCATTAATCATGCTTTTGAAAACAAGGGATGCATAAAAACGTTCATAAGGTAACAGGTAAAAGACAGTGTATCTTGTACGTCTGTCATATGTAGCAGGTGCATAAATGGAGACTAAAAGTAAATACCATAGTTTGATAGCCTGTATGTAGGTCCTGGTAAATTTAATTTCTGGATTTCAGAATTAACATTGATTTTTATATCTTTTAATAAAGTATTTTTTCCCCATGAATGCTCATGTTGACCTAATGTTCTTAGGGCTCAACCTTTTTCAACTTAATACCTTTTCGGTTTTACCTCTAGAACATATCTAAATATTCCTTTGCTTTTATGCCTTCTAAAAACACAGTGTAATAGGACCAAGGTTAAGCTGTAACTGTATTGTATCTACTGTGCTAGAATTTAAAGAAGAATGTCTTTTGGGCCTCCCCGGTGGCTCAGCGGTTGAGCGCTGGGTTGCGAAGCTGCTGGCAGCCTCTGCAGCACAGGTTTGATCCCCGCCGGCCGCCGGGCGAGAGTCCCACATGGAGCGCAGACCTCTCCTGCTGCCTGCTGCTCCCCTCAGCAGTGTATTTTGTCACTCTGCCTGTTCTGCTCTCTGCTCTGGCTCTGGTGAATTCTCGCACCCTCCTGCGTTTCTGACTGTACCCAGTGCTTGTATAAATAAATAAATAAATCTTAAAAAAAAAAAAATCACATTCCTTAAAAAAAAATAGAAGAATGTCTTTTGTCCTGCCTCCAGAGAAAATACTTTTTCTTAATATGAATATAGGTTTTCCCTGTTATGTGAAAGCAGAATTTTTTATTTGGTTTGATTTGGTAGGGGTATGCTAAAACATTTTTCATATCAGTTAATGGTTATAGTGTTCCCAGAGCCAGAAAATAACCTACAAATCATACCAAATAGGAACATTCTACTTTTGGATAGGGTGGGAAACCTATAGGCTGTTTCTGCTTTGCCCGAATGGACTTTTACAAGAGCAGTGGTTGATCTCTGTAAAAATGGAAGATGTTGTGAACTGAGAAGCTGTGTGGTTTGATTTATAATGTATTCGTCCTGAGGGAGAGGCCCTTTAGGCTTCATCACTTAACCAAACCACTGTACTTTAAGATGTCTTGCCTAAACCTCAATTTTTTGGAGATTGTGGAAGAGCCCATTTACCCTTGTTTAAGCACATTTTGGGGGGTGGGGGGGAGAGTGGAGAGCAGTTGGCAGGTGTAGGTATTATTTCTTAATTCTTTTGCTTTTCCTTTCAGATGGAAAGAACTCAAGTGGATCCAAGCGTTGTAATCGCAAACGTGAACCTTCCTACCCCAAAAATGAAAATTTTAGCAACCAGTCCCGTCGCTCCAATTCACAGAAAAGCAAAACTTTTAACAAGATGCCTCCTCAAAGGGGCGGCGGCAGCAGCAAACTCTTTAGTTCTTCTTTTAATGGTGGAAGACGAGATGAGGTATGGAATGTAAGAATGTCTTTAGTACATAAGAAATATAAAGTCTGATTCTCCCCTCACTGGTTTATCAGTACTTGGGGAGAGGGAAGAAAAGCAGTTAACCAAAGTAATCTTGAGTAGTTGCTGTTTAACTGGGTTTAGAACTTTGCTTGCTTGCTTTTCTTGAAGGTTATGAAAATTTCCTTGGAGGAAAAAAGACATCATAATCTTGGATTATGAGAAATCACAGCAAACTTGGGATGCCTTGATTTGTTTAGTATTTTTTATTATCACTCATGCATTATGGTTCCCTATGAAATATTTTGATAGTAAATGACATTTACCCCATATATAGGATCTAGCAAAATGCTGTATCCTTAGTTCCAGGTATTCTGATTTTAGGAGTTCCTTAGATATCCTTCCATAAGTGCATAAAGACTCATGTACAAGAGAGTTGACTTGCAGTATTGTTTGTGGTTAGCAAAATTTTAAGAAACAATTTGAAACTATCAGTAAGGGACTGGTTAAATTATCCTGCTTTTTATTTATTTTATCACAATAGGGGTTTGGTTTTTTTAAAAATATTTTATATAATTCTTACATCATTTTTCATTTTTGCATAATGTATGCATTTTCATTTTGGTTATCCTGCTCTTTAAATGTTCCATACTATGTAACTATTACAGAGCAAGACAGATTTAATGGATGTATTCATGGAATAATCCATTCATCCACTAAAAATTCCTCGCCTACCATGCACCACATACTGCTTAGGGTTTTGGAACATTATCTTTGTTCTTTAGGAGCTTATATTCTAGTTTGGGGGAGGGAGGGATAGTAAAAAAAAGTTACATAAAAAATAAAACCATTACATTTACCTCCAATGGTAAATATTTATTGAATTTTTAAAATGTGGACAGGGGAGGTAAATGAGTGGAGTAACAAGGTGTACAGTTTCAGAAGATGGCTAAGGAAAGATGCTCTGAGGAGTTTATTTTGAGTAGAGACCTGAATAAGGCAAGGAAACACACTATACAATTTTGAGGAGGAGTGTCAGAAGGAATAATAAGTGTAAGTGATCAGAGGCGGTAATGTTTTTGGTGTGTTTGAGGTAAAGCAAATAGGTTACCATGGGCGGAAAGAAGTAGGAAATGAAAGCAAAGAACACAGAAAAAAGAAGTTCAGATGATGTGGGGCCTTTTGTTCAGACAGAAGGGAAACCATTTTGGGGGTTTAAAAAGAAGTGAGGTAATCTCACTTGGAGTTTTAAGGGGAAGAATTAAAGCAGGGAACTAGCTAGGATGCTATTGAGATATTCTGATGAGAGTGATGGGAGCTTTGAAATCGAGTGACAATGAGGATAGGCAGTCAGATTTGGGTGACTATCTGAATGTTAGAGTCAGCAATATTTTCTAAAATAAATATAATTTTAAAGATTTATTTTATTTATACAAGAACCGGGGTACAGGCCAGATGTGTGGGAGGGTGAGAGGATTCACCAGAGACAGAGCAGGGAACAGAACAGGCAGACCAACTGAAGTACACTGCTGAGGGGAGCAGCGGGCGGCAGGAGAGGTCTGCGCGCCATGTGGGACCCTCCTCTGGTGGCCAGGGAGGTGACCCACATTGTGCAGCAGACCTCCTGTCTCGCCCACTGCTCCCCTCAGCAGTGTATTTCAGTCAGTCTGCCTGTTCTGTTCCCCACTCTGTCTGTGGTGAATCCTCTCACCCCCTGCACCGGTGGCCTGTACCCCAGTTCTTGTATGCATAAATAAATCTTTAAAAAAAATATCTTCTGGTGGGTTTGCTTTAAAGGGGAGAATAGAGGTCAGGCAGTGGCTTGAGGGGAGTATGAAGTCAAGAGAGTTTAAGATGAAAAATTACAGCATATCCCTGTTGATGAAATTGTCTTGGAAAGAGGGAAAAGTGATAGAGGAGGAAGGGGTGAATTGTTTAAACAGTGTCTGAGTTCCTGAGGAATTGGGATCTAAGGCACAAGTGGAGGAGTTGGCTTAGAAGGAGCTCTGCCAGTTCATCTGTAGCAATAAGACAGTAATGGTGGGAGGGTGTGGGAGTTCTTTTCTGGTTGTTAATTGTTTCAGTGAAATCTATGAGATAAGCTGAGAGGAGGCTTGGGAGCCTGAGGAATAAAGGAGTTGTCTGAGTGATTGGGAAAATTAATGGAGTAAAGAGGTATAAGAGAATTGTAGTATGACTGCCAGGCAGTGTAAGGATTTACTTTAGTGAGACCTTCAGTGTGATTTTGATTTTGTTTTTAACTGCTTTGGTGCTGGGATGGAATAGTTAAAGCATCGTTCCCCTGATTAATAAATTGGGAAGATCTTGCCAGGTATTATTGCCACAAAATCAAGGCAACGGACCGTGGGATCTAAGCCACATAAAGAGAGAAAATTGAAGGAGTTGGATCACTTTTTTGCAAACCCAAGTGGATGTGGAGAATTTCTGAAGTCATACCAAAGGGGAACAAGCTGAGAATGGAGTGAGTTGGCTAATTGAAGATAGGGCACTTAAAAAATCAAAACAGTGAAAGGTGCAGTTACTGCAAGCATGGTCTAGATTATAGAGCAATCCTGTCCAATGGAAACACAGACCACATAGATAATTAAAAATTTTTCTAATTGCCATATTAAAAAAGAAATAGGTGAGGGCCTCCCTGGTGGCGCAAGGGGTTAAGATGCAACCTATGAAGCTATCTGCAGCCTCTGCAGCATGAGTTCCATCCCCGGCCAGCCAAGGAGCAACCCACATGGCACAGCAGACCTCTCCTGACTTGCCCGCTGCTCCCCTCAGCAGTGTATTTCAGTAGATCTGCCTGTTCTGTTCCCCACTCTGTCTCTGGTGAATCCTCTCAACCCCCACACCTCTGGCCTGTACCCCAGTTCTTGTATGCATAAATAAATTAATTTAAAAAGAAATAGGTGAAATTAATTTTAATGTATTTAATACGGTAAATCTAAAATGTTATTTTGTTCTGTGGCACTGACCACATTTCAGCTGCTCAGTAGCCACAGCTCCATAGTTGCTGTTGTACCACTCAGCTGAATGTGGTATACCCATACAAATGGGTGGCTGAGTTAGGGTGAGGGCAAACTTATTGGAGGAGAGGAAGTAAAGGAACAGAGAAACTAGTGTATTGGGAGGATAATCAGGGATTAATGATGGCTAATGTTGGAGTGACATTGGGTTCAGATAATAGTGAAGACAGAATGTTGAAAACACGGGGGATTTTGTTGACTAAGCACAGGTCTCTTTGGTACTTTGGGGATGGAAGACTAGTGAAGGCATAGCAGAACCTTATGCAAGTAAAAGTCTAGGGAATGAGAGGTAAGGGATGACCTGAAACTCTTGGGCTTCCGCAATTATTTAGACAGTTGGGGGAGGTGGGGTGGACACGTGGAATGAGTTAAGATAAAAAGAAAATTGTCTAATTGTGGTATGCCACAAACACTGTTGGTGTTTAATTGTAAAGGTCACATATTACACTTCTCTATGCATAAACTATCTTAGAAGATATTTTTCACTATATCCATTTTTTTACTCATTAGAGGATTTATCACATGTGTGCAAGTGTTACTTACTAATCTCTGACTTTGACTAAACAGCAGAAGCCTTAAATTTGAATTTCCTTGGACCCAATCATTTATTGTACATTCAAAAGAGATGGGTGCCCAAATATTTGCACGAAGATCTATCTAAAAGTGTTTATTCCAGCACTATTTTGTTACAATGGAAAAGCTATGTATACGCTGTGTCCTACACTAAGCATTCTGACTGTTATACTAATATTTAGTGAAATGGCAAAGTGCTTATAACTCTTAAGTGGGAATGTGGCATTAACTTACATTAGATATCCATACTACTTCAGTTTGGTAATTCTAAGAAGACTGAAACAGACCTCAAGATGATTTATTCCATCTCTGTGTGCTGTGCTATTTCTCATGTGGTTTTGTGCCACTTTCTAAACTCTCTCTGAAGCTACTGATAGGGTTTATTTTGGGGCACAGTTAGTCTGCCTACATGTTCTAATTCTGTCAGTTTTAATTAACAATGAATAGCAGTGTGTGTCTTAGACACGAGGTCGCTGGCAGTATCCTGAAAGCCTGTGGCAGTTAGCAGCTGCTTGCAAACCGCCTCCAGAATATAGTTCCACAGAATCCCCTTACCCAGAAACAAATGAAAATATACGTAGCTTACAGGAATGAAGGTGTAGGAGTCCTGTGGATCTGTTGAAAATTAATGCAGTAAGTAAATCTTCCTGCTTCAAGAGAGCTAAGGAAATTGATGCTGAATTTTGTCATTTAAATTGTTTAATTGCTACTTAGGGCAGACTAAACAGTTTAAGTAATTGTATGTTAGACTCTTTTACCTCTCTCCACTCCCATCTAGATCTTGGGTTACTTTTCCATTACCCCTTCCTCGGACAATTGTTGACTTTAAGCCTATATTTTATTTAATTAATATTTTTTAAGTCTCATGGAAAGAAGGCTTGTGCTGATTTCTGCTATAGATCATTGTCATCCTAATCTAAAATACTGTGATTCATTCTCCTTTTCTCTAGGTAGCAGAGGCTCAACGGGCAGAGTTCAGCCCTGCCCAGTTCTCTGGTCCTAAGAAGATCAACCTGAACCACTTGTTGAATTTCACTTTTGAACCCCGTGGCCAGGCAGGTCACTTTGAAGGCAGTGGACATGGCAGCTGGGGAAAAAGGAACAAGTGGGGGCATAAGCCTTTTAACAAGGAACTCTTTTTACAGGCCAAGTGAGTATGGTTACTCCTAGGAGAGAATGAAGTTGAGCCTTGCTGGGCAATTGCACTGAAAAGAGGCTTTTTTTTTTTTAAAGATTTATTTATTTATGCATACAAGAGCTAGGGTACAAGCCAGAAATGTAGGGGGGGGAGGATTCACCAGAGACAGAGTGGGGAACAGAACAGACTGACTGAAATACACTGCTGAGGGGAGCAGTGGGCGAGACAGAAGAGGTCTGCTGCGCCATGTGGGTTTCTTGCTTCACAGTGTGGTGCTTAACCCCTTGCGCCACCAGGGAGGCCCAAAGGCCTTTTTTTTTTTTTTTTAAACTACTATTTCTTAGGAGAGGGGCAGAAAGGGAGTTGATCTGGTCTCCTTTTCCTTTTGTCATGTGTTGAAATCCCATTTCCCAAGTGGATGCTATTGATGCTTAAAAGAAAATAATGCTTAAATAAATAATGAAATAATGCTAAAATTAGGTAATGCTTTAGTTTCATGTTGAAGTAGCACAAGTGTTTGCTTTGAGATCTGATCTAGATTTGAATCTTGATTTGACCTTTTTCATTGGGCAAGTTAGCTAAACACTTTGAGATTCAGTTTTTTTATAAGGAGAAATTACTTAAAGGAGACTTGAATGATAAGTTGAAGTGCTTGACACACATTTGTTCAAATATTGATATTGTTTCCTTTTGTGTGGCATTAGTCACAATATAAGATTTGACCTTGGGTCTAGATTGAAATAATTCTGGTACTCAAATGATTTAATGGGAACAGTCTTTCTAGTGCTTTGAAGACTAGCTCTGTTGTGGGGTTTCTGGGATTGAGGGAGGAAATCTGGCTTCCTGCTGTGTGGAACCACAGTATGGGTTAATTTTAGTTGAAGGGAGGCAGCTTGACTACTTAGAAGCAGAAGAAATAAGAGTTCATGGATTTAAATCCTACCTGCTGGTTCTTTGGATTCCCTCCAGAGCCAAGACTCAGAACTGAGACTGGAGTCCTAGTTCAGTGCTTTACAAATCATGGCTGGTAGTGCGCCTACATTTGTTTTCTAAGAGTTGATGAATTTCTGCTGAGGGCTCATTGATGGATTCTGGCAGCATGTCTTTTCTCTGTCATCTTCCCTATTTCTAGTTGCCAATTTGTGGTGTCTGAAGACCAAGACTACACAGCTCATTTTGCAGATCCTGATACCTTAGTCAACTGGGACTTTGTGGAACAAGTGGTAAGTAGCTAAGTGACAAGCTGTTAATGGGAGAGAGAACTAAAGGAAGGACTGTGGTGACACTGCAGCTGTTGGCTGTGTTCACTGCTGTACCCTGTCCTGCATGGCCTTACACTCGGCCTTTCCCAGAGATTAGTCCTGGTTTCTTCTGAACTGTAATTGCCACTGGCCTGCAGGATTAGGGAATTGGAGGGCTCTGATCTGAAGGTTTAAAAGTGGTATTGCTATTCACTACCTTCACTCTCCTAGGAAGTAGTAACCAGAGGAATATGTGAGGGATTCAGGTTAACCTCCTGAGCCAGGGTAGGCTCATTCTATGGATATTGCTTTATTGGTAACTTTTTGTAATTATCAAATTAGGCCTTAGCCTTGTGGTAGATGAATAGCCACAGAGCTGTACATTTGCCAGAACCCGTCCTGCTTTTCATTTCTGTTGAAATTATGACCTATAGGTCTGTCCCCTTGATGTTTCTAGGGTACATGATGTAGATTATCTTTCAAAATGATAGTCCTCGAAATCTGGACTCCCATGAAAAGCCTTAAAATTATCTGAGAATGACATCAAAGGCCTGTGAAACTTAAGTTTTCTATGCATTGGGTCAAAATGAAAATCTCATTGATTTCTCCACTGGAAAGTAACAAAATTACTTATAGCCCCTTTTTATATTTTTATGTATGCATAAATGTAAATTCTTTTTTTTTGAAAATGGGATCAGACCGTGATGTCTATCATTTTTTCCCCTTGGAAGTGGAATCTCCCAAATACTGCCGCCTGTAGTTGTTTCATTATATTACAGCCATTACCATGGTTCCCTTAACTATAAGTGCTATCATATATATGCACCTGCATAGTTGAGCAATTTTAATGAATATGTGTTGAGTAGAGATGTACAGGGATGAGAATGGGAAGCAGAGACTTTAATTTTGAAAGTCTTTGGTCAGTTCTAAAAGCAGTGAAACTTATGGCAGCCTTTTGTTTCAGCGTATTTGTAGCCATGAAGTGCCATCTTGCCCGATATGCCTATATCCACCTACTGCAGCCAAGATTACTCGCTGTGGACACATCTTCTGTTGGGCATGCATCCTGCACTATCTTTCACTGAGTGAGAAGACATGGAGTAAATGTCCCATCTGTTACAGTTCTGTGCATAAGAAGGATCTCAAGAGGTAAGCTTTAGAAATTTATTAGATTAGACCCTAGTTTTTTCAGTCCTTGCCCTGCTACATCTAAATGTCCATGTTACAGTGTTGTTGCCACAGAGTCACGTCAGTATGTTGTTGGTGATACCATTACGATGCAGCTGATGAAGAGGGAGAAAGGGGTGTTGGTGGCCTTGCCCAAATCCAAATGGATGAATGTAGACCATCCCATTCATCTAGGAGGTTAGTTCTGTTAACTTTGGGGGCAAATAATCCTGGGCACACTCTTTAAGGCTACTGAATCTATCTTTTTTAGGGTCAGTAATTCAGCCTCAGGGCGAGCCAGTGCTAGGTATTCTGAGTCATAGGATGCCAGTAGGTGAGGGTATAGTTTACAGAGTGGTTTAACCCTTTGAAGTTTGGCGTAGTTATATACATATGTAATTCATTTTAACAGGTTTTGTTTGAATAGTGTCTGTCACTGTGTCCGGTTTTGGAGAGTCCACAAATGTTGGTCTAATGAGAGAGACAGACTGGTAGTCTTTGGATATATAGTGTGTGATAAGTAGAGGAAGTGCACACAAGGTGTTATTCCCTGTATTCCATGTGGAAATGAGCATTTGATTAAAGTGACATGAACTTCAATCTATCTCTGGGGAAAAGAGATTTCTCAGTAATTGGTATGGAAACAATCAATTCTTAGGGGGAAAAATAAAATTAGATGCCTGTTACATACCGTATGTGAAAATCAATTCCACATGAATTGAAAAACTAAATGTAGACAAAAACTTTAAACCTTTAAAAGAAGATATAATTCCCTTATAAATCCTCAAATTTTGAGTGGATAATTTTTGAAGCGGGTTGAAACCATAGATGCTATAAATAAAAATAATGATAAATTTGATTTTATAAGAATGAAAACTGACAAGATTGCTCAAAATCAATAGTTGATTAGTAAACTAGGGGAAGATTTTGCACATTTGAAATGAAAGATTATCGTTTAAAACATACAGATGTTTTATAAATTACATTCACAACCTAATGAAACAATGGGCTAAGCATGTTATAAAGCATTTCTCAGAAAAAGGAAATTAGAATAGCCTCCAGATATCTGAAGATTTTAGTTTACTGAGGAGTTAGACCAGTACAGACCATTATGCCTTTTAGATTATAGGAGGGCAAAAAAAAACATAGGTAAACTGGTCTTCCAGGGTTGAGGAAATTGAACCTTTTGTTCTTGGTGGGACTGTAAAATCAATACAGCCTTTTGAGATACTATTTGGTAGCATTTTTAGAAAGTACAACCTTTGATCCACAATTTATATTTATTTTTTAAAGATTTATTCATTTGTGCATATAAGAGCTGGGATGCAGGCTCGAGTTGCAAGGGTCAGAGGCTTCACCAGAGACAGGGTGGGGAGCAGAACAGACAGATCCACTGAAACACACAAGACAGGAGAGGTCTGCTGCGCCATGTGTGTAGCTCACTGGCCGGTTGGGGATTTAACTGGTGCTGCAGAGGCTGCGAATAGCTTCATGGTGTTGTGCTTAACCCCTTGCACCACCAGGGAGGCCTCAATTTATATTTAAATATCATAAATCATTTTTACCAAGGGAGGTTATGTGAGAACTTTTTTGGTTGCAATATGTTACATTGTTAACAATGACAACTGTCACTAACCTAAATGTTTCACAAGGCACTTACTAAGTAGTGTAGAGCAGGCACAGAAGGTAAAAATGTAATAGACTATATCACATTTTGGAATATTTTAAGACTTTGAATCAAAAAGAAACTGCAGTGTAAATTTATCTTTTATGAAAACAACTTTTTTATAAACAGGTATAGGAGAAGACTTGAGTCTTATATTTTTGTGATCTTGCTGACTTTCTTGTAGATGAACAGCACAGCCAATATTCCAAGTTGCTGCTGGCTTCTAAGGAACAGGTGCTGCACCGGGTGGTTCAGGAAGAGAAGGTAGCACTAGAGCGGCAGCTGGCAGAGGAGAAGCACACTCCTGAGTCCTGCTTTATTGAGGCTGCGATCCAGGAGCTCAAGGTGAGATGATGGTGGGAACAGGTCAGAATGGGGGCAGGTGGGGGGGAAGTTACTTCAGCCCTGTCTTGAAGATATTAAGCAGGAAATGGGTAAAAAAAAGCCAATTTGTTTTGGGTTTTGTTTGGTGATTAGAGGGGAGGCCTGAACTAGGTCTTTCTGGAGCTGAAAGGAGCAAGCCAAAATGATTTTATAACTAATTGTAACCCTGAGGGTTGTTTTTTTTTTTTTTTTAAGATAAGTTATATCTTTAGTTGAGGTGGGTTTTTTTTTTTTTTTTTTTTTTTTTTTTTAGAAAAACCCTTGGATTTATTTTTAGAGATAACAAGACATTGTCAAAATATGACCTGTTTAGTGGACCAGCAAGACAGAAAGAATTACCTAAATATAGAATTTCCTGTGTCCTGTATCTTCTACACGGGTTAATTCTTAAGTTTTGACTGGCACCAGTATCACTGGTTGTTGAGAGATTGTTTCAGTAGGTCTGGGCTCAGTTTTGTCTGATAATTTTCATTACATGTTCCAGGACGATTTTTTTTTTTTTTAAAGATTTATTTATTTATTTATACAAGCACTGGGTACAGTCAGAAGCGCGGGAGGGTGAGAGAATTCTTCAGAGCTAGAGCGGGGAGCAGAGCAGGCAGAAGGACCGAAGTACACTGCTGAGGGGAGCAGCGGGCGGCAGGAGAGGTCTGAGCGCCATGTGGGACCCTCCTCCGGTGGCCGGGGAGCAGCCAGGGATTGAACCGGTGCTACAGAGGCTGCAGGCAGCTTCGCAACCCAGCGCTCAACCGCTGCGCCACCGGGGAGGCCCTTGTGTTCCAGGACGATTCTAATGCTGCTCATCCTCAGATTGTGTTTTGAGAATCACTGGTCTATATTAGAACAATGAAAATCCTCTTTATTGAATGGGTTAGCATGTGACAGACCCTGTGCTAAAGTAATGTATTACATTTTTCTCACTTATGTAGTCAGCCTGGTTTGATAGTTACAGCTGTCCTCTCAGATGAGGAAAAGGGATCATGGATTAGGCAGTTTGCTGTAGGACACATGAGGTGGAGCTGGTATTTGAATCTGTGTCTCTGACTCTTTAGGCAGGTTGTATGTATTTAATTTTTGTTTCTACATTGCAGAATATTTGTTCAAATGTATTTCAGGTAGAAGAAAAGCTAACTAAAAGTAGAGCTGTCCAAGTTGAGGTAGGAGGTTGGTCAAATCCCTACTTTCTGCCCTGAGGCTCTCTCTCAGCATGATTTGTGAAAACCAGAAAACTGAAGACTAGTTCTGTGTTCTAGATTTATGTTCAGGAAGCTTTTGTATAGTGTTTTTTTGTTATTATAAGATGATAAGCACAGGCTGTCTTTCTATTTGCATATTAGATGCTTTTTTGCTTTCTTTAAAAATCAAGGATTTTAAGTATTTAACTTCCCGCTTGGGTCTTGTTTTCTTTTAATGTTTGCTCCTATTGAGAGAGGCCCTTGTAAACTCTTGACCTTCAAAATAAATGTTTCTGGAAACTTAGTTTTCTCTGGTCTTCTCTTTGGTGGTTTAGACTCGGGAGGAGACTCTGTCAGGATTGGCTGAAAGCAAAGGGGAGGTTACTGGTGTCGTGGCTGCTCTGGAACAACTGGTGCTGATGGCTCCCTTGTCTAAGGAGTCCGTTTTCCAACCCAGGAAGGTTAGTGTGTCCCTGTTACAGACCAATGGCTGCCATTGTTCAAATGCTGCTGTTGAGTTGGTAGGCACTGTTGTGTGTTGAAATTTCATGGGATAAGAGGGAACTATGAGTATTATCTGTGTGCTTTTTAGTTCTTTCCCAGGGATATTAAATTAGTAAATGTCACCTCTAGGATAAATATCCAGACAGCTAGGTTCCAGTGCCTACCTTTGTCATGTTACTTTCTGTTGACCTAGAATTTATTCCAACAGGATGTGCTAGAGTATATGTCGGCTTTTGATGAAGAAACCACCGAGGTTTGTTCTCTGGGCTCTCCTCGTCCTCTTGCTCTCCCTCTGGTAGAGGAAGAGGAAGCAATGCTTGAACCAGAACCCGAGGGCTCGTCAGAGGCCTGTGATGACTTGGAGTTAGCAGATGACAATCTTGGAGAGGGGACCATCTGTACTGAGTCCATCCAGCAAGAGCCCATCCCCAAGCCAGGCTTCACACACCTGAGCAGCTCTCCTTGCTATTACTTTTACCAAGGTGAGGGTCCCCGAGGAGGGATGGGTTGCCTGCTGCAGAGATATTTCAGAGAGATGCTATGATGCTTTCATCAGAAGGAGGTATCACCATAGATCCTGGGTGCTTGGATCTATCATGTCTTTGGCTTGGGTGGGAGAGGCAGGCCTAGCTATAAAGAGGGCCCTGTATTGAGGACTGGCCTGGACTATTGGGTGATAGAGCCACTTATCTTCAGCGGAGGACGGGCAGCACATGTTCCTGCATCCTGTGAACGTGCGCTGCCTTGTGCGGGAGTATGGCAGTTTGGAGCAGAGCCCTGAGAAGATCTCGGCCACGGTGGTGGAGATTGCTGGCTACTCCATGTCTGAGGTAAGGACCTTTAGAGGGAGGGGGCTGAGAGTGACATTAGCCTTATCTCTTTGGGGCAGGCCTAGCTAAACCTAAGTTCATAAATCTTCAAGGCCTAAAATTTTGTATTTTTATATCTTGTCGGTGATGATGCTATGAATTTTTTAAAAGTTAAATGGTGTTCCCTTCCCATATTGGATTTATGTTAAGTCAGTAACCACCACTTTTCTTCCTCAGGTTCACTTACTGTGGTCTGGGAATATAGATATTTGTACTTTCAAAATGAGTCTGTTTTTCTCTTTGGTTGGGATGCAACCAAGGAAACAAAAAGTCTTTGGAGGCTCTAAGCCCACACAGGCTTGAAATGCATTTTTTAGCTTAGCAGATATTTCTGAATTACTGTTTAATTATTTCCGTATTTGAATATTTGCCTTTTGGGAATTACTCCTGTATTTTTTTTTAAAGATTTATATATTTATGCATACAATAACTGGGGTATAGGCCAGAGGTGTGGGGGGTGAGAGGAGTCACCAGAGACAGAGTGGGGAACAGAACAGTCAGATTGACTGAAATACACATTCATGGAAGGAGCAGTGGGCGAGCCAGGAGAGGTCTGCTGTGCCATCCGGGTAGCTCCCTGGCCGGGGATTGAACTCATGCTGCAGTGGCTGCGGATAGCTTCATAGGTTGCGTCTTAACCCCTCGTGCCACCAGGGAGGCCCTTATTCCTGTATTGATCACAACTTTGCTATAAACCTCAAAGTTAGAGACTAGACTACTGTAAACTTGCCATTAAACATGCAAAAAGAGAATGAAAAAGACAGACTTAAATTGATAGATTTAATTTTTCACTATATTAGGCCAAGCTTCATTCAGTAGAGAAATCTCTTTCTGATTGGTTCTCAGAATATTTTTGCCAATAAATACTCTTATTCCCCTGTTCATCTCCTCCCTCCCCCCCCCCCCCAGTCCCTAGTCATGGACCCTAGAAAATCAGAAATAGCCCATCCGCTCTAGTAATTTTTTTTTTTTAAAGAGTTATTTATGCATCCAAGAACTGCAGTGTAGGCTGGAGGTGGCAGGGGTGGAGGTTTGAGAGGATTCACCAGAGACAGAGTGGGGAGCAGAACAGGCAGACAGACTGAAATACACTGCTCAGGGGAGCAGCGGGCAGTGGCTGCCGATAGCTTCATTGTGCTGAGACATAACCCCTAGGCCAACAGGGAGGCCCCAGCTTTAGTTAATTACAGGGCTCCATTCACTCATTTGTAGCACAAATCCCTACTTATTCCACCTTATTGGAGGTTAATTGGCAATTTGTTTTTGTAAAATGGTCATAACTTAAGCAATGCTCTTGCTCCAGTGCTATCTGTGGGTGCATATATATACTGCTAACTGTCTAGGCTGGAAACTCAACTCTTGTTGTTAAGCCTGGTTTTAGTTGAGTGTTTTGTTCCTCTATTGTAGGATGTTCGACAACGTCATAGATATCTCTCTCACTTGCCGCTCACCTGTGAGTTCAGCATCTGTGAACTGGCTCTGCAGCCTCCTGTGGTCTCTAAAGAAACCCTAGAGATGTTTTCAGGTGAGAATGCTTCTCTTTATAATGGGGTTCAGGGATTCTGTGAATGGAAACCCAGTGTGGGAGATATTAAGGAGTTGTGTCAGGAGTCTCAGTACCTCCTGATACACTCTATCCATTCATCCAGTTTAGCTGGGCCCACTCATGGCCTTAGCTACTAGTCCACTGGGAGAAGTTAAAGGCCAGGTTGCCCTGGGTCTGCCTTTCACAACCTGACCAACCCGCAGATGACATTGAGAAGAGGAAGCGTCAGCGTCAGAAGAAGGCACGGGAGGAACGCCGCCGAGAGCGCCGGATTGAGATGGAGGAGAACAAGAAACAGGGCAAATGTAAGTTCATGAGCTCTCACCTTTGACTAGTAGTAGAGCTGTGCATCATTGTACAGAGGCTCAGTGCCCAGGTGCCAAGCTGCTGTCTCAGCTCTGCCACTTGTTTTCAACTCTTTTTTTAAATTTTTTTTTTTTATAGAGGCATGTTTTTCATTTATTTATTTGTTTGTTTGTTTTGTTTATACATGCACTGGGTACAGTCAGAAGCGCGGGAGGGTGAGAGAATTCACCAGAGCCAGAGTGGGGAGCAGCAGAGCAGGCAGAAGGACCGAAGTACACTGCTGAGGGGAGCAGCGGGCGGCAGGAGAGGTCTGCGCGCCATGTGGGACCCTCCTCTGGTGGCCGGGGAGCAGCCAGGGATTGAACCGGCGCTGCAGAGGCTGCAGGCAGCTTCGCAACCCAGCGCTCAACCGCTGCACCACCGGGGAGGCCCTGTTTTCAACTCTTAAATGTGAATGTGAGACTACCTCCCTCACAGGCCTATTTGAGAATTAAATGAATTAATGCAGGTCAACGTGCATAACATTTTAAGAATAGGATTAAATTCAACCTTGGTATAGTGGGTGAAGTAGTCTGCTGTGGGGAATGTAATTAAAGCTTTATCTGCTGAATGCCAGGGACATTTGTATTGATTTTCTGTTGAAGTGACATCTACATGTAGCAACTGTGCCAAGAGAATGTGATGTAGTAGAAATCTCGATAAACCAGGAAATATATACAAGAAATTGGATTTAAGAGCTCATTCATATCAGGGAGCACAGCAGAGTCTTCTGATCTGATTCTCAACATAAGCTTCTTTAAGTCCAGAAGATTAGTATGACATAAAGATCTAGTTATTCCCCAGAAAACAAGGTATTTGGCCAGGGAAAAAAGATTTTCTCTATGTGGTGTAGTAAACAGTTTTTTCTTCTCAAACTGGGTATGTATATTCTGGGGCCGTAACACTGTGTAGCTGTTTGGCATTTGTCCTGATTGTGTGAGAAAACTTGTGTTTCAGGAATACGAGATTTTTTTGTTTGAAACTTTTTCTATGGAAACATTGAAACACAAGTACAGAGAGCAGTGAATTAATCCCCAGGTTCATCACCAGCTTCAGTTATGAACAAATGGAATGAGGCTTTATATGAAAACAGGGGCATAAAGTGATAGTTATAAATTTGGGTTTTGGAGTTTTGTCTGCATCTTTCAGACCATTGGTGGGGGTGGGTGGGGTGGTGGGGGTACATGCTGACTGTCCTCAACTGTTGGGAAAGATTTGAGGAATTCTGTAAATGGATTGCCATTCTTGTCTTTTCTTTGCAGACCCAGAAGTCCACATTCCCCTGGAGAATCTACAGCAGTTTCCTGCCTTCAATTCCTATACCTGCTCCTCTGATTCTGCTTTGGGTCCCACCAGCACCGAGGGCCATGGGCCCCTCTCCCTTTCTCCTCTTAGCAGAAGTCCAGGTTCCCAAGCAGGTAAGTAGAGTTGGAATTTAAAAATTTAAGTCAACAGGCAGACACAGACCTTAAGCAAAATCTTAGTGTGTGAATCTGCAATCCTCACCTACCTTGGCATGGTGGAGTGTTAAGGTGAATAACCTTACTTTGGATAGTTAATATGAGGTACATAAATCCTTGCCATTTGATTCACCTTTCTTGTTGACTTTACCTGATTATGTCATGCTAGCACGTAAAAAGCTAGGGGCAATACATACGGCAGTATCGTTAAATCTAGACTCTGCCCCCTCCCCTGCCTTCTGCTTAAGCAGACAGTTAAGCGTTTTTTGTACATGTTGCCTTATCGTAGCACTGCTTGTAGTAGTGAGGGGAAATAGCTTACAAAGTCTACTAGTAGGGAAATGGCTAAATTATAGCATTTATATTATGAATTGCTTTATAGCTGTTAAAAAAGGAGATCTCCAGGAATTAGTGGGTAAACCTTTGACATAAAAGGAATCTATAGACACAAAGTAAAGCATTTTATTACGGGTTTCTATATCTAAATACATTTAGATATATAAAACATTGGGATTGTTGTCATTCAGATTAATAATGGTCTTTTGCACCTGAAAGTGAGAAGAGGATTGAGAAGTCCAAAGTGGCATTTAGCTTTTTAAAAATACTTTTATGAGGAAATTTATTAATCTGTTAAAAAAGTAAACATTGGGGGGCCTCCCTGGTGGCACAGCGGTTGAGCGCTGGGTTGTGAAGCTGCCCGCAGCCTCTGCGGCGCAGGTTCGATCCCCGGCTGCTCCCCGGCCGCTCCCCGGCCACCGGAGGAGGGTCCCACATGGCGCGCAGACCTCTCCTGCCGCCCGCTGCTCCCCTCAGCAGTGTACTTCAGTCCTTCTGCCTGCTCTGCTCCCCGCTCTGGCTCTGGTGGATTCTCTCACCCTCCCGCGCTTCTAACTGTACCCAGTGCTTGTATGTATAAATACAGTGCTTGTATGTATAAATACATAATAAATAAATCTTAAAAAAAAAAAAGTAAACACTGGGGAGTTACTGTAATTTCAGAGAGCTGTCTTTTCTGATCTTTATCCAGCTGGGAGATAGTTTTTAATACTTAAAATTTATTTCTCTGGCATTTCAAACAAAATACCTAGTCAGAATACTTAAAAAACTCTTGGTGATTTTTGTGGATTAGGAGCCTGAAGCTAGAACCTGCATCTCAGGAGCTGCACAACCTTGATGCAAGAGAGAACTGCCGTACAGAGGAATAGGGCAGTACATTTACTTAATCTATGATATAAAAGTTGTGTTTCTGGGCCTCCCAGGTGGCCTAGGGGTGGTTAAGTCTCAGCACTTATCACCGCTATGGCCTGAATTCAGTCCTGGCTGGGGAGCTGACCCAAACATGGCGCAACAGACTTCTGCTGTCTGACCTGCTGATCCCCTTAGCAGTGTATTTCAGTAGATCTGCCTGTCCTCATCCTCACTCTGTCTCTCACTAGAGACAGAGAATCCTCTCACCCACCTGTGCCTCTGGCCTACACCCCAGTTTTTCTACACAAAAACAAAATTTTTAAAAAATAATTAAAAAAATTGTGTTTCCATACATGAGCTTTTCGGAAGGCATGGGCTTTAATGGAGTTAAGCAAGAGTGGTTGCATGATGCTAGGAATAAAAGTATTAAATAGCCCTGATTGACTATGGAAGGCCCTGTTGCTAGGAAAGCAAATGACCCCTCCTCCTAATAGTGATCAGGGCAGTGGATAGATGGGCTTGTGGGAGTGTTCAGCTCAGAAAGAATGTACAAGAGTACTGCCTAGGGAATATCAGGGAGAAGCTTGCATCTTCAGGCTGGATCTCATTGATGTGTGTGTCTTGGATTTTAACTGAATATTTTCAGGCTGTAGGTATCTGCTGACTGGAACATTAAGGTGCAGCTGATTAATTTTTATATCTTATTTGGATCCTTTTTATCTAAATAAAATTTTGTAGTCCTTGACAGAACACCTAAGGTCTTAAGAACCTGTAGGTGTGGAATGTGGTTTTCATACTGTGGGAATAGACTCCATCATGCCTTCCATAATTACTATAACTACTAAACTTCTCTCTCCCTAAAATGATCACAGGTGTGATAGACTATGTACTTAGCTTTATAAGAACATGGGCAGAGGGGCCTCCCTGGTGGTGCAAGGGGTTAGATCTCAGCACTGTGAAGCTATCAGCAGCCACTGCAGCATGAGTTCGTGTCCCAGTCATGGAGCTAACCCACGTGGTGCAGCAGACCTCTCCTTTTCTGCCCGCTGTTCCCCTCAGCAGTGTATTTCAGTCCATCTGCCTGTTCTGCTTCTCAGTCTGTCTATGGTGAATCCTCTCACCACCCGCCCTATACCTCTGCACCCCAGCTCTTGTATGCATAAAATAAATCTTTTTTTTTAAAGTATCTCTTTTTTTTTTTTTTAAAGATTTGTTTTATTTATACAAGTACCAGGTTACAGGCCAGATGTGCAGGAGGGTGAGAGGGTTTCACCAGAGACAGAGCGGGGAACAGAACAGGCAGACTGACAAAATACACTGCTGAGGGGAGCAGCGGACGAGACAGGAGAGGTCTGCCTGCCATGTGGGTTGCTCCAAGGCCGGTGGGATCAAACTGGCACTGCAGAGGCTGAGGACAGCTTCACAGCGCTGCGCTCAACCGCCTGGGTCACCAGGGAGGCCCTAAAATAAATCTTTTTAAACAAAAAAGAATATGGGTAGAATTGACATTAGGTCAGTGTTATTTTTATGTGGTGGTGGTAGTTATCCAGACCTGATTTAGGAGTTCTCTCTTTGTAAGAGGACACTGTTTCGTACTTGACTTCTGTAATCAGATCTCTGGTTCTCTTTCAGATTTTCTGCTGACCCCTCTGTCACCCACTGCCAGTCAGAGTAGTTCTTCATTTTGTGTTGGAAGTTTGGAAGAAGATTCTCCCTTCCCTTCCTTTGCCCAGGTAAATTCTTTGCTTTGACCAGCAACCCCAGGGTATTTAACATGTACACTGTTACTTGTCTTTCTGGAAATCTGTTGGAGGAGGAGCAACTCCTAATGTTGTGCTGACTTTTATAATGATTGGAGGCTTTCTTAAAATGGAAGCTTATAGATTTAATTCCTGATATCACTATAGACTTATCCAGGAAAGAAGGCTAGAGTAACTGAGAGACAACGCAGATCTTATTATTTCACAAATCATGAGGTATTTGTGTACTGGACACTGTTCTAGGGACTAGGGGATACATCAGTCTTAACTGGTCCCTGGTTCTAGGATCTCTGGTTTAGGTGATAGGTATCTGGTACATATAATAAACCACTCCTCTGTTCATTTTGGGAAGGGAAGGTTGTCTTGGTTACTCTATAACTAGTCAAACCAGCTTTCTTGGTGCACAAGCTAGGGGATGGGGGACAATAGACTAGTGAGACTTGATGCCAACACACTTTATAAATCTTGAAAACAAGCAAATACTCAGCATTCCTGTGTTCAGATAACAGAGGAAAAATGGATGAATAGCTTGACTTGTTAGTATTAACTTCTTTGGGGCTAGTGTGGAATGATTAGCATAATAGATTTTTTAATGTGTGCCATGATCTTTATTGTAATTCATGTACATTAGAAACTGACATGGATGTCATCAGTACAGACAGCATAGGTTCTGTTGAACATTTTTTCCATTCAGTAATGTAGTTACAAAACCCATTATTTGATAGTGGTGAAAAACACAAAATAATAACTTAGTATCATTGACAAGTTTGTATCCCATTGGCACTCTGAAAGGGCCTTTGGGCACCATATGATCTTAATGGGCATACCCATATCGGATCAACCGAACATCCGGCTACAGGGTAAGGTGTGGTTCTGGGGCTAATACAAGAGAATTGCATTTCTAACCTCCTTCCCCTTTGAGGTACTTTGAGGTACTCCAAAGGGTAGCTTTAGAAAGGAATCTGATGTGCTCATTTTTTGAACCATTCAGGTTTAGATTGCCCAAAAAATACATCATTCACTTTTATCATCTCCTCTTGCCAAATAAAGAGCCCAGAAGCATTAAGAGTAAACTGAGAAAGTTAGGCGAGGATTCTCTTCTCTAAGTCATGTTATTTGGAATCCTGAATAAACCCAAAAGAACCTTTCCTCCTAGCTTACTAGTCCTTTAGATCAGTTGCTATGGATGTTTCTCACATTCAAATGGCAGTTTGTGTTGAGAAATAAACAAGAATTGGACTTTGGTAAGGAAAGTCCTGAAGTCACGAAGGATGAAAAAATTTGAGAGCAATCCTGAAAGCTATCAGCTAGGCCACAGAAGTTAGACAAGGAAGAAAGTGATTCCTAGGAATTACATCAGTTGTCTACTTTTTTAAAAAACTAGGCTTTTATTGCATGGCTTTTTTTCTTTTCAACTTTGTATTTTGAAAAACTTTACCCTTAAAGAGTTGAAAGAATAGTATAATGAGCACTCATACCTTTCAATTTGATAAACCAATTGTTTAAATTTTCATTTATTTGCTTTCTTTTTCTCCCCCATGTTGAAAATAAACTACAGACCTTATGAATGACATGTCACTATGTACTTGGGAAATAGATGACTTCCCTTCACCCTATGACATTCTTCTATATAACTAATTAGCATAGTCACATCCAAGAAATTCAACTGATTGAATATCTAATGTAGTATTATTTCTATTTCCCAATTTGCCTCTATGTCTTAAATTATTTTCAGTTGGGCTGAGTTAAAGATTACTCATTGCAATTAGCTGTCAATTCTCTTCCGTCTCCTTTGATCCCTAACAGTTGCTCTGATCCCCGTTTTTTTTCTTTCAATGGCATGAATTTTTTTTTTAAAGACTTATTTATGCATACAAGAGCTGGGGTACAGGCCAGAAGTGTGGGGGGTGAGAGGATTCATCAGAGACAGAATGGGGAACAGAACAGGCAGACTGACTGAAATACACTGTTGAGGGGAGCAGTGGGCGAGACCGGAGAGGTCTGCTGTGCCATGTGGGTTGCTCCCTGGCCAGCAGGGGATCCAACTCATGCTGCAGAGGCTGCTGATAGCATCATTGTGCCGTGTTTAACCCCTTGTGCCACCAGGGAGGTCCACTTCATGTTTTTTTTTAATGACTTTTTAAAAGAGTAACAGAATGCAGGGCCTCCCTAGTGGAACAAGGGCTTAAGACGGCAACGTATGAAGCTGTTCGCAGCCACTGGAGCACGAGTACTATCCCCAGCCAGGGAGCTACCCACGTGGCTCAGCAGACCTCTCCTGACTCACCCGCTGCTCCCCTCAGCAGTGTATTTCAGTCAGTCTGCCTGTTCTGTTCCCCGCTCTGTCTCTGGTGAATCCTCTCACCCTCCACACCTTTGGCCTGTACCCCAGTTCTTGTATGCATAAATAAATAAATCTTTAAAAAAATAGAGGAACAGGATGCAGATGCCATATTATTTGGACCACAAACTCCCAGGAACCAAGGGAGCAGACTGTCAAAGTGGTACATGATGAAGAAAGGTTATTCAGTGAAACTAACCTCGGCCAACTCATTTTGAATGTGTGCCTCATTTTGGGACACATTATTGTTATTATTTTTTTAAAGATTTATTTATGCATACAAGAACTGGGGTATAGGCCAGATGTGCAGGGGGTGAGAGGATTCACCAGAGACAGAGTGGGGAGCGGAACAGGCAGATCTACTGAAATACATTGCTGAGGGGAGCAGAGGGCAAGTCAGGCGAGGTCTGCTGCACCATGTGGGTAGCTCTCTGGCCGGCCAGGGATTGAACTTGTGCTGCAGAGCCTGTGGATAGCTTCACAGTGCTGTGCTTAACCCTTGTGTCAGCAGGGAGGCCCCTGGGACACATACTTTGGAGACGACATCCCCGTTTAAATTTTTTTACTTATTAAGATTTGTTTTTATTTATGCATAGAACTGGGGTGTAGGCCAGAGGTGGGGGGTGTGTGTGTGAGAGAATTCACCAGAGACAGAATGGGGAGCAGAACAGGCAGATCCACTGAAATATACTGCTGAGGGGAGCAGCTGGTGTGACAGAAGTCGGCTGCACCATGTGGATCACCCCCCTCCCCCAATCCCCCCTACAGGGGATTGAACTCATGCCACAGTGGCCGGCAATAACTTGATAGTGCTGAGATTTAACCCCTGCACCACCAGGGAGGGCCCCACTTAAATCTTGTGGAACTTGTTGGTATTTTTCTAGGGATAAAATTCATAATGCTTTGAGTTGCATGGCTTCAATGGCAGATGGAACTCATGGTGACCCTCAACAGTTACAAAACGGACCTTGGCTAGGCGCAATGAAAAAAAATCTCACTCAGGGTCAGGAGAGATTGTTGTGATATTACTGTACTCAAAGGAATCTGGTGTGTGGCTGCATCTAAAAGTTAGTGATTAAGCAGTTACTGGAAAAGCAGACTAAGAAATGTTAGTTTCAGGCTAAAGTTAAATTGGTTTTCATGACCTTAAGTAACTGAACTTTGATATTGGGTGGTTTGTTGTAAAAACACTAGCACACACTGCTTACTTGAAGTTGTTTTCCTTCCAACAAGAGAACTGATTAGAACCAGGGAATGTCAGATGCAGGATTCTCAACTTTAGAGTCTGAGTAACACCTTTTGTGCCTTCTATGCAATATTTCTTACCTGTTTTTTTTTTTTTTTTTTTAATAGAGGCATGTTTTTATTTATTTGTTTGTTTGTTTGTTTTGTTTATACATGCACTGGGTACAGTCAGAAGCGTGGGTGGGTGAAAGAATTCACCAGAGCCAGAGTAGGGAGCAGAGCAGGCAGAAGGACTGAAGTACACTGCTGAGGGGAGCAGCGGGCGGCAGGAGAGGTCTGCGTGCCATGTGGGACCCTCCTCCGGTGGCCGGGGAGCAGCCGGGGATCGAACCGGCGCCACAGAGGCCGCGGGCAGCTTCACAACCCAGCGCTCTACCGCTGCGCCACCTGGGAGGCCCTTCTTACCTGTTTTTTAAGAAACAAAACCACCTCAGGTTTCCCACCTTATTGGTTTGACTGCCATTTCCATTGACTAGGACATGGAGGACATGACTGAAACAGTGTGTCAAGTACCTGGAGAAAGCTTTTCAAAGGTGATAATTGCTTCTGTGTCAAAGTAGGAGTCTGGAAGAGAAATTGGACTGGTTACTTTAAAGTTCTTTTTCTCCCCTTTCCCACTTTGGCAGATGCTGAGGGTTGGAAAAGCAAAAGCAGATGTGTGGCCCAAAACGGCTCCAAAGAAAGGTGAGGAGGGCCCTCTGTTGAAGGGACAATAGCTTGGCTCCTTTCAGAAAGTAAAGGCTCTAGAGTTGTTTCTAGAATTGTGTTTTTTTTTTTTTTTTTTTTTTTTGTTTTAAAGATGAAAACAGCTTAGTTCCTCCTGCCCCTGTGGACAGTGATGGAGAGAGTGATAACTCAGACCGTGTTCCTGTGCCCAGTTTCCAAAATTCCTTCAGCCGAGCTATTGAGGCAGCCTTCATGAAATTGGACACGCCAGCTTCTTCAGATCCCCTCTCTGGTAAGGGCAAAGAACTGGAGGCATCTACACCGAGTTGTCAAAGTTACCATAAATATTAAAGCCATTCCCACTTGTATCTAGTAGCAGCCATCACTAATCAGTTGGGCACTTTTTTCCTCTGAGCCTTTAGAGTGACATTCTAGCATCAAGTAACATTCCATGTGATTTGTCAGATAGGACCCCAGATTAATTCTTGAGGCCTGTATATGAAAATATGAGGAACTGTTTTCTAAGACACCGTGGTGGAGAGTATATAGATCATGCCTACATTTTAGAATCGAGTTGGTAAATAGATGGAGTGCACCATCATCAGAGTGCATGATGCATCAGAGTGCACCCCTGGTTTGAGGAATTCATAATTAGACAAAATAACACTATTCATGATGCACTTGCTGTATGTGCTTAGCATTGTGCTAATTTACCCCAATAACTAATCTCATTCCTGCAAATACAGTAAATTAAGATCTAGCCATAGAACAGATTCCTGTGAGTATAGTAAACCAATAAATGGGTATGACTCTCAGGTTACAGAAAAAACGAAGGTCTAGGGACATAAAGTGACTTGGCCAAATGCAAACACCTAGAGTGTGCAAGGATTGAATCCATGCAGTTCCAGAGCCTGTACTCTTAGCTGACACTGTTTCTCAGGAATGAAAACTGAGCGGGGAACCAGCATTCTAACCTAAGCCCTTTTTTTTTCCTTTATAAGATAAAGGAGGAAAGAAAAGAAAAAAACAGAAACAGAAGCTCCTGTTCAGCACCTCTGTCGTCCACACCAAGTGACACTACTGGTCCAGGCTACCTTTTCCATCTTTTTTTTTTCCCCTGTGCTTTTGTTTTGCTGCTGTAATTTTTAAGTATTTGAGTTTGAACAGATTAGGGGAGGGGGGAGGGGGTTTCCACAACATGAAGGGGGAACCAAGAAAATTTTAAATACAGTGTATTTTCCAGCTTCCCGTCTTTACACCAAAATAAAGTATTGCCACACAAGAGATCTCTTCCTGCCAAGGTTTTAGTTTGTTGCCAGGTTAGTCTTTTTGACCCATGTGTAATTAGTTTTTCTCTTCAACATCCCCTTGGAGCAGCCCAAGCCAGAGTCGTGTAGCCCTACTCTGCTGTGACATCATTGTCAGGGCATCATGGCTTCAGCACATTGATTCATTTGTTTTTCAAAATTAGTTGACTTTTTTCTATCAGTTGTCCTCTTCTTAAAGAAATAGGGATGGGAATAAAATGGATTTAGGACACCCAGATTGAATTGCAGTTTTTTTCCTGATAAATAGCCAGGCTATGGTGCAGACCTCGATTGCACTTGCATCTGTAATAGAGAGGGTTTAGCCTCCTAAACATGGCTTCTATTAAGCATAGGAAGCTGTGTCACTAAGGGAACCCTGAGATCTGCCAGCCTCTAGCCAAACTTGTTTTAAGTGACAGTGACCTGCATCGTAGGAGTAGAGGAGTCTGGCATACCTGGAGGTAGAGCAGAGCAGGCTGCCCGCCACCTCCTGTTTTCTAGGCAGTCTTATGCCTTAGTTTGAGCTGGATTTTGAGTGATGTGTATTCTGCTGCTTAATAAAGTGATCTCTAGGTGTAATAGAATGTGAAGGCAAATAGTACAATAAATCACCTGCATAAGCATTATGTGCTTTCTGGTTTTTTTAAGTTCATTACAGGTCAAGTAGACATACTAAATAGGTTAAAGTAACTACTACTATGAACTTGAGCAATTCTGTTGGCATGGAGTAATGTCTTTTCTAGGGTCAGGCCTAAAGAGTCCTTAAGCTGGGTTTAGCTCTAACCTTTTTTTTTTTTTTTTAAAGATTTATTTATACAAGCACTGGGTACAGACAGACTTGTGGGAGGGTGAGAGGAGTCACCAGAGTCAGAGAGGGGGAACAGAATAGGCAGACTGACGAAATACACTGCTGAGGGGGAGCAGCGGGCGCAGCAGGAGATGTCTGCACACCATGTGGGATCCTCGCGGCAGCTGGGGATTGAACCGGCGCTGCAGAGGGTGCGGGCAGCTTTGCAGCCCTGCGCTCAACTGCTGCGCCACTAGGGGAGGCCCTAACCTGCTATTCTTAAAAGGAAGAGATTCAGGAACTCTTCTGGATAGGTGAGAGTATCCAAACCCTGAGATACGAGGGGACACACTGAAGCAAAAAGTCACATATCTTTCTCTTAGGTGTGTAAAGGAATTTTGAGTGAGGGAAAACATGCTCCAATGTCACTAGCAGCTAGATCAAAACTAACTGCAAGTCTCCTGTCCCTCCTAATTCCTGTGGCATGTGGTAGTCTACTTAGGTGCCAGGCAGGTGTAAAGCAATAGGGAAGGCGGAAATTTCAGAAAACTCTTGAGACATTGGCAGCTGTGACTGAGCTCTGCGTTAATAAGGTTAGGTCAGGCCATTTCTTCCCGCCCTTTCCTCTCCCCACTCCCAAAAGTGCAAGAATTGCATTTCTAAGATTTATTTATTTATTTATTTATTTATTTATTTATACAAGCACTGGGTACAGTCAGAAGCGCGGGAGGGTGAGAGAATTCACCAGAGCCAGAGCGGGGAGCAGAGCAGGCAGAAGGACCGAAGTACACTGCTGAGGGGAGCAGCGGGCGGCAGGAGAGGTCTGCGCGCCATGTGGGACCCTCCTCCGGTGGCCGGGGAGCAGCTGGGGATCGAACCGGCGCTGCAGAGGCTGCGGGCAGCTTGGCAACCCAGCGCTCAACCGCTGCGCCACCGGGGAGGCCCAAGAATTGCATTTCTGATAAGGTGTTGGCAAGGAATCTTATTTTTAAGGCCAGGTGTCTGAACTGAAACTGGTTATACATCTGTGCCAGCTTAGTTGCCATACTGCACTAATACTCCTACTCTAAATTACCTGGCCCATGCTAGGGCTGGGTAGAGGACAAGGCCTTAAGGAACCAGTCTTTCTACTGAGGCTAGGGATAGAGGGGGAAATACTTGAGCAAGAATGGACTTCATAAGTTTGCTAAATGCTATAGAAACCAAAAACATTTATTAAATCTACTCCAGGCAACAGTAGATAAAGGTGACTAGTTTGTCTGACATGAGTAAACCCTCCATTTTGAGCTGGAAATTTGACCTCTAGTTGTCAGTCATCCAGTTTGGAGAGCTGTAGGAGATGCTGCTGCCATGTTCCAATCAGTGTGCCTCCTGTGATTTGGCAAAGTGCAACCTGGAGAGGTTCATTCCATTGCTCCAGTGGCCTCCTCACCACCACTGTCTGAAAGCTCCTCTGCTCCAGACTCCTCCTCTAGTAAACAGCTTCTTGTGACGGACTTCTGGATAGCTTCCCGCTCTCCTGGAGAAAGGCAAACAGACTAAGTGAGGATGAAAGGTATCTTTGGGAGTGACAATGTTTCTTCACTGCTCAGTGGGCACCAGGTTAGCATAACTTACCTTCATCAGTGCAGTTCTGCAACAAGATCAACAGTTGTCTCCTGTTGTACTGAATCAGGAATTTCTGACATGTTCTAATTGTACCTGGCACATGAAAAGAGCTTTCTGGTCAACATCTTCTAAAAGGTGTCTGTCTCAAAGACTTCAGAACTCTTAAAAATTGGGGAAATATCTTGTTCTCGGCAGTATAATGGGAAACCCATCCGCTAAGCAAGACTGAATTCTGAACTTGTTACCTATTGGATATCAGCCATATCATGTGCCATCCTACCTCCCACGTGTAGGGTGTTGAGAAAACAGGAGTAACGGTGTCCTTTGTTCTCCAAGTGTGTAATAAAGGGAAGAGCTGACCACACAAGCTGATAGAATTCCTTCCGGCATCGAAGTAGCACTATTCCAGTATAGGCATTGAGGTATCGCACTGTAAGGGGAGGTGGAGGAGATAATTTTGGGGAACTGTATTCCTAGAAGGTTAAGACACTGTTCTAGGAAGCGGCATGTTGGGACCTAACACTTTTCTTGAAAATATTTTAAGATGATGTTGAGGGAGGGCCGGGGCATACACCTTGAATCTTGGACACAGCTCGTAATTGATGAATGAACTTAGAATTTAAACGCACTGATTAGTTACTAAATGGCAGAGATCCACCTTCCTCAGAAAACCCTTTTCTGAAAAAACAGGATCTGCAACTGGGCTCAGGTTTCCACAGCAGCCTGTTCCCCTAAGAGTTGTGCCTGTGTGCGTTTCTGCAGGACTCAACTTCCCGCGTATAATAAAAGAGCTAGTTTAAATAATGTGGCTGTCGGGAGTAGAAAGGGCCCCTCTCACATACACACGTGTGCACTCTAACCTACTGGCTCTATTAAGAGCTTTAATTTCGACAATGGTTTTACCACGTGATGTCATGTAAAGTCCATATAACTTGGAATTATAAATGGTTTCCCTCAGTTAATTATCACCCTTTAAAGTTCAACTGCAATCCCCAATATATACATGTTAAACAGGTCTCTGTACCTTGCCTAGGATTCTTGCCTAAAGTTTTAGCCCTCCCCCTGACGGGATTCGTCCAGATCTCAGGCCAGGGTCCGAAATGACGAGGACGATATTACACAGATTCAGGGTGCATCGGGTTCGGGAGCTCCTAGGGTCGCTTATGTCCCTTCTCCCTCCACATCCCTCCTTCCGCCCGGCCCCCCAGCACTCGCGCACCCGCGAAGCCAATGGAGCAAGCGGCCGCGCCGAAAGTCCCGTGCACGCGGGCGATCGTGTCTCGAACCAGGTTACTCAGCACTCGGTCCTCCAAGCTCAGGCGGCAGCGGGGGTCGTCAGACACCAGTTCGCAGAGCAGATACCTGCCGCAGGCCGGAAGAGGTGAGCGCGGGGCCCCGGCCGCTGGGGGCTGGCGGAGGGCGGGGGTGGGGTGGGGTGGTGGCGGGGGGCCGAGTCTCACCTGTGCTTGAACCGCACCATGGCGGCTTCCGCGCCCGGCAGCCGGACGCCCAAACCGGATGTCTGAGGCGCCGCCGGCGGCCAATGGGAAGTTAGGCTGCGCAGCGTTGCAGCCACTCAGAGGAAGGCCGGGCAGGGGGTGGGGCTAGAGTGCTGAGCGGCCGGGCCCTGCGTCAGTTCCGCTCGGGCCCCGCCCCCGCCGTGTTCGCATGGCGCATGCGTCCGGCCGCCTGCCGCGCGGGTCGGCGGGACGGGCTCCGCGACGGGCGCTGGCCCCGGCTCACGCCGCTGGGCGCAGGGACGGTCCCTTTCTGTTGCCGCGCAGTATAGCCGTGTGCTCGCCTCCGCCCGAGCTGGACGGTGGGGCCCTCGAAGGTGTGATCTTCCTCGCATAGCACAGGTGTGGGCGCGGGCGGGACCGGTCCTTTCAGGTTAGAGCTTGTTTATTACTGCTTGGCCCTGGCAACAGTCTTGTGGAAATGGCCGTATCGTCTCGATTTTTATTTGCAAAAACAAATCGTGATTATATTTTCAGTTTTTAATTTGTACAGAAAAGCATAGCGGCAAATAAAAATAAATTATAACCCCACACTACCATGTAGTGTGTTTTCTTTCGTCCCTTTCGCCTGTGCCAGTGGTTCTCAAAGTGAGGTCCGGGAGTCTCTGAGGTCAAATCACTGTCATAGTAATACTGAGGTGTCTGCCTTTTCCACTATAAGTGCACGGCCAAGTTTTCCAAAGGATATTCACCCTGATACCTCATGTATTTTATATTGTGTTTTAAGCATTTATGTCTTCTTATCATGGTGAATACTGATACAGCTCACAAAAACACACGCTCTTTGGGATCCTCAATAATTTAAGAATGTAAAGGGGTCCTGAGACAAAAATCATTTGCGATGATAACTGCTGGTTAAATTACTTAATACGTAATTTTCCTTTCATTTTCATTTAGAGAAGAGGATCATATTATTTAGTAATTATTTTTGCTTTAAATTTTTTAGAGGTTTTTTTTTTTTTAAGATTTATTTATTTATACATATAAGAACTGGGGTAAAGGCCAGAGATGCGGGGGGGGGGGTGAGAGGATTCACCAGAGACAGAGCAGGGAACAGAACAGGCAGATTGACCATAGTACACTGCTGAGGGGAGCAGCGGGCGAGACAGGAGAGGTCTGCTGCGCCATGCGGGTAGCTACGGGTTAGCTGAGACTTAAGCCCTTGCACCGCCAAGGAGGCCCCCCTGCTTTTAATATTTTTAAAGACTCTCTTATTCAGGCTATAACACACAAAGTACACATTAAGTATACAACTCAACGAAATTTTGCATCTGTACAGTTGTGTAACCACTGCCCAGGCTGAGATAGAGCATTTCCAGTACCCGAGCTGGTTGACTCTCCCTGTTCTTGAACTTTATATGACTCTCCAACAGCCACTTGTGCCTCTCCGTTCGTTCAAGCTGATATTTGTTGCTTCATTCTTGTTTGACTCTTGTTAACAATTACCCAACGTTATTTTTCAGATGCACAGTACTGCTTTGTTTAAATGTATCACTTTTAAGCTGATCGATACCCCCATGATGGACGTTTAGTGGTAGATTTTCTTGTTTACCCAGCACGTTGAGGTGCAACCTTGTTGTATCTAGGCCTTTATGCCCATCCTTATTGTAGAACTGTCAGGGACTTGGATGGCCCGGGGAGGTCTATGAAGGGAAGAAGATTTCAGAGCCGATTATTTACAAGATCTGGAAGGCCCCAATCTTCCCTCTCTCGCTCCTTCACACCTTGCGGGAGGGCTGTGGGAAAGGAAGGAGAGCAATGGCTCTCCTCAGAGACCAGAGTTGGTCCTTCCTCCTCCAAGTACCCCGTTTTCCACCCACGCCCACGTGGCCGCCTGCGGTCGGCAGGGGGCGCGCGGGGCCCGCCGCGCGTGGAGAGCGCGCGCATCCTCGGCCGTTCCTCTCCCTTCAGCCTCCCCCCTCAACCCTAACGCCGCGCCCGTTCCACAGCCACGGCGGGGTTCAGGCCAAGGTCAGACGTCCAGTACGAGGAGACCCAGCAAGGCTCAGAATTCGCATCCAAGCCCGTCGACCCCAGGTCCTTCCGTCTACACCCGACGCCCTGGCGGTCACGCTCGTCCACGTCGAGCCTTTTCGGGTAGGTTCGAATTCCCCCGCCAGCACTTCCCAGACACGTGCAGGAGGTTAACTCACGTTTCTCGATCTCGTGTTCAGCTCTTCATCTGTGCGATAGGATAGTAATGGCTCCTCCTCGTGGGTGGCCGTGAGGTAAACGAGATAACGTGGACAGAGCGCCCGGGGCCGTGGCCGCGCTTCGCTCGCGTCCCGCCGGATCCCGCCCCGGCCCCGCCCCCGGCCCTGCTCGGGCACCCCGCTTCGCGCACGCACCCTGGGGCGCCTCGGCGACCCCCCCCCCCCCCAGGCCCGCCCCCCGCCCGCCCCGCGACGGCCGCGCCAGCCGGGCGTGCCCCGCGCCCCGCGGTAATTAGTCGGTGCCGGCTCTGGCTCCGCCGCCGCTAATTACACGTCTCCTAATGAGGCCGCGGCTGTTTGCAGCCACCGGGGCCCCGCCGCGCGGCGCGGGAGGCCGGGGGAATCCGCCCGCGGGGCGCGGGGGCGGCCGCCTCCCCCCCGCCCCCCCCCGCCGCCGCGGCCGCCCCGGAATGCCGGCCCGGGGGCGGGGTGCTCGCCGCCAGCCCCTCCCGGGTTCCCTCTCCAGCCGTGCCTCGGAGCCACTGTAATCCCCGCTTAACAGGCGAAGAGGGGGCCGAGGCGCAGAAGCGCGTTCAAGCTGCACGAAACTCACTCCGGAACAGGCTACACCCGCCTGATCTGCATCCGACCCAAAGCCTGTGCTGCCCGTGGATTCCAGCACGGCCTGGATCAGCCCAGATCTGATAGAGGGGTGGGTGCTTGGAAACTTCCTTTGAACCCCTTCCCTTCTTCCCATCTGAGGGCGCCCACCCTCAGTTTGCCCTTTTGCATTAGGCTTCAAACCGAGTATTAGCTCTTAAATAAGGCATTTAAAACTACCTTGGACGCATAAGTCGCACGATCCATTGCAGGGATTTGGAAATCTGGAGCATTCCCTAGGGGGTGACTGGAGTGACTGCTAAAGTGCCCCAGTTGGAAGGTGGGAAGGTGCAACTTCTGCCTTGTTCCCAAGGGCAGGATCTGGGATGCCGTCTATTAGGCTCTCACTATGTAGCAGGCACCGTACTAAATGTGCTTTGTCTTGGCGTGGTCCACACAAGAGCCCTATGAGATCTGTCCCCTTCTCTGAGGCTCAGGGAGGGAGAGGACTTGCTCAAGGTGACAGTAATTTGAGCCAACATAAGGCCTTTTACGCCCTGACCTATGCTCTTACTCTACCTTGCTCTCTACTTCCTCTCTGGGAGTCTGGGACCTAAAGGATAGTCAGAGAAGGAGAGCCCAGTGGTGCCATTCTGAGGTGTCGTTGGCATTCCAGGGTCCTATATAATGATCTGAGCCATGGGGGATGGTGGCAAAGGAAAATTTTTGTTAAGCATTTTGTTAAACAGCCGCTGCTCATTAGGGGCTCCTGCTCCTCTAATCCAATCAACCAATTCTCCGTAAAACCTTTATGGGGACAATCTGGATAAAATTAAACCCTCCATCTGCCTAGCCAGGAACCTGGGGAGCTGCGGTGTCTTCCAGGTTGCTGGGGCGGACATGGCCCATCCTGGGTCTCAGACCAAGCACAACATCCCACTCCTATGTCCTGCTCCCTTGTGGCCTCTTTTCCTTCCCCTGCCTGCTGGAAGGATTTGCTTATCCAAAAATTAATTGAAATTGCAAGGGCACTACTGTTTGACCCAGCAATTTCTCCTCCAGGAATTTATCCCACAGAGATTCTTACACTTGTGCCAAATGACAGGTGAATAGGATGTATCTTGCTGAATGCTCGTGATAGCAGAAGGCTACCACAATGTCTTTCAGAAAGGATTCATTGTACGTGTGTATTTATTGGGCAGTTGTGTGCCAGGGAATGTTCTAAATACTTTATATAGGTTGACTCATTGAATCTTCACAAATACCCTATAAAGTAGATAATTTTTATTAACCCCATTTTACAGATGAGTAAATTGAGGCTTAGAACAAGTAACTTGTCTGAGCTTCACAGAGTTAATAAGTAGCAGGGCCAGGATTTGGACCTGGCAGTTCATGTTTTTAACTGTTATCCTCTACAGACTCTCTGCCTTTATGTGCACAGAAAATTTCCAAAAGGTAACACAAAAGCTGTTGGTGGTGGTTACCTCTGAGGAGAGGAATTTAGGATGTGAAGTAGGAGTGGGTAATCACTTTTGAATGTGTCTCCTTTTGTGCCATATTACTATGTCATGTGCATCTAGAGGAGTTACTGAACCTCAGTGCCCCAACTATGTTATTACTAATCTTTATGTCAGCTCTGGAAATATGTGCCATCATTATTCCCATTTTGCAGGTGAGGAGACTGAGCTCGCCAAGGTGGTCTGGCCACATGACTGGAGATGGCCCCAACTTATATTACATACCTAGGCTTTGGAGTTTCAAAGCATGCACCAGGGGACTTCCCTGGTGGCCTAGGGATTAAGTCTCAGCACTATCACCTCTGCAGCCTGAGTTCGATCCCCGACCAGGATGCTGACCGACCTATGGTGCAGCAGACCTCTCCTGTCTCACCCGCTGTTCCCCTCAGCAGTGTATTTCAGTAGATCCACCTGTTCTGATTCCCACGCTGTCTCTGGTGAATCCTCTTACCACCGCACCTCTGGCCTATACCCCAGTTCTTCTATGAGTTAAAAAAAAAAAAGGCTGGACTCAGGGACTAGCTTACCTGGGTTCAAGTCCTGATTCAGTCACTTACCAGCTGTGTGACTTTGGGCCAGCTGATTACCCTTTCTGAACTTCAGTTGCCTTTCTTTGAGGATTAAATAACTTAGCTCCATGTCAAGTACTTAGAATAGGACCTATATCTCATGAACATTCAAGAAATGGGAAGTATTTTTATATTATTGTCCTGAACGTGCTCTTCCCCAATTTTAA